AATTACAGCCAATAATTATTTTTATCTCAAAATATCAAAGTTAAAAACATCACAACAAACTTCAAAACACACACATATATATATAACGTCATCCAGAAAATTGCAAAACAAATCCTCCATGTATACACAATTAACACTTTTATTTATTTATGGCAAAATATATATTCTACAAGTTTATAAAAGTTGTCATTTTTGTTCTTTGGCCGCGCATGATGTTTCACACAACGGTTGTCCCACGCACTACCACGCTCGGTCAAATGACAGAAATAACAACTACTTTTGAAAATATGTAAAATATATTTTGTTAACAATATACATAAATAAATGACAAAAGTAATAATTGAATATACGTGGATATATTTTTTACAAGTTTTCTTTTAATCATCAATACAATATATATTTATGTATATTCACTGTAATCATTAAATTACTACCAGTAACCTAAAATTTATATTTATGTGCAAAAAATTATTTATTTAAAGTTTATACCTTCTGTATATATAAATTATATATCTTGTCTTTAAGTTATAATTCCTCTGTCTTATTTATTATGTCTACTCCGTCCATCCCACTTATTTGTCAATAATTATATATTTTAGTTTTATTTTAAATTTTTAAATTTATATTTTTTAAATTCTAATAAAACTAATTATCTATTTTAATTTTAATTTAAAATTATTTTTGTTATACAATAATTATTTTCATTAATACATTTTTAATTATTTACTAATTATACTCCTCCTAAATTATCGTGTCTACAATAAAATGGATATAATATCGGGACGAAGACAATATTATCTTATTTCAATACAAATTTATGTGGCCTATTTCATTGTGTTTTCTTATTTTATATATTGTGTTTTCATATTATACAATTTGTTGTAAAAATAATTTTTCGTTTAAAATATACGATAGTTAGTTTATATTTTTTTTATTAATATACTACATTAAAAATCGTTATTATTCAGTACAGTTTATAAATATATAATTTACTTTCAAGACTTTATATTTAAAACATATGTTTATTTGAAATTTTTAAAATTCAAACATTGGATAAAAACTATAACCAAACATAAACGAACTACTCACCGATGTCACGGGATGACATTCATGCCCCTAATTCTCGGCCATAGTCCGTCCTATGTGTGCGAGTCTCTGTCTTGTACGGCCGACTAATGACCCATATCTTTGTGCAAGTACGTGTTATGCATGATTCTCCCATATTGTATGGTATATCCCAGGCGTGTTGCGCACAGGGGACGGCTGGTCTGGGCCTAGGCGCCGGGCGTGTCAGCTTCTGGACACATTACATATGGTATCAGAGCGAACCTTGACGCTGGTGGCGAACTAAACGACAAAGTGGGCATGTCTCGAGACAATGAGCATGGCACGTCAAGGATGATCAGGATGATCATGTCCTAAAGTAACTGGACAGTCCGACGTTGCCCAGCACATCAAGGAAGAGCATGTCCTAAGGTAACTAGACATCCCAATGAGGGGAGCATGCTCGACGTTGCTGAAAGGGCCAAGAGGGCCGAGCTTTATTCGTGAGGGAAAAACCAAGTTAAGGATGATCATCGGGCGAAAATCGCACACGTCGCAACAACGGATATCCTGGATGGTGTGTGGAGATGCGCAGCGGAAGTTGGGTCGCATGCGGATTATGGCAAAAAGACCTCGCTGGCTGTTGGTGAGCACAAAAGGAAGGGTATGCAAGAAAGGGTCGACGGAGTGATACCGGAGGCATACCGAGGTGCAAGAAATAACGTCAATGCACTCAAGTAGCGTCGCACGAGGGCGTTTGCAACTTGAAGTGGGAAGTTTGTCACGGGCTGACATTCCTGCTCCTGATTCTCGACCATAGTCCGTCCCATGTATGTGAGCCCCTATCCTGTACGGCCGACTAATGACCTATATCTTGGTGCAGGTACGTGTTCCGCATGATTCTCCCATACTGTATGGTATATCCCGGGCGTGTTACACACAGGGGACGGCTGGTCTGTGCCTCAGCGCGAGCGTGGCCTAGGCGCCGGGCGTGTCAGCTTCCGGACACATTACACAAATCTATGTTGACATGTACACATGATTTGTGGGTGCTCAGATAATGTTAGATCCGTACTTTCCGTCGCTAAAACATCAAAATTAAATTCTAGAGTACTAAGTGAAACATTAATTATATGAATACAAAGAATAAAAATAATAACAAATTTCACCAATAAAATTGAAATGTTATTACTTTTGTATGAATTAACAGTAAATGTGTAGTTTCTTAAATATGTTTGTTAGAAAGTTTAATTTAGTTATGTACTGATGTATTCCATAAACATTGTACATGGGAGAAATCCAAAAGATCGAAAGCTATCCAAAGACAAAAATTCGAAGATTCAAAGTCAGAATTAAGTCGGTTACATCAGACAAAGAGTTAACAATAATGTAATGAAAATATTACAGGGTTTAGGGTTTAGGGTGAATTAGTTAGTAGATTGATACCAACTAAATCAAATATATTTACTCGATCTTAACTCAATTCCATAGAAGAGGAAAAGATTGGGATTTCATAGAACCACATAGTATGTGTTCTTTTGTGAATTTTACCGACAGATTTTTACTATTCAAATTCTTTAGAAATATCTTATCAAACAATTATTTTTTTATATATACAAAATATCACGTCAATATATATTTATATCACATCAAACAATTATTCAAATTAACTTTTTACTATTCAAAAATCCAAACCCACAAACAAATTAGATCTATTAAGAGATAGATTAGATAGATTGATACTTCATCAAGAAAGTGTTGAAATATTATAATTATTCTTCGGTGTGAATTGAACGTGATAGGAAGAATCAATTCAGAACTTTCAAATTAAACAACAAATCATTCAATCGAAGATAAAGACTTTGATGCTAAGGCATTGAAGAGTTGTCTTACGATGAACTAATCCAAACAATCGTTGGAACACAAGTTTTTGTGAAGTATTTATAACTCTTGGATTTAGTGATCGTAGTTTGGTTTTTTGAGTGAATTTTGAAAGGGAAACTCATATTATAGATAGAAATATTTGTGTGTTTGTTTTGGGGTTTGGATTTTGAGTTGAGATTTAAATAGTAAAAATTTTGAATTTGAATATTTATATGATGTGCTATAAATAGGTATTGATGTGATGTTTTGAATGTAAAATTGATTTATAGTATAATATAAAAAATGAAAAATAGTTGTTTGATTTAAGGACAAATCCCCAAACAAGAGTTTTGTCTGAATTGGTATCCCAGAAATAGAATATAGTACTCGAACTTGGAGAACAAATTGTTGTGTTTTTTTTCTTTGTTTGTTGCTCGTATTGTCAAACGAGAGTTACCATAACGTACCTACATCGGAATAATTAAATTATACTTAAATAAAATTAAATTTTCATATAATATTACAAATAAATAAACATGTATATAATTTAATATTTTTTAAAAAAAAAATAAATTTGAAGCTTAAAATCCACCCAAAATCTCAGGAGTAATCGTACCCAAAGTAAAGTCACATAGCACTAGTATGTAATAGAATATTATCTACGCGCTACGTACATTTTGACTCACCTAATTAGAGTACAATTTGTCAACTAAGACAATGTATTAAAGAAAAAAAAAACAATTTTATAAATTGACTTTTGGAATGTAAGTCAAAGTCTCTATCTTGGCCTTTTGCATTGACCAAATTAGCCCACTTTAGTCACACTCATAATAGTCGTTTTAAATATAATAATCTGCATAGGGTGTATTTTATTTTTATATTTTATAATTAAATTAAATAAATTTTAGAATGATGTTAGCGGACGCGGATCTAATTATATATTTTTATATAATGCAATATACACAATATTATACTAAAATATCAAGTTGAATAGTATGCTGAAATCCAGTTACTAATAATTAAATAACTTAATATATTTTTAGAATAATTAAAATTAATTTAGTATGTGCTGAATAAATTAATTAGCTCAGCACATTATCCGAATTCATAAAATATTTCATCAGCCAAAAATATATTTATTTTTATTTTGTTACGTTCAATTATAAAATAATTATTTTATTAAATAACTTACATCACATTATACTATTTTTAATTATCTATTATAATTAAAATATTATTATTTTCTTATAGTATATTACTACTATTTTAGTTAATCTCATTCAAAATTATTTTTTTTAATAAAAATAATTATACACTAATATTAAAATATATTTTTATTTAAATTATAAATATATCATTATATATAATTATTTAATACTCCTGGTCCTACTTTCTTTAAAATGTCCAACAATTATTGTCTTATTTTTATTTTTATACATAAAATTTATTTTTTTACTTTTACTTTATTCACTGTTTCATTTTCTATATATAAAATTAAGGACAAATTTGTCATTTTATAACAAAAAAAAATCTAATGGCCTAAAAATAAGTGTAAATAAAATACCAATGCATGATCCATGATGGAACCAAAACACCAGATCAAGCAAGGCATTAGACGGGAATGAATGGGTTCCAGAACTGGTGTTCAAGTCCCGGTGTTGCTGTGGTTACCAGTCAACCATCCTCCTCCCACCTAACTCAATTCAAAGCAGACGCTGCTCTTTCAAACGTTCATTATTTTATATATATATATGTATATATGTCGTGTACAGCAAGTAGAGAGAGAGGTGACGTGGATGGCAGTGCATCGCCTGCAGAATTGAAGTCAGGATCCTTGAAAGTTGAAGACAGGGAAGGATATCTTTCTATCGCAGAAAATTTGGGAAAAAGAAATAGGGTTTTGCAGGTGAGATGAGATGAACAGTTAGCTGCAAGCATTAATGAGAGCTGTTGGTTCTGTTGCACTTCCCTTTCCGCACCATTCAATTCATCACCTTTCAACTCAACTATTAAACTCCATCACGCTCCAATTTCATCTCTTTCTCTATTCAAGTTGAAGTTGTGCTTTTGCTCTGTTCTACTCATCAGCCGGAAATTCTGGAATTCAAAGTCGAATCGTCAAAGCTGCTTCAAGGATAATGAACTGTTTCTATCATATCAAGGAAAAGGTTAGAAATAGGGCACAGAAATCCGCACCTGTTTTGAAGAACCAGAGCAGATCCGAACTATCATCTGAGCCGGAGAGAACAGCCAAATCCTCTGGTTCAACAAACGAGCCTCGGAGGATACCAGAAATCTATCAAGAGAAAGCTCAAAACCTTAGGGTATTTTCATTCGCCGAGCTCAAGCAAGCGACAAGTAATTTCAGCAAATTGCTCAAAATCGGCGAAGGCGGTTTCGGAATCGTGTACAAAGGAAACATTAAGCCTGTCGACGGAAACGGCGAATCTCAAGTAGTCGCCATCAAAAAGCTCAACAAGGATGGATATCAGGTACGGATGTTCAATTCAATTATCTATCTTCTATCAATTCGATTCAACCTCTGAAATCCGATTGTTCGAGGATTATTTCAAAATTACTGAACAGAAATCCCTAACCTGATATCTCTAACATCCGGAGGAGCGTTAGATCCAGCTGAAGCATTTCTAAGTTTGTTCATCTTGTTAGGGCCACAAACAATGGGTTGCAGAGGTGCAGTTTCTAGGCGTTGTGGAGCATCCAAATCTCGTGAAGCTCATAGGATACTGCGCTGTGGATGGCGAGCGGGGAATACAGAGGCTGCTAGTGTACGAATACATGAAGAACAAAAGCCTCGAAGATCATCTCTTCAACAAGGCAATTCCAGCCCTGTCCTGGGAGCTAAGGCTCCAAATAATCCTCAGAGCAGCTAGAGGATTAGCTTATCTGCACGAAGAATCAGAAATTCAGGTCATACCTTAACCTCTGGTTATTCAATTCATCGTAATTGTCTATTATCATCGCTGCAAAATGATAGATGTTAACCAAAATAATCATGCATACTAAGTTGCATACACTCTTCGCTTATAATTAGGTTATATACCGCGATTTCAAGTCATCGAACGTGCTTCTGGATGAGGACTTCATGCCGAAGCTTTCAGACTTCGGTCTTGCCCGAGAAGGTCCTTCTGCCGGCAACACACATGTTTCTACTGCGGTACAACATTTTCTTAAACATATCAAACCGAGCAAGAAAAACAGTCGTAAGACCGCAAGAATTTTACTTACATTTTTTGTTCATAGGTGGTCGGAACATATGGATACGCAGCCCCCGATTACATAGAGACAGGGCGTCTCACCTCTAAGAGCGACGTCTGGAGCTTCGGCGTCGTGCTGTACGAAATCCTGACAGGCAGAAAATCGTTGGAGAGAGATCGTCCGAGATCAGAACAGAAACTTTGGGAATGGGTGAAACTCTATCCAGCAGACAGTAAGAAATTCGGCATGATAATGGACTCGAGGCTTGAAAATCAGTACTCGCTCAGCGCAGCTCGTAGGATCGCCAAACTTGCCGATACCTGTTTGCTAAAGAGCGCAAAAGATCGACCAAAGATGAGCGAAGTAGTAGAAGCCCTGAATCAAATCGTCCAGGCTTCAAGCGCAGAAAGCCCACCTACAAAACATCCAGAGAACACCGACGATAACGACAATCTGGAGAAAAAACACGAAATGCAGGAAGGTAATATTGCCGAATCAGCCAAACGGCGAATGGAACATTTAGCTAAAATAAGTGAGAATCTTGATGGCGTCGATGCAAGAAGATTTATGATAATGCAGAGGACCAGAGTGATGTGATCGAAATTTTTACTCGCTCATCCGGCTTCTTTAGCACTGCGGATATTGTAAATCAGATACATCTTTTAGGAGCTTTTGAATGTAACTTAGAGCGACTAATGAATTAGCAACTAGTCGGTTTCAGTTCATACGTCAATGTGTATACTTCTATGTTGTCTCCGTTGCACCGGAGAATTACTATAACTGATAGCTACGCCGCAGTCTATCTATTCCAATTCGATAATCTTACAGCTCATTGGTAATTTTTTCAAAAAAACATCGCATCAACTAATTATATCCTTCCACGAAACATCAAAAACCCGTTTAGGATATAACAATAAGTTTCAATCTTATCAAATTCGAAACAAACATCCTCCTTAAATCTTATACGAACATACCGGTTGCATTCTTCGTCAACATCATGACTTCTCTCATAAGAATCTTTGCATTCTTCGTCAACATCATGACTTCTCTCATAAGAATCTTCTTCGTCAACTCGAGCAGTTCTGATCAAATGAACACAGCAGAAGTTAGCCCAGGTGATGATCTCGCAGATGTAATAAACATGATGGGAAGTTATATAGAACCACATCGAAGATTTCAGAAGCAAGTTATACCTGCAGTGAAAGCACAATTATCGTATAAACATGTGTGATTTCTTTACTGCGCGATATATACAGAGTAAGGGAAATTACCTTATCGACCTCCATGCCAAAAAATGGTCGAGTAGAATGTCTGCCTCGATGCATTCCCGATCCAATAATGTGATGCTTTATGCATATATAGATGAAAGAATCGTCGTCCACACATAACAAAAGGATTTCCATTTCCATTTAATGGCGTAAGTGTTGGATCAACGGCAAACAGCCCGGAGTGTAATCAGACATTTACACGAGCCAAATCCCGGAACCATCAAGCATTTCATAAACTCATTTGTTCATTGCTTCCATGTTCGTCCTAAATCTTCTGTCAATAAAATCCAAAGGGTCAAAGCTCATCTTCCGACTAATCTGATTTCTGTGTACAAAGTCATATGTTATGTACATCAAGAAGTCTAAGAAGAAACTCTTCGCTGTAATCTCTTTTGTGCTAGTAACATCTTCGATGTCATGATACGCCTTGTCGAGAATGTTGTGAGTTATCTCATCAAATTCAAATGAAATCTCCTGCAACTTCCGTGCCCACATCACTGTCCGGTGCGGCAATCCTTGCCTGTGTAGATTAGACAGCAACATATTAATCGTCACTAAATCCGGAACAAAAGCCATCTTGAGCAATTTTGCTGTCAAGACCATCGCACGATCAAGTATATCGTGACAGATCCCGTTCAAAAGTGTGTTGTATGTAACTGTATCCGGAACTATTCCCGCGGAAATAAGCTCATTTAACAACACAACAGCTCGGTTCATCCTCATGGTTCGGCAAGAACCATGAATCTGTATGTTGTAGGTATAGATATCCAGATCCCAACCACTAGTCTGCAATCTGTTTGCCAAGTTTTCGGCGTTTAACATGTCTAACTGATTGCAGTAGCCGCTGATCAAAGTGTTGTACGTCACGATATCCGGGCTAACCCCATGTCTATGCATCTCAACATATGCATCCATGGCAGACTTCATCCTCCCCTGCTTGCAGAAACCGTTTATAAAAATATTAAACGTGATGATATCCGGCAGCAAACCCCTTTCTCGCATCTCCATCTCCAATGTCAACGCTTCGTTCATCTTTCCGCAGCTGCAAAATCCAGAAATTAAAGAATTGAACACGAAGTTGTTAGGCACGAGTCCTTTCCTTGTCATTCTTACATACATATCGTACGCCTCTTCGACATAGCCCCACCGAGAAAGTCCATCGATGAAGGCAGAAAAAGCAACAGCATCAGGGGCCATTCCACACATCTCCATTTCTTTCCATATATCCTGAGCTTCGATAATATCTCCGTTCTTAAAATATCCATCAAAAACAACAGTGAAAGCTGCTCTGCTCATTCGATAACCCTTCTCCGCCATCTTGTGTATTAGAATTCCGGCTTCTCGGAGCCTTCCAGTCTTGCATAAACTTAAAAGAAGAGAAGTACATGTCGAAGCTGAAGGAGTCGTCCCGAATCTCACCATAATGTTATAAACTTCAAATGCTTTGTCTTCTAATCCCGCTTTCGCATAGGCAACAATTAATGAGTTGTACGCAATTACATTCGTAGGAATTCCCTCATCAAGCCCTTTCTTCAATAATTCCAAAGCTTCATCTAATTTCCCAGCCCAACATAATCCCTCAATTGACATATCCGATAACCAATTAGGAAAAAACGCCATCCTCGAAATATTTCTCACCAATTCGTCTCCATTCACCTCCTTCCCATACTTGCAATGACCTGCAGCCAAAATGTTGAAAGTTACACCATCAGGAGCCACGCCATTGTTCGTCATTTCTTCGAAAAGCTTGTTTGCTAGATCAATTTCTCTCGCTTTAATATACCCATCCATCAACGCATTGTACAAGAAAGTGTTAGGAAGCACATCCATTTCCTCCATTGCATCAAAGATTTTTCTCGCTCCCACAACATTACCATCCTTGCAAAAAGCATTCACAAGCATACAGAACGTAGTCGGGCTCGGATGGCAACCACTATCTACCATCAAACGCAACAAACCAAGCGCATCCCAAGCCCGCCCCTTTGCACAATACGCATTTATTAATATATTATACGAATGAACATCCGGATCACACCAAAACTTACTCATGATAAACAGCAAACTTTCAGCAACGCTAACAGCTCCCCTTTTAGAAAAGCCAAGAATCATCATATTGAAGACGTAAATCGAGGGGATAGGCCCTCTTCGAAGCATATCCCTGAACAACTTCCATACACTGCCATAATCACCAAGCCTAAGCAGAAGCTTTACTAAATTACAAATGGCTGATTGTTTCGGCCTACATCCAACTTCGAAAATCCTACCCAAAACCTCCAATGCACAATGTGCCATCTCTGCATTTGTAAACGATCGCATTACTGTATCAAGAATGAGAAAGGATGATGCATTCTTGCAGCTCTCACCCCACACGAGTTTATAGCTCCTATTCTCTCCTATTTCTTGAATAATCCAAGTGAGTACATCTTGACCTAAAACCCTAAATTCTTCGAACACTAACAAACGAACCAATACGCAACAATGTCGAATTGTACAATCCGAGTGGTCTCGAAAAACATATTTAAAAAACGCAAAGGAAATTTGCTGAGTTTCGAACTTTTTCATTATCTCAAAAAGTTTAAACGGGCAGAAATCGCTGGAAAATTGCTGTAAAAGGTACCCCTTACGCTGCTTGATAATCTCCGAAATTCCGACGGCCAGTTTACGCCTCTCATTTGAATTAACCACCGTCTCGAACGAGCTGCTGCAACTGTTTCCGTGAGGCGAAAATTGCTCCAGAAAATCGAACTTCGAAAAAATAGGAAATGAATTTGAGCTACTGAAGCAAGCCAATTGAATCAACTGACGATAGAGAGTCGCAGCGGGAATAGAGAGGAAATGAGGTAGGGTTTCCGAGTGTAGATGGAGAGAGAGAGAGCCAGGATGGCATAACTTGAAATTGCTGCGCAAAGCAGCAGACATCAGAAGCTCGCCGAAGAATCGTCGGAAATCGTCGCCGCCGGCGTCGGCTTCTGAAGAGGGCAAAGTTCGTCGGCTCACAGTTAGATTTTCCGACCGCCGGTTTATCATCCGATTTATCAATGGCAATAATTTGATTCTGGGCCTTAATTTTTAATTTTTAATTTTTGGGCCTACTTTGGGCTAAGCCCATTATGAAAAATAATAATGTTTCTCTTTTCTAACACGTCACTTTAGACATTTTTATCACAAATAGGTTGCTTTTTGTTACAACTTGTGAAGTAGTTCGAAGCATGGTCTTATTGCATTGAGTAACGAAATATTGTTTGATTATAAATAAAGTTATAATATAATATTTATATATATTTGCACAAAAATATTATACTTCAAATAAATTCAATAAATTATACTCAATACATATACTTTTATTATAAAGAAATAAGGTATATAATATAAATTAACAAAATTATTTAATATATTACTAGAATAAATTAGTTTATAAAATATCATATCACAAGTAAATCCTATCTTAAAAATAAAATAATTGAAAAATAAAGTGTGTGTTTTTATTCAAATTTTTCTAAAATTTTATTATTTAAATTCTGTATTTTTTGAAATATATATATCTATATTCTTTTCAAAAAAAATATGTGTTGGGGTGCAAACCCAAGTTCCATATCGGAAGACTAAGAAAATTTCACACCTTATAAGTCTCAAGTGAACTCCACTAGTACGAGGCCTTTTGGAGAATATCCAAAAACAAATTCGTGCTGGATTTGCCCAAAGCGGACAATATCATAGTTGAATTGACTCAATCCCAACAATATGTCATCAAATATTATTAAATACAAATTTTAAATCATTTTTTTTTTCAAATCAAACCCAAAAAACAATACCTAAATAAAATTGGAAACCTGTACCAAATGAAGACTTCAACTGCAAAATAAAGAGAGCAATATTTAGTTTTTACAGATATTTTTTAAAAAAATTTAAATTCAATATTATTTTTTAAATATCACCTTAAATATTTCTTTTCTTTTATTAAATATTCAAAAAAATAATTATTTTCAAAGTTTTCAAAATTTTCCAAATTCTATGACTCCAGATGTTGCAAGTTCATCTGCTCAGTCAAATGTTACTCACATCAATATTATAATCATTTAATAAAATAACGTTATGTATGTTATCAATACTATCAAATAATATTATAATATCATGATAATATATATTATTATCATTGTTAAATATTGGTAATAAATTCAATGATTTGAATTATATTATTTTAAATAATATCCAATTCATATAGATGTTGTATCTATCATCAATTGTATTCTTAATAATATATAGAAGCTGAGTAGGAAGTGGTCAATAATTTAAACATTTTTTTTTTAAATGACGTGGAAACCCGCAACCGCTACCTGAAAGTGCGCACTAGGTAAACTCCCGACCGAACCTAATACATATATATACTTGGTTTAATTTATGCACTATATTTGAAGTTCAATATATATATATATATATATATTAAACTCACAATCTTACAATATGCTAAAGAATGATCAATTGTGCAATCATTTTAGAATATGGTTATTGCTAATAAAATCATAATAATAATAATAATAATAATAATAATAATAATAATAATAATAATAATAATAAATTTTATTATTTGAGCGTTGTTTTTCTCTAAAAAAAATATTTTTTTATAAAATATTAAATGAAATATTATGTAAATACATATTTTAAATTAAGTTTTTGACAATCTAAATCCAAAAAACTTTCAATGTAATAATGATTAAATTGATTATAAAATGAGTATAATAGTAAAGTTTTAAATTTTTTAAAATAATATACTCTCTTTTCTCACTTATTATGTTCATCTATCTTCATCTTTTCATTTTTATCTGTTCAACTTATTATGTTATTTTTTCTTATTTGAAAAAAATTATACATTTTAATATCATTTTAAATTTATTAATTTATATTTTTAAAATTTTTAATTAAATTAATTAATTATTTTAATTTTAAATTATTTTTATTACACGATAATTATTTTCAATAGTAATTATATACTCTTTATAAATTTGTCCATCGTAAATAAAACAAGATAGGAGAAATGGAGGGAGTATATATATATATATATATATACATACATAAATATATGTTGTCCGCAGGGCCCTCTAACTTTATGTTCTAACCACACTCTAAAATTCAATCAATAATTACCACAAAAAATAAATACAATAATAATAATAATAATAATAATAATAATAATTGGTAGCCGTCTCTTCGTCAACCTTAACAGCCTTCAGAATCAACTTTGAAGATCCCAAGTTTAAAAGAAAAAAATGATCAATCAAAGAACAGGTCTGGCTGCAGAAGCATCAAAATTGACTCTGAATTTGATGCTCAAACCAAACGACAAAACAGCAAAGTTGGATGATACGCAACTGTTCCATAGATTAGCATCAAAATACAGATCAATATTAACCAAAACTACACCTCCACGAGGCACGCACTTAGAGGACGCTCGATCCTCTGTTTGTATACACAGGCAGCAGCAATTCAGGTGCCAATTTCGAGGAAAGTGTAGCCAGAAGAGATACGAGTGGAGGAAAAAAAATGGATAAATATGATTACAACAAAGTCAAAATTGTTGGACAAACCAATCGATCGATTGTCCGTCAGTCTGTCCGTGTGATTTACTTTTTATTGCTGAAAAAGTATATTCAAGTTCAAGCAACAGCTACCGTGCCAGTTCGTACGGCTTTCTCGGTGTCGCTTTCTTTGGAGGATTCTGAGGTCTGCTGTCTCACTGACTTCGATCTCTTCGAGGAGGATGATAGCCTCTGCTTTTTCTCCTCAGCCTCGTCCATTTCAATCTGCTCTTGTCTGCACTCCTGACTGCAGAACGGTTTATTCCCTCTGCAGAATCACGTCCACACGAGGATGAATACCATAATTCGAGTATAACTTATAACATAACAAAATGAAAAAAAAAAAAAAAAAAAATCATCGATCGGCTGAACTACCTGTACATGAAGATGTCGCTGTTCGGATTCAGCGATCGGTTGCAGAGCGAGCAGGAATCGAGGAAATGAGGCTCGTAGTTGTCGTATTCGGATCCGGCGTAGTACGCGGAAGAGGAAGCCATGCTCGGAGGTCCGGTGGAGAAGTGCAATTAGGGTTTGGAAATTTGGGATTTCGGGGGGAAGGGAAGAAAGGGAAGAAGCGGTTTTATATAGATCTAAGAATGGAGGCAAAACTGTGGGCTGGTCCAGGTGTAATGATCCGCAGTTGCGTGGACCACCTACACCCAGCCTTTATTGGCCGTTGGATTTGGGTGACGTACTTAACCCACCTACGTACCTTATAATTCATTACTATTTTTTTTTTTTTTTATATTTATATATATTTGATCGGATAAAAATTTTTAAAAATCAAATAAACTTTAAAAAGAAAAATTATTTTATAATTAAAAAATAGAATTTTATTTAATTATTCATTAAAATATTTTGGGGTGTACTTAAGTCTTTTGTTGTCTGTGTGTTGGTGTTTTTTTAATGAAAGTTTTTATAAAATATACAATTAAACTAACTATGAATTATTAGTTTACAAAATTTATTTTTTAGATTTTCATTTAATTTTTTATTTGAACGCTGAGTACGATGTGACATTCGACTATAAATATAAATAAGTGTGCTTTTATATATATATATATATATTTAGAGTTAAAAATTGAATTTAATTTCAAAAAAAAAAAAAAAGCATAGCAACAATATTTTATTTAGGAGGGTTTTTAAGAAAAATAAAATTAATTTTATAGGACATAGAGAATATAATATTTTTTACAATAAAACTTATTAAAGAAATTTTTTAAAAAAAAAAAATCGTCATTATAAATATATAAATATGATATCTTAAATAAAAAAAAATATTAAATATAATAATAATAATAATAATAATAATAATAATAATAATATTTAAATTAAAAGTAATCACAAAATACTCCAAAATAAACATTGCAAGCATTCCCATGCCATTTTTTCACAATTATTGACCCAGATTGTGGGATAGGTTTTCTATTGGTCCAGAGCAACTGAGTGCAGTACACCCTCCACCACAGGATAATTACCTCTATCCCACGTGGCATATTATGAATGGTTTAAAATAAATTACAAAAAACATTGAATTTGGGAGTATTCTTTTTGGCAATAAATACTCTTTATGTTTGTTCGAATGTATAAATATGAAATTTAATAAAAATAAATAATTTTTTTTACTTAACAAATAATAATATTTTTTATAATAATTTAAAAATAAAAATAAATTAGATGACGAAAAAAACAAAAATCTTCATAATTTATTATATATGGTGTTCAATATAAATATATTATTTTTTATAAAATATTATATTAAAAATTATTTAAATTAAATAAACAATTCAAACCGAAATCCAATCAAGGCAAACAATTAGGGTTTAAATTATAAAATATCAAGAAATTTTAATTTTAGATCATGTTTAAATAGAACTTATTTTTTATTTGTAAAAATACTAAATAATTAAATAACTCATATAATTTTTTTAAAAATAAAATAAGTATTTAATATAATATTTTTTAATAAAAATATTATTAATAAAAGGTGGCACCAAATTTAAAAAGTATAAAGGTGAAGAGTGCAAAATTTTCCACTTCTAAAGTATTACATCATCCTAAAATGTAACAATACTATACTGTAAGGAAAGGTACCTAAAGCGAAAAATGACAACTATGACAGAAATATATTCATAAAGTCCACCGTCGTAACACATAAACTAAATTAAATTAGGTAAAAATAAATAAATAATAATATAAGTCCCAAATGAACTCCAACGAGGCATTTTGGAGAATATTCAAAAGTAAATCCGTAGGGACTCAGCCTAAAATGAATAATATCGTACTAGTGTTGAGTTGAACCAGTCCCAATAGATACTATGTATCCCATTTATTAATTATAAATAAAAAAATTAAAACATGTGAAAATATGACGTAATATATTTTCGATTTCTTTTGAAATGAAATATTTAATAATTATTTTATATAAAAATAAAATGTAAAATTAATTTTATAAATAAATGGTGGGGCCAGGAAAGCCCACAGTAATGGATAACCCAGGAATTAAAAAGGCTGGGTGGAAACCGTAAGCCCACCGAAAAATTCCTGGGCCCACAAAATTTTGTCGTTTTCCGACACGCCACCTTGGAGCTGCGTCGGATTGGGGCCCACGCACCATATGCCCATAAATTACGTGGCCCCACTTCTTGGCAATAAAGGGGGGCAACATCATCATCACCACCCACGTGGGCCCCGCACGGGTAGGTCTGACCGCTGCCCGCGGGTAAGCAATTATTGGTGGCCAAATTCTACGTGGCACGGAAAAGCGAACGCCAGCCCCGAATATGGATTTGTATGTGCAATTGAATTTCACAATTCTGTGTTTGTTTGTGTTTTTTTAGTGCAATGCTATTTTACATGTTTCAAATACAGTAATAATAATAATAATAATAATTTCTTCATTCCTTAATATATTATCTTTTTTTTTTCAGTTTTTTTTTTTTTTCAGTCTGATCCATTCCATAATAAATTATTCATTTTTTTTTAATAATTATATTATTTATTTAACATTACAAATACTTTACAGTTTACAATAGATTACACAAATATCGTTACTTTTATATCTCACAATACTTATAAAGTTATTTTAGTCATTTCTATTTTATTTTTACTATATCCTAATATAATACAAATATTTCTAAAATTTCATACAAAAAGCAAACTAGTACATAGAGATGGGACGGATGAAGTAATAATTTTGTACAATGATACTATTTTTATTTTAGTATGTCCTACAAAAAAAAATACTATTTTTTATGTTTAGTAAATTTTATTAATCTAATACTATTTATGTTTCAGAATTATAATTTTAGTTGTATTGAATACGAAATTTAAAAAATATTTATATTATATTGACAGTTGGTAAAAAAATATATAAAGTAAAAGATATTTTTATCTTTATTAATGTATTATTATAAAAGTTAATCGTAATTATATAATAATAATAAAAAAAATAAAAATATTTATATGATAATATAATTATTTAAAAATAAAATAATTATTTTAAAATTGACAAAAATGTCATGAAAAACTAAGATATTAAAACAACAAATGAAGTACATATTTAATAAATATAATTATTTGAAATGAAGGTAAAAAATATTTTAAGTGCAATCTGAGTTCTATCTAGGATCTGGCCGGGATAGATGACGTGGACGGCTGAGATTTAATTAATGAGGAAAAGGGGAAAATCGCTGGGGAATATTCAGTAGTCAGTAGTACCTTCCCACACGTGACAGGCGGACTGGCACGTGTCCAATAGGATTGGAATATACAGACGGATTAATTTTGAATGATTAAAAAAATGTTTGTAATGACACGTAGGATTATTGTATTGTAATGGCGATTTTGTCTAATAGTAATAATGGAGGGTGGACCACAAGTCCCGCCCTGGCAGGTTCATTCGGTGATCCAGATGCAGCGGCCAATGAACGTGGTAGAGATTACGGGGAGATTGGAAACGACGACTTTAGGGCATTTTCATGTTATGTCGTCATTTGCATTTGTAACAATATGTGAATAGATTATGACGTTTTTTACTTTTTTTTTTATTATTTTATTTTATTTTTATTTATTATGTCATCGAAACTGTTTAAGAGTCATCGGATTTGGGCTTTTTCTATTTGTTACTTTTTTATGGCAACTTGTAGATAATCTCCACCGTAGGAATCCACATGATGGTGGATGGACGGTTTGGATCGCTTTCTAGTGATTAAGTTGCTAAGCAACATCATCCACCTGTCCACGTAACACATTTCCGTTTGTTCACTTAATGTGTATTATTATTATATTCGGTATTTATTTATTTTATATAAAGTGACGTATTCAATAATTATTTTATTTTAGAAGTTTAAAATTTTACTGATATTTAAAAAAGAAATACCAAGTTATTTCTTCATTTTAGATAATATTATTATTATTAATTTGTAATGATATAATTTGATTAGACAAAATAATATAGGCTACATGTTTTCATACATATTTAACAGTTAACACTATTAAATACTACTCCCACAGGCATAGGCATCCAAATATAAGTTTCGAATAGCGATTGCGGATTCACACGTCGTTAAAAATATATAAATTTATTTTTTTAGTTAACATAAATATATATATATATATATATATGAGAAAAGAGTATCAGTTTAATGTAAATTTAAACATTAGTTAGCCAAGTAAAATTATTGTGAATATTTCAAATAATATGCATACATGTAACATAGATATATATATATGGATAATTGGTATGGTTCTTCAACTCCAAATTTAAGGTTGTCCACTGTCCGGCTCGCAACTTGCAGGTTTTATTTTTTATTTTTTATAAAATTAAAATATAATTTAAGGGTGTGTTTCTTTAACTCCAAATTTGGAGTTGTCCACTGTCTAGCTCTGCAATCTGCAGGTTTTATTTTATTTTTTATTTTTTAAAAAAATTAAAATATAATTTATTATTTATTATAATTATAGGGAAAAAGTATATATAATATATGTCATTTTGTAGAAAATAAAATTTTCTATGATACAAATCAAAACTCTCCAGACCCCAACCAAACCTAAACGGAAGAAACAACAAAATCTAAACCCATCTCAAAATTCAAATAAAAACCAAACCCAAATCCAAATTTTCTCAAACCCTCCTAAAGAAACACACCCAATATTACATAAAAAAAAAAAAAAAAAACATTAACAATTTTTCAATCAGTAACCTATATTAAATAGAAATATTTCTTATTTTTTATTCTGGCATATGAACAAGAACATTTCTCCTGCACAATTGTGACACAGATTGCGCAAATATTTTGTCTCATTAATTCAGATATGTTAAAGAAATAAGATACACAATTGGAGTAACTCAAAGAGATTGCGCAAGCATTTTGTCTCATCAATTCAGATATGTTGAAGAAATAAGATACATAATTGGAGTAAGTCCGAAATTTGTACGAAGAAACACCCTATGCAGAATCAATGTTAAAGGGAATTAATCGTTATTGACTGTGAGCACATTTGAGAGAATTGTTTTAGAGAGTGAAATATCTGTTGGAGCTCTCACTCATGTCCCGCTTCATGTTCATGTTCTAAATTCGTTTTTACCATTCAAATTCGCCGAAAGTGTCACTGAATGAAGGAGTTTGAATTCCAATTAGAGTTCGCGATCATCTCTTGAACTGCATTATTCTCTATTTGTCGTAGACAACTGCTGTTATTAATGATTATACCCTAAATCGGTATCTCCAAATATAGATTTGTTTATAATCGAACAATTTTCCAACAACCTCGTTGTAAAAAAATCACTCAATGTACCAACTCAATCATCGCATGTGTATGTATATTGAATAATAATTTGATTCAAGAAAATAAAGTAATCATTAAATTCGGTTAAAAACTATTTTAAATAATTTATTCTTGGATTTTTCAACAATCATATTTAAATATTTGGTTGAAGATTTTGATAAGAAAAATAAAATAACATTTCAACTTTTCATGCAATGATTAATCTATCAATGAGTATAAAGAAATACAAATAATTGAGGAAGAAATTAAAAGATATTGGCCACAAAATATATGAAAAGGGGCATTCAAACAATAATAGTTTAATATAATGATGTTTATATAAATTAGAGTGTCTATTCTTCTGTATTTTTAATTTTGATTTTTTTTTCAAATTAAAATAATACTCCCTCCGTTCCCATGTAATATGAGTGTATTACTGTAAACACGAGAATTTAAGTAAAATATAATTAGTAAGTAATTAAGAAGTGTATTAGTAAAATAATTATTATTTAGTAAAAATAATTATAGATTAAGATTAAGATAAGTAAATAGTTTAATTAAAATTAAAAAAATTATAAAATTAAAAATTAAAAATTAAAAATGCAAAAATAAGAAAGGACAAATTATGTGGGACGGACGAAAATAGAAAATATGGACAAATTATGTGGGACGGAGGGAGTAATTAAATATAATATTTCACATAAATAAAATTATTAAAGAAATATATATATATATATATATGTATATTGTGACGGATCTAGTATTTTGAATTAGATGGGTTGATAAATTAATATAATTACCTTAAAATTAAAATAAATAAATAAATAAATATATCAACAAAAATTTACATTAGAAAAATACAAAACTTTCAAATTAACAATCACTTATACATCAAAATAGTTAGAAGTGTTCACAACGAGATCTTATATTTTGGTATCGGCTGACAATAGCATCTATACTAACTTTCTTAAATACATCTCTTTCTAGAAAAGTAACGAAACAATAATTTAATAATTACTTTTCAATGTATTCCGTAATTTTTTTTTATTGATGATAGTTATAGTTGAAAATTATCTCTCCGCGATTGCAATTACTATTTCTTATGTCTCTAACAAATTTTATAGAAAATTCATTTATATTCTTCAAATCCCAAGATATTTTATCACATTGACCATCAATAATGAAATTATTTAATAATAATTCGAAAATCATCAATTTTGCTTCTGAAAATTTTGTAGGATATAATTATGCAAGTAATTGCAATATCTTTTTATTAAAAGAGGAAAGTCAATTTGAGGGATAAAAAAACAAAAACATCAATAAAATTATTAAAAACATCTTGTCAAATACTGAAACTGTCACGAATTCATAAAATAAAAATAGAATTAATACTTAGGAATGCATTTATAACTTTAGTGATAATTAGTGTTGTTTTTAATTTTTTTTTTTTTTTTTTTGGGTCAACCTTGTCTAATACCGAATTAGCCCTGCATGTATATATGTGTACAAAAAGAATATCACAAGAACGCACACCTTTGATACCTTTTCAGGCGTGCAAAATAGCTGGCAAGGCAACCACAATTAATTGCCCCACGTGTTTCCCATTAGGTAATTGAAGTAAAATTATGCAAGTCAATATATAAAATGTATTATAGGCTTTAATTTTTATTATGTAATAAGTTTAATTAAACGTTCAAACCATAGATAAAAAATACCCATAATATATCTACAATTTATTTTGAAGGACAAAAAAAAAACGATTTTATGTTAAGATATAAACCACTTTCAATAAAATAATTAGAAAAAAAATAATAATAATAAATAAATAAATAAATCAAAAAAATAAAAAAAAAAAAAATCTAGCATTAAGCTTAATAACATTAGAAAAACACGATTTTATGCAACAGATTCCGAATGAGCAGCAAACAAGTAGAGTCTAATTCCAACAGGCAACTTGCATTTATCTACTGTTGATCTTTTTGTCATTACAACAAAGACAGAATGTTCCTTCAAAAACTGCAAAAAGTAGGCTTTACTCAGAAACATGTGGACTATTTTTTGACATCATGCTCAAGTTTGAAAAAAACAAGAACTGAGATTTGCAATTTACCCGATCAGCAATATCATCTAGAAGTTGAAGGTCAGTCTTTGGGGATCCCTTGGATGTCTTTAGTCTCAGCAAAACTATTGGTGATTCACGGTCACTAATTATCTTAAGACCTTGTACATTCGGTCCAAATCCGGTCTTTCTGCTGATTGAGATCTTCTTTGAGCTTCCAAAGTCACCTACTTCGCCAAAGGGTCGATGGAAGTTTAGACCGCTCACAGGAGTTCTACCTATAGAAATGATCTTCCGGAACCGGTACAGAAATGGGTGCTTTTTTTTTACGTTGTTTACGTAGCTAGATATGGATAAAGGGGCATGGAATACATATGATGAGCTACAGGAACTTTTCAAACATTGTTTCCTAATAGAAACCTGGACTTGTTAGAATGTTGTATTAGATGTAGCAATGGAGAAAATGATCCCATAAAGTATAATAAGAGTATCAAAATTCATCGATAAGCAGGCTAACAAATTAAGATTACAAAGGAAAGGGGGAGGTAGGGGAAAGACATTTATGTACAATGGAAAGACAATAAAGAGAGGCAGAGAAGCAGAAAATACATAACCAGAACTGCTAAGGCGCTGCCCTCAAAAGACAAAATTAGACAAACAAAGAAACTTACAATTAGCGAGCAAGTGTGGATGAAATTTTTTCAAAACCTCAATCATACCAACCAATCAGTTTTCTTTCCCAAGCCTGCCTCCAATGAGGTCATATTCCGATCCCCTAAAATCATTTTAGTTAATCTATAGAATATGTTAAGCATTTCAACAAGTTCTCTATGAAGATATATGATTGACAATGTTTATTGTTCTTCTTCAATAATAGAAAATGTCCAAAGATATCAGAAATATCTAACGGGAATGCATCAAAAGTTTTAAAAGATTATGTTAAGGAGAATTCTGCTAAAAATGGATCAGTATATGGTGTTCATTCCTCTAAGATAATGTATATTACCAAAATTCAAGGGGAATAACAGCACATAGAAAGGATGCTCCAGACAGCAGCACTCGACCAATCTTACTTTCTAGTTTGACATACAGACACTTGCACGGATAGAAAGAGTTGAACCCACATGCTTCAAGCAAACCAATTTCCTCCTACAACTCCAATGCAAACACCTCAATGCCAACTCTATTATTATTGAAGCATCTGTCAGTGCAACTATACAATCTACAATATAGGTATACCTGGTGAGCAATCACACCAGAACTTCCAGTGTAAAATCCTCCCTCAGTGGCCAATGCATGTCCTGTTGCAGCAGTTATAATATCCACTTTCTCAATTTGCAGCAGGAACAGGAACAGTATTGTGGAAAGGGACAATTATAGAACCAATTAATTAGCAAGGTGGTTGAACTTACTGGAACTTTGTAATGTTTTGTTAGTCCTCTACCAGAGCTTCCAAGAACTCCAAGTGAATTGCTTTCATCTAATATTACACGGAACCGATGTTTCTCCTACAGTCTTATGATTTCATCCAATGGTGCAATTTGACCAGAATTTGTGATTGGCCCAATCTAAGTTAGATAAACTTCATACAAAATCCAATCCAAAATTGGGATTTAGGGTTCTACAATGATACAATACTCTCTAGAGACTTCATTTCGTTGTGCTTGGAGTAAATAATGGTATTCCTGGGAGGTAAAGGCCGTTTTGTATTCCCCAATGCACACCTTCATCACTGAAAAGGTCATCAGCCCACCAGAAGAAATGTGGGGAAAAATACAGAATAACAAAGTAACACACAATTATGGTAATTTTAGAAAATAATTAACAAGCTCAGAAGAATGCAATTAACTGGGGAAATATGCATCTTTGCACTAAGAAATTTTATTTATTTATGTATATATATATATATATAAATATATAAACTGCACTAGCTTGTCAAAAGATAAAAGGCAGTAAACAATGTTGAAAATAAATTCGAGATGGATCGCATGCTGCACTCTAAAATACCACTAATTGACACAAGAATCCTGGTTTCAACAATGCTATAAGGTGACAAAATGTTCAGTACAGAACTATAGTAAAATACCAGAACAGAAAAAAAGATTGTTTACTTGTTGTAGGTCTTTGCCATTAATCACAGCATGGAGTCCTGCTGCTCCCAATCTTTGAAGGGTTTCTCGAATACCAAATCTTATCTGCATTAGCATATTGTGATAACAAACACAAGTTTATTGAATGCAATACAAATATCAGGTCCTTCAAACTCCATGGAAAAAGACAATCTCATTAGCAAATTATATAACCAGATACTACACAGCTGAACTCAGCATCGTCAACAAGATACATAGGAGAGTGTTATGTTGCAACAGCAGCATTAAACTATTTCAACCCAAATAGACCAATTCCATTACCAACCAATTGCATACGACAATACATTCGCATAATTCAAATATTTCATTGTAACAATTTGCATATATCTTCATACTCCACAGCCTTGAGGACCCTTCCGTCGTATATCCCCTTCTCAATCTGAACTTTAGCACAGAAATTGTCGGCATCGATTGCTAACAACCTAGCTATTTCACCACGATACGCCCCATTCACTATTTTCACAAGTCCCCCAATTTGGGGAAGCACAGTCTCCAATTCCTCTTGATCGACCCTCAAAACATGCTTTTTTTCAAGCATCTCAATTTCGCCACAATATTTATCGATCACCTTGCGCACCACACCCTTCTGCTTGTAATACCCCTTATCTATCAATGCTTTGCTCATAACCTTCACAATAATCCCCTCAAACAGCCAATAGTCCTTCCTATTGATCCTCTCCTTGGCCTTCTCTTCCTCTCTCATCAACTCATCCAACACTGAAGCATTCTTCGACGGCTCACCTTCCATTTTTTTCCTCTTCCCACTCTTACCCTCATATTCCTCTTCATCAAACAATAGCCTAGAATTCTCACGCTTCTCGTTACCCTCTCCATTTCTCTTCACTGATCCTAAGCTCAATTTGATTTTCTTGTCGCCGTCGCCGTCACTTTTCTCCAGCATCCTGGGTTTGGCCGCCTCTTCTTCTTCACGCTTGTCATCGCCAACACCGTTCATTCTCATCTGCTCGGCCCGCTCGATTTGCCTCTGAATCTCTTTCTCCTGCTTCTCCTCTTCTACAATATCAGCCTTAATCCTCTTATTCTTCATCTTCTCCTTAAATAGGGTCTCGGAATCTCGATCGATGTAAGTCATGAACCAGCCCTTGGGGGTCTCCTCGACCTTGCACTTCCCAGTCCTTCCCAAATACTTGACGAACTCCGTCAGCGTCGCCCACTGAGTCGAATTCATGTGAACGTGATGGCGATCGGAGATGTACTCGTTGTAGACAACCGTGGCGGCGATGCGGCTGAATCGGTGGCTCCGCTTCATGTGCTCGAGAAAAGTGGCTTCGAACTCTTCCGAATAGCCGCCGACGATCCGGTGGGGGTTCTGGCCGAATATCTGCATCTGACGCTGGTGCGACTCGCTCATACAATGGCACTTGAATCCGTTCTCGTCCCGGCACTGCTTCTGGCACATCTGGCAGTACCATCGCAGCTTCTGCAATCCCTTGGCCTTGATTCGATTCGCAATCGCCTTGGGAGTCAGGAATTCGTTCTTCCCCATCGAGAACCTTCAGATGCACCGGCGAATTGAGTCGCGAATGAGATAGGGTTTCAGAAACAATTGAAATTCAATCGCCACGGAAATACAAATCTTTTAACAAACGAACCGGACAGACTTTCCCATTCGGTTTCGGATTGCCGGTTCTCCGGTTTCCCGAACCGCCGATTTCGGTTCGAATCCGAACCGTTGGAAAACCGAACGAAACTGAACTTATGGTTTGAACCGGCGGTTCAGTATGTATATATGTTGGAAAATAAGGAGCGAAGGAAGAAACGAGCGAGGAGGATAGATGGCCGAGGAAAATAGTATATCAGGATGAGAGTATGTAGGTTTCTTTTTGTATATTGCTATGGAAAATAGATTCTCATTAGATATGATCATATCAATTAGAATATCATATCAACATTTGTATCTCATAACATATGATTTTAAATTTGGATATAAAAATCAATTTTAACTTATCAAATTGGTATGGTAAAATTTTTTTGAAATTTTTTATCCAAATTCACGAGCTTACTAACTCAGTCCGACACACGATTCGAATTTACAATTCGATTCGCCACATAATTATGAAACATGGATAATCATATATTTAACGAGCAAAGAGGAGAATGGAGAAGAAGGGGATAAGAAATATTTTTCGTACTATTTGACGTGATATAAATAGATATTTTGAATTTGTTATGTTTTTTTTTTTTTGTAGTTTTTATCACATATTTTTACTATTCAATTTTTATTTTTTTTTCTTTAAAAATATCATCAAATAATTACGTTTCATATTTTTATACTTTCTCCGTCTCTTAATTATCTATCTATTTTTCTATTTTGGTTTATCGGATAACAAAGTATCTATTTTCTTTTGTAGTAATTGTACTTTCTACTAACATTAAAATACCCTTGCAACCTACACAAATGACGTTACTTTTATATATACACAATAATTTTAGTTTTTTCTACTTTATTTATATCACATCCTAATATAATACTAATATTCTTAAAACTCCGTAAAAAAAAATAAACAGATAGATATATAAGGCCATCCACAACACAGAAACCCATTCAGGGTTTCTTCTCATTCTCTCTCCTGTACCACGTCAGTTTCTCTCTCCGCCACGTCACGAAGAACTCCATCTATATTTTACATTCACATCAAAGAACCCTTTAAAACTCCGTGAAAAAAAAAACAGATAGATATATAAGGGACGAATGGAGTATTATACTACAAACTTATCTTACATTTAAAATATCAGTCAATCTCTTTTTATATCTTGTCAAATAATTATTCAAATTCAACTTTTCAAGCAAAATTATATTTGTATCAATTTTAATTACTCACTATAATTAAAATATTATTATTTTTAAAATTTTACTCCAAAGATAAATACATATTTTATAGCCGAACGAATGAAGTATATATTATGAATATTATTTTGTAAAAAATAAAATTTTACTCAATATAATTATAAAATAATTTTATAAAAATAAAAAAATAAATATAGATAAAATAATATTTATGTATTAAAATATTAAATAAATCCTACCTGTAAATATTAAAAATTAATATGGCACATAAAAAAATATATATATATTTAATTTAATATTTTTAGGAAAAAATATTTTAAAGAAAGAAAAAATAGTAAAAACTACTAAACCCCACCACCAAACGCACCGGAGATGTCCCTCAAATTCAATACATTTATTATTTCTTCATCTACCTGACTGCCACCTTTTAATTCTACGCACATTTTTAATATTTTATTATTATTATTATTTATTTCGATTTTATCATATAACTAATTATTAATATTTCAAAACTGGAAATGGATCAGTTCGTGCTTTGTGCAGCAGCATGCCAATCTTCTTACCAAAGCAATGTTATAATAATACAATTGAAAATTTATCTACTTTTTTCAAAAATAAATAAATTATATATAAACATAAATAAATAAATAAAAGCTAAAATCAATAAAACCAACTCTTAGGTATTAAGATAAAATCAATAAAATCAACTCTTAAGTATTAAATGTGTTTGGTATTAAGATAAAATCAATAAAATCAACTCTTAAGTATTAAATGTGTTTGGTACAGAGAAATGAGAACATACAAATAAAAATAGTTTTATTTCTCTCTTATTTGGTTAAGACAGATAATTAGGAACTGACAAATAAATCATTTCTGATTTCATTTATCTATCATATATAGAGAAATAAAAAGAATTGTATATTGACACAAATTATTATTATTATTTTATTATTTTATTTTTATATTTTTCAAATTATATTGTTTCAATCATACAAAATATCACATTTAATTGAAGTAAGATCCCTGCTTTGACCATTTCCTGAACCAGAATTGGATTCGGGTTAGAGGGAAAGAATTAATTTATTATTCAAATATATATATATATTTTTATTATTTAAAAAAAATTTCACTAAAATTTCATCTTACAAAACATAATATATATACTTTATTATTTAAACACAAAAATTATGGAAAAATAAAAATAAAAATTGCACTCACTAAAATTTTTTCTCTTGTCCGATAAATCATTGACTTTTTATCCATCCATCCAAATATCTGTATTATTTTATATTTTTCAACGGAATTATCTATTTTAAACATATGGGTATTTTCTTTATAGACAAAAAGCAATGACTAAAACTTTGGGCAAGGGATCGATCTAATTTAGACATTTTTGGAAACAATTTAATATAAAATAATAATGTTACATATAAGTTGGAAAGGTATACAATATAAATATTTTATATTATAATTTTTTTGATCATTTATGTGTGTATATATGGCCACAATTAGACTTCTAATCTAATCGAGTAACAGATTTGATCAAATTAGCACAATACTTTAAAGTAATTAGTATTTTATTACAAGATATATAGCATATGATGTGTTAAATATAAATATGTGTTTTGTGTTCTATTTTATGCTACATGATATAATATTTTTATTGTACTGAAATCACAATCTATAGTCCTACATAAAATTATATAATACGCTGTATTAATATTTATTGTGTTGTGCTGTATAACAGTATGTTTATTATTCCGAAATAATAATATATTATGCTACATATAATTATATAACGTGCTATCAAAATATGTTATATGTATTATATTACCTGTATTGTTGAATATGTATTTTATATATATATATAAATGTATTAGTTATGTCCAATCAACATGATATTGATTTAATTCAATCAACACAGTAATCAATAATATACTGCGTATTTCAAAATTTTATGTAATAAAATATCTTAGACAAAATTACATAACTACTAATCATTGGCTAATCCATTGAAACTTTTGAAATATTTATTTTAATATAGGTTGGTTGCACAATATATTCTTAAAAGTATATATTTATCGTGTATTTAAATTTAAATTAGATGTTATAAATGTTTATACATACCTACATTACTTTCCAAAAGCCAAAGGGACCAATAAGTCAACATATTTATCCTTTGCCATAGTACTTTTACACCTCATTTGCCTTCTCATTCACTTATTCTATTACATAATGTCGAATGATATAATTCTAACATATGAAATAAAACACATGATAATAATCGACACAATACATGTTACAGTTATTTCTAAAAATATATTATATGTTACTACAACATAATATATAATATTTTTTTCTGTCTACATTTAAAGTTTAGGTATTTCAATTTTCATATATAAGCTAAATTTAAAGGCTACGGATGTCAAATGGGGCGGGTTAGCCCGGACTAGCTCCGGACTCGCTCTTAATGGGGCTGGTTCAGGTCTAAATAATATGTTTCGGGACGGATTGTGGATTTAAAATTTTAAACTCGGCCATGTTTGGGGCAGGTTACGGATTTTACTAAAAACCCGCCATAACCCGGACCCGAATCCGAACCCGAATATTTTTTAAAATTATTATAACTAATATATATGTACATTTATATAATAAAAATATATTATTTATTTACTTAAATCATTTTAAATATAAAATTCAATTAGTGCTCCAAATAATTTTTTAAAATTATTATACCTAATATATGTATATTTATATAATAAAAATATATTATTTATTTATTTATTTTATTTTTATGGATCAATATTTGATTGTTTTTATATATTTTTTTTTGTGCTTTTAATGCTATTTGTTTTAGTATTCGATTGTTAAAAAAATATTTATTATTATATATTTAAAAAAAAACGGATTTGTCAAGTTTGCCCCGAACCCTCTGGCCCCGAAACCCGCCCCGCTAGAAAATAGTTAAAGGCATATGCCATTTCTCTTTTCCTTTATTTTTTTAATTAACATCGTACTACAAATTATACCACTCCTACTTTTATATTTACTATTATCATATCATTAGTTTTTAATAAAAATATAAATATTTTAAAATAACTAAATATTATAAACAACTATTAAACTATTAATATCTTTTTAAATATGCATGTGAAAACAAATGTAGAATTTAGAAATGAATAAAAAAATATATAGTTAAAAAATATGCAAGATATACAATAATTTCAACAATAAACAATATTATTTGCGACAATATTTTTTATTAAAAAATATATATTTTTTATATTGTAAAACATAAAGATTGACTAGTAATACACCAAAATAAAATCACAAAGAAATACAGAAGGGTTAGTTTAATTTGTATTTGCATTCGACCTTCTTCTTTTTTTTTTTTATCTTTTTTTTTTTTTTTTTGAAGATTTTGATTTATTGTAATATTATGTTAGGCAAAATAGTACTCCTTATTGCGAATCGTATAAGTTGAATAAAAAAAAAAGAAAAGAAAATTAAAATAGTTTGAAGTCCAAACCAAATATGATACTTGTAAGGTTCATGGAAAATTAAATTTTACTTTGGCATTTTGAAAATTTTATTAAAAAATTAAAATTTTGTTAGGGAATAAGTTTTATACATATTTACAGTAGATATACACTGTCTAAATAAGTTCAAAATCTTATATATTTATCGAACAAAAGTTAATATCATAATTATTATAATAATAATATAGATTTGATAGTATCTGTTAGAAATTTTGGGAGAAAATAATGAGATTATTTTATTGATCATTAAAATAAGAAGTCTATATATAAACAATACAAAACAAACAAACTCGATAGACTCAAATATAAGTAATATAATTTATGAATAAGATCAAATCTAGAGTATCTATATTATTAATTTCTGCATAGACATAAATTTAGCGTATGAATTAATAAAAAGAATATATGGTAAAAAATCAGGAGTAAAAATACCCTCAATAGGGAATGAAATAAAAGCGAAGTCAATAGTTTTTAATGCTAATGAATTGAAGTTTTGTTTAGGGATTTTAATCCTAAAATTAGGTAAAAAATTCACAATACAATTAATGCAATTTTGACATGATTTGTAACGACATTTTCTTGGCTGATTCAAATGATGGGTTCTGAGATTATTTCAAATATTTATTGCAAACAAATAATTTATTGCAGCAAATAATTTGGAATAGAATCAAGAAAATATATGTTCGTAAATGGCAAGAAGTAGAAATAATATAATTTATTTGTTTATATATGGAATGGGTCAACTTCTTGCGGATATCCATATATTAATGAATACGACAGCCACGTATTTTGGAAATAATAATCATTATTAAATTATAATTTTGCACGAATCAAATATTGTTTCAACACAATTATATAGAAAATAAAATACAAAAAAATTCCAATATTGATAGAAATTTTTTAATTAAAAATATTCAATTCACAGAGATAACAGTTGAAAGTGTAATAAATTATTTAAAATTTAATTTTATATGGACCAAATTTATTTAATACTAACAAATTGAGCCAAATTTGCATTTCATTTGCATTTTCATTTAGATTTAGAGACTCATTCAATTCTTGCACTACCGTCATGCGAAGGCAGGCTATTATTATTCTTTCAGAAATTAATGAGCATTTCGAATTAATTACCCTATGTAAAAACCCTACACGTGCTCCTCACGTGACGCTAGCCCATGCCGTCACTACCATCCTTAACTCTACCGGTGAGATTAAGACCGCTCTGCAATAAATACCGCTGCTCCCTCATTAATCTCTCCTTTTTTTTTCCTTTTTTTTTTTTAGATTTCTTCCAAACATGGCCTAACTGAAATTTCCCCTTTTCTCTCAAATTCAAATCCCTAATTTTGAGCTCAGGTCATATGTCGATTCCGTCGTCAATCACGCCGCCGGTGACCGCCGTCGACGGAGGATCCATCTTCACGGCGCAAATGCCGCCGGCTCCGTCGGCGGCGGCGGCGTACGCTTCGCCGTCGTCGTCGATTATTATTGTTATCATAATCATCGCTTCCGCAGTCATCGTCTCCGCCTCGATTTATCTCCTGATACGGTTCCTCTCGCGGCGGCTCCGCGGCTTCTCCGCCTCCGCGGCGGCGGACGACGTCATCCTCCGCGGCGGCGAGACGTACGATCTGCAGAATAGGTGCGAATCGGAGCTTCTCGACGCGCTGCCGCTCTTCACATTCCGCTCCGTCACCGGAAACCTCAACGGAGGCGACTGCGCCGTCTGCCTCTCCAAGTTCGAGCCGCACGATCAGCTCCGGCTGCTGCCGCTCTGCTGCCACGCCTTCCACGCCGCCTGTATCGACACGTGGATCGCCGCCAATCAGACATGTCCGCTCTGCCGCTCCGCCGTCTTCCCCGCCGATTCCGACGCGCTGGACAAAATCCTCGCCGCCGATAACCGCGGCAGCGCTGGCGGAGGAGGTGGAGGCGCCAACAACAACAGAAACAGCGGAAGCTTCCGGATTGAGATCGGAAGTATCAGCCGCCGCCGAGGCGGCGGCGCCGGTGGTGAGGCGGCGGAAGGAGAGCGGCGCTCGTACTCCGTCGGCTCTTTCGACTACATTTTAGACGACAGCGGCTACGAAGTTCCAGTAGGATCGATAACCGCTCATCGGAGAGAGATCTCCGATTCGACGGACAAGGAATCGTCGATCGGAATTCCGATTCCGGAGCCGCCGGGGGAGTTTCTGGCGTCGGAGGTTTCCGGCGGCCGGAATTGGCTGAGAGATTACGTAGATAGGCTAGCGTCGGTCTCCATTTCTTCACGAGCAATGTCGTTCCGGAGCTCGGGGAGGTTCTTCTCCGGTAGCAGCCGCCGGACTGAACCCGCCGCCGACGACGTGGAGGCCAACCGCGCCGGAGAAGAAATCAGCGAGTTGTTCCGGTGGCTTTCCGGAATTTGACCTGTAAATTCTGTCTATTTCCAGGGGTAAATCGGTAATTTCAGACCACAATTTTTTTCCTTCTTTCTTAGAATCTCCTGATTTTGCTGTCCACTCTTAGGGCCAACATTATCTGTCTAAGTGGATTCTTTTCTTTTCCTTTTTTTTTTTTTTTTTTATTTTTGGCAATACTTTAACACATACTGTTTTTAATATTTTCCCTGCAATAGAAATTAGAAATTTTTAATTAGTTTGGTTAATATTTCGATCATTTTTCCAAAATTTATATGATTTTATTGCAACATTATTCATCAATTCCATAGACAGACGCTAACAATTTCAGAATCTCTTACATGTCTTTTTCTTAAAATTTAGCAAAATTAATTAACATTTTAGTGATGTTACAGAAACAAATTAATGTTGTTTTGGGTGTTACGAGGAAAACAAAGAATTAAAAATGTTGTTCTTATCTAAATATAAAAAATTATATATATCTGAGATTTTGGCATTTTTTTTATTAACGTAAACATTCCACTCCTCAACAACTACCTTCTACTTACATGTGACATTTAATCTTTTATTAAATTATATTTAGGTCACCTACATTAATATATATATTTAAGTGGTCCAACCCCTTTAATCCAATTATTATTATTTAAGAAATAATATTAATAAATAAATAAACAATAATAATAATAATATTTTAAAAATGATTGTTTCTACAGTGTCAAATTACTAAGAATAACAATAGTAATAATGATGCCTACAAACGTGGATCTCTTGCAGGGAAGTTGTCTTTTTCTAACAAGCATACTCTTACATTACTTCTTTTTATTTATTTATTTATTATTATTATTATTATTATTATTATTTTATTTTAACACTTTGGTTCGTGTGTAAGATGATTTATTAACGGTTATAATTTTGGTAGGTTAAATTGGTGATTTTTTAATTTTAATTTTGTTTTTATTTGAATGCTGATTTGAATGTGATATTTTATAAGTACTAAGTATTTAATTATATTTAAATGTTTTTATAAAAAAAATAAAATTATTTGTTTATTTAAAATATTAAATCATTGTAACTTTTTACTATTTATACACACATGGAAATAAACCTAACATGTACAACATAGTCATACCTTCTTTTTTTCGACATACGTATTTGAAGCAAATAAAATAAAATATTTATTACTATTATTATTATTATTATTATTATTTGTGGACCCCATTTAGGTTTGGGCATGGTGATGATTGTAATGAATGCGACTGTTACGCATAATCACAGAGACAGACACGTACTATAATACAAGAACAAACATTGTACAACCATATTATTAATATATATTTTTTTTTAAAAAAATGATTAATTAATTAATTAATTAATTAGTCCAAATATTTTGGAAAATATCACATGGATTAGAATAGATTAATAAAGTGGTTCATCTGATTTCATTTCATCTCATCTCATCTCATCCTCCCTCGCAATTTTTTCATTTATATACTATGTATCATTTAAAAATATCATATTTATATTATAGTAAAATTAATTTTATATAGTATAAAAATATTTTTTTTTTTTTTTACATACAAAAACATAAATCTCAAAATTATTTTATATATTTTAATTGATTAATAAAATATTATTGATTAATCTAAGTATAAAAAGTAATTATAATTTATATACTATGTATCATTTAAAAAATTATATTTATATTATAGTAAAATTAATTTTATATAGTATAAAAAAATATTTATTTTTTTTTACATAAAAAATATAAATCTCAAAATTATTTTATATATTTTAATTGATTAATAAAATATTATTGATTAATCTACTATAAAAAGTAATTATATACTTTTCAATGTAACAGATCAACTATGATTTTAAAAGTTTTAGATGATTAATTTGTTTGTTTAGTGTTTTAGTTTAAATTATATTTTATATGATATATGTAAAATTATGTCTATAATATAAAATATAAAATATAATATTTTTATATTGAATTATTGACCATTTATGATAAAATAGTGTACTTACTTCCTTCGTCCTTTTATCAATTTATGTGTTTGTTTTTTACAATAAATTTTAAGAACATTAGTATTATATTGAAATATAATAGAAATAAATATGAAAAACACTAAATTAACCTTACTGATATAAAAATAATTATATTTGTGTAATATATTATAAATTGTAAAAGTATTTGTAATGTTAAGTAAATATTACAGTTACTAATAAAAAAATTAATACTTTATTAGGGGACATACCAACTAAAAAAATAATACTCCCTCGTTCCCAAATACCACATGCCATGTCTGCTACACACTATTTTAGAAGGAGTGTAATTAGTCGATAATTAAGAATGTATTAATGAAAATAATTATTCTATAATATAAATAATTATAAATTAATATTAAGGGTGTGTTTGTTTGGGGGTTTGGATTTTGAGTTGAGATTTGAATAGTAAAAATTTTGAATTTGAATAGTTGTATGATGTGATATAAATAGGTGTTGATGTGATGTTTTGAATGTAAAATTGATTTTTAGTATAATATAAAAAATAAAAAATAGGTGTTTGATTTGATGTTTTTGGGGGGAAAAAATTGGATGAATAGTAAGAATTTTGCAAAATCTTGCAAACGAACATACCCTAAGATAATTAATTAGTTTAATTAAAATTAAAAAATAAATTTAAAAGTTTAAAATGATATTAAAGTGTGTAATCATTTTCCGAAAAAGAAAAATGACATGATATGTAGAATGGACAGAAACAGCAATATGGACATGATATGTGGAACGGATGGAGTACATTGTTAAGAGACACAGAATATATTTTATTATATTCATCGAAAACTGTATCTATAAAAAAAACTATTGTATAAACAAACCTAATGTTTATTTTACATTTCATTTCAATGTTTCTCTACTATTTAAATATTACAATTATTTCTCACATAGTACACATAAAAATGTCTTAAAATTCAAAACAACGCACTGTTTACATTTTTTCAAAAAAAAAATAATAATAAATTTTGATAATATTTATTTAACGTAAAAAAAAAAAAAAAATCCAATCAAATATATATATTTTCCCTTACAAAATATTATATTAAATATTAATTATACTATTATTTTTTAAAAAAAGTATCCAATCAAATATATATTTTTCTTACAAAATATTATATTAAATGTTAATTATACTACTTCTTTCGTCCCGGTGCAAAGGTGTTGTTTACATTTTACACGTAGATTTTTTAATATTAGTATTATAATGGGTTGTAATGAAAAAAAAAGACGAAAATACCCCTATTAGAATTGTGTAATATAAAAGTAATAACATTTGTGTAATATAGTGTAAGTTGAAAGAATATTTATTATGATAGGTATCACAATTACTAAATTAGGAAATGATAACCTTGTTTTTTAGACGAACATGAATGAAAAAATGACAACCTTAGGAAGTATTAATTGTTTTTTATTTTTTAAAAAAAAAACTTCAAAACTTCCAACAAAATTTATATAAACAATCCTATAGAATTTTGAATTTTTTTAAAAATTGGAAAAAAAATTTCAATATAATTTTTTATAATATATATTTTTTAAAATGGTATTATATAAACTCATAATTAACAATGTATCAACATCCCAACAATATCCTGACTATATATAGTCCCGCAACAAATGACCTGCGGATGAAAATGCATTATAATAAAAGTAAATATTTTTATGTAAGATTATATGAATTTTTTTTTTTTTAAATAATAAAAACTAAAATCAAACACAATATGTCAATTTTCTACTTTCTATTAAGCATAATATCATAAAGTTCAAATGATTTTGAAAATTTACAGATTATTAGGTTCGACTGGGGTTTATGCACTTGTGAATAATAGTGGTCGCAGATTTTTACGTTATAGAAAAAAACAAAAATTCAAATTTACTTGCCTAGATAATTGAGTAATTAATAATATTATCCAATGGAATTTCTCAAAATTATAGTACTCCTCCGTCTCAGATACCATGTCTACATTGCCGTTCCTATCCGTCCCACATACCATGTCACTTTCCTTTTTTGAAAAATGATTACACATTTTAATCTCATTTTTAAATTTTTTAATATTTTTTTTTAAATTTTAATTAAACCAATTAGTTATCTCAATCTTAATTTATAATTATTTATATTATAGGATAATTATTTTTACTAATACATTCTTAATTATCTACTTATTGCACTCTTCCTAAAATACCGTGTCTACAGTGTAGCAAAGACGGTATTTGGGATGTAGGGAGTATTATTTAATTTTAGTTGAAGGAATTTTGACGGTGGATGAGGATGATGCTTAAGGCTTATAATGTGGCACAAAGTGTGGGGTTATTACTTATAATTTGTCTGAAGTTTTGAATATTTGAGCTTCATTTTGACTACAACTCACACTATTAGTTGGATTGGATTGTATTGTATTCAAAGTCAACTCTTCTCGTTTCCCATAATTTATTTATTTATTTTTTTTTTTCTCCTACTTAATTTATTAATATATTTCATCTTTTTTTTTTTTAAAAAAAAAAACTGTATTTGAATGGCATATTTTTTATAATATTAAATGAACTGAATTCAAAATAATACATATTGATTAATAATAATCTTACTTCTTTTTAATTATTATTTAAACAAGTTTTAACATTATCTAATAATTTTTATTTTATTTTATTTTATTTTTAAAAGATCATAGGAAGCACAACCTTAAAAATACTAATAGTTTAATTAACACATCAAAATAAATTTAAATCAAATACCAATAAAAAATTGTTTTATAAGTTGAACCACATTCAAACTTTATTAACAACCTTAGCTCAAACATTTTTTATTTTTATTTTTAAATAAAAGGGGTTGGGTCGAATATATCAACAACTTTACCTAAAGTTTTCATATTGGAAATGTTTCTAATTAAATCTACGCGACCTATATATATATATTTATAATTTATTTCCATGAAATTTGGAACCAAAATTGACTATAAAATTGAAAATATGATTCCGTTCATATTTTTTTTAAAAGTTATTTAATATAAAATTTCTTATAAAAAATATATTTGGTTCATTTAACTGTATTTTTTTATTATTTTTTTTAGTTCTGCAGTACTTTAAAAAATAATACTCTCTCTTCCAAAAGTATAGTCTTATTTGAGTTAGCATTGATATTATATTGATAGTCGGTAAAAAGTATGAATAAAAGATTTTTTTAATAATAATGAAAAAGTAAGGATAATTTTATGGTGATACGAGTATTTATAGAAATGAGACGATTGTTTTGAGACGGACAAAAATGGTAAACAAAACTATTGTATTGGGACGGAGGGAGTAATATTTGTTTTTGAATATTTTTGCGATGACTTTTTTGTATAATAATTAGATGTGTAATTATGTATTTGTAATTTAAATAAAAGTTAAAAGGTATTTTAGTGTTAGTGTATAATTATTTTATTTTTTAAATAAAAAATAAATATTTTAAAATAATACAGACAAAAATAATAAAATAAGTAATTTGAATTGGGATAAAGAAAATATTATTTAATATTTGTATCCAAAACATCACACAACTCAATTCACAGTCAATTCTTATTCAACCCGACCCTTAAGTGATAACCTAGTAGTAGTATGGGCAGTCATACATAGTTGGACTAGTGTGACTTGTCTGTTGGATATATAATTTACATAGTATTAATTTCGGACGGTTGTTTATGCAGTATTGATTGCGGGTTTCCCATCATAAAAATATATATATATTATTTAACCCAAAATAAAAAATAATAACGTTAAAATAATCATAAAGTGGAGTTAAAATATTTTATTTAAATTTGACATTTAGGGGCAAAACAAACAAGCCCTTAATCTCATGAACTCCCGTAGACAGCAAAGTAAGCAAATTTCGATGGGGCGGGTTCGCTAAACTACGACCCAAGGCCCATCAATAAACGGGTCCGATTTCCGGGTCGGATAATCGAACCATCTAGAACAGGAGGATTAACTATCGTCCGTAGAGATTAGAGACTACAGGCAGCGATTACAGAGTAGGAGGTTCACGCTGTTTGCCCGCACTTCCAGTTCAGTAGTCATGGCATCTTCCTTCGTTGCGCTATCTAGCTGCTCCTCTTTCAGCAGGATTAACTTCCCAGCTCGCTCAACCAATTCTCCAGCAGGTTTTTTTTTGTTTGAATTTCTGCTCCATTATATCCTCGTGCTTTCTGAGGTTTTTAAGAGAGGTTACGCTTTTGGTGTACTGGCAGTAAGCTCTCGCTTGAATTTGTGGTGGTTGACAGGTTTTAAGAGAATATGTTTGAAAGTAAATGCGATTGCAAAATATGAACCTACTAAGGTTAGTCTTCCGTAGTGTGGTGATTTTCGCCTTTGATTGTTTTTTCTGTTGGAAGTTTTATGAGGCAGGGAGATGGAAATGGTGGTCAGAAACTCAGATGTTTGATTACCGCGTTTTTTGTGTAGGTTGTGCCACAAGCTGATAGAGTTTTGATTCGTCTGGAGGCTCTGCCGGAGGTATTGCTTTACTACTTGATCGATTCTGATGGTTTCAATTCCGCCTTAATTGTATGCTTTTACATCGTGAAAATTCTTTTCGTTGATTGTTTCTGTTCCCTGTGATTATGCTTTGTGTGCATTCAGATTGTTTAATGATAATCTATTGGTTTGGATGAACGTTTATGTGATGTTAATTCTGAATGACTTGAGTTACACACTGTATCTTCAAGAACAGTCATCTTTCTTAGTTTATGTCTCTGTGTTTCTTGCTCCCCTATGGAATTGCATTGTGTTTTCAGTAAGCCCTTAATATATACTAAAATGGCACCTAATTTCTGTCTCAGGCTAGTGTAGTTGTGATTATGTTTAAAAATATTTCTCTATTCATTTTCTTCAACTCATTATGTTTTTATGTAACACAACATGATTGTATAGTTCCCTCCATTGATCATTTGATTAGAGATCAGATAACTGACAATTCTTCCTCGACCAATGTGTTGTGGTGTGTGCATGTATGTGCTGACAGAAATCAGCAGGGGGAGTTTTGCTACCAAAGTCTGCAGTTAAATTCGAGCGGTATCTCATGGGGGAGGTGTGCAAAGAATAGATAATTTTGTGAATTATCTAGCTTTCATTCACAAGATTTCTGTCTTTTGGGCATGTGGTATTTGATTTGACATTATCTTTTGTTATTGCTCGTGTGATTGTTTATCAGGTTCTTTCAACTGGTGAGGATGTGAAGAATGTGCAGACTGGAAAGAAGGTTAGTTCTGAAAGCTTTTGATGTTACAATTGACATCCACAATGCATTGGAATGTTTCTGTTCACTCTTGATCTCATTTGGAGTATATTTATGGACATAGATACTAATAGTTTGAGTTAAGATATATCTATTTACTTGTCAGTCATATAAGAGTTAACGTATTCCTTCTTCGCAGGTTCTTTTCAACGACATAAGTGCATATGAGGTATGTTGCTTAATGTCAAGTAATTTTTTTTTGTTCTGAAGTAAATTCAGGTGGTGATTGTGATTATTGGGACACTATCAGTTTTAAAGGTTTGATTGATGGTACTTAATAGATCCCATTCATTTATCTCTCTCTATATATTCAATGAAATACATCTTCTCACATAGATAGTAGATTGTGTCCCTGTCCCCTGATATGTCAATCCTTCTTCTATCGGGTTCCTGTATGTGGCTCCAAAGTCTCTCCTAAGACCAATCCGTAAACAATTTGTAGCGAATACTAGTTTATTGCAATGTCCTTTTTAACACAGTCCAGACCTTAACAAACATGATAATCAATTGTATCAGGTTGACTTGGGCACAGATGACAGACATTGCTTTTGCAAAGCAGGAGACTTGCTGGCAGTGGTCGAGTAGTAAGTTTTCGAAATAATGAAATACAAAGTTGTTTACATGTTATGGCCAGAAACACCCTACTAGAATGGTATCAGCAATCAACCCTTTTTGCCATTATCACGGTATCTATCTGTCATAGCTCATAATGTTTAATTTGAAACACATCAATAAATATTATTGAGTTAAACATATTGAACCTCATTGTTCTTTTGCTTCTTGACACTAAAAATGCTGAGTATGTGTGTGTATATATATATATATGTGTGTGTGTGTGTGTGTGTGTGATAGAGTTCTTTGATTACTCTCCCACCACATTTATTTTATACTATGAAGTTATCTGCCTTAAGTATAGTAGTAATAAAGACACCAATTCTCAAGGAGTGGAAACTGTGCAGTTGTGACTTAACTTTTTGACTAAAATGTCTTATTTGATGCTTGGAAGCAAGAAATTAGAGGGACCCAAAGATGGATTGCAAAGAATGGGCTTTTTATGCACATTTGATGTACACAAGCAACTCAATAAGCCTAGATAATCAATTAACATTTCCTAAAGGGAATTCTTGAAGCATAATCCAATAGGGTATAATAGGTTTTTCTTGAACTTTGCAAGTCAATCAATGCCTACCATCTTCACCACCAAAATCTCACTTTGCTGCTAAGACATTACATTGTGCTTATAATTTGGACAACTCTTGCCTAAACACTCCCAAAATGGATGAGGACATGACACTGTTCTGCATCATAATGAATGAATGACATTTATAGATGCTAAGTCATCATCATCACATGGATCTTGATAGATACTTTTAACTGAACTAATATCATAGCTTTGTACTCACAATCATAGTAAAAATTCAATTGATTATTGGGATGAAGCCCACATCAAACTAGTATTTTCCATCTTGTTTTCAAACTATAATATCTCTATAGGACAGTCTCTTTTTTTATTTGTATATACCAACCATATCTTAGAACCATCCTATATAAAGCCTTCCCATCAGAAATTAACATTCAAGAAAGAAACACCCTTAAAAAAGACACCATAGAGAAAGATTCGAAATAGAAAGCAAGAAATGAAGCTATTTTACCCCTTCTTTGCTCTATTCCATCTCCTCTTTGTGCTGATGACAATTCCAGCAACAGAAAGCCAAAGCTTGATCAATTCAACCTGCAAAAACATCGCAAGAAATGATCCGAACATCAACTTCAACTTCTGCAAAACTTCCCTCCAGGCCGCCCCGGCCAGCAGATGTGCCAGCCTGCGAGGTCTTGGCATGATCTCCATCAGGCTCGTGCGCTACAATGTAACAGATACACGGTGCCACATCAAGCAGCTATTGAGAAACAGGAAATGGGATCCCTATACCAAACAGTGCTTGAGCGATTGCTTCGAGCTATACTCGGATGCAATCCCTTCAGTTAAGCAGGCAATGAGATACTACAATGATAAACGATTTGATGATGTTAATGTTCAGATAACCTCGATTATGGACGCTTCCACTACCTGTGAGGATGGCTTCAAGGAGAGGAAGGGCGTGGTTTCGCCTCTCACTAAAAGAAACAAAGACGTGTTCCAGCTATCCGCTATAACACTTTCTGCTATGCGCGTGATTCAAAGAGGTACAGGCTGATCATTCTACCTATCTATGTTTTCAAAAGTTCGATTGCATATACTCTTAGTATAACATATTGGCATCGACACTAAGTTTTTTGTCGCTATCGGTAGGTAAGTTTGGTCAGAATGTACCCTCAAGTAAGAGTTACATTTTGTGTCTCATATTTATCGACAAGTAATATCATCTGAGTGACTTTTACTGAATTGTTTCATGACCTATGTCACTCTTCTCCTACCCTATATGTATTCTATTCATGTTTCTCTAAATACAGAAGAAGATTACACAGAAACATCGATATAATGAAGCTATTAATCGCCACTGGACTATGCAATTCGCAAAGAAATCATTAGAGATTAATCCACTTTACGGGAGAATTACCGAGGGCAGTTATGAACATAATAGTAATAAGAATCTAAATCACAAATAAATGATTAGCGCAAGAATACCTAGAATCATTCTTATGATGCCAATATCGCGTAAAAAAACTCTTCGAAAATAGAGAACAACATGCATTACCCGAGTTAATTCAAGAAATGACAGTGCTAGTTATTGGGTCCACTTTAGGAGTAATCTTTATCAAGCAAGCATGGACAAAGTATTCCCATCCAGAGATCAAATTTTATGCCGATGCTCAAGAGTCAGCAACGACTGGATGTGCAATGTCTACCAGCATTCGAAAGATAAGAATTTGAAACCCAAAAATAACATAAACATCCAACAGATCTTAGCTTGACATTGGATGGTTGTAGACATATTCGATTGCAAGAGGGCACGAGTCGATCTTGTCGGCTTCCTTGTCGGGAATTTCGAGCTTAAACTCTTCCTCTATAGCCATCACAATCTCCACAGTGTCTAAGCTGTCCAATCCCAGATCGTTCGTAAAATGAACATCTGGAGTCACCTGCAGAAACATGATGTTCTTCACTATTTCTCATTCATTTGAACCAAAGTTTGGTTTATTCAACAGATAATGCTGAAATATCGAACTCCAACACCGGACATGAACGAATTCCAGGGTAATCAAATTTCATACTCAAGTCTGCATCAAATTTTGACCTCAGAAATGAAAGGATTCATTAGGGTTCTATGAATTGATTCGTTAGGGTTTTGTTAGAGACTTCTTCTGCGAAATTAATTTTTTCAAATCCTCAAGCTAAAGGATTCGAGATTGTATTTGAACAGATTCGCGTAGAAACAGAGTTTTGTATAGATACAGATGGAAATAGGAAAAGGGGAAAATGAGCAGACCTTCGAAGGATCCACTTTGGGGTGGCTTTTGATCACGTCGAGGACTCTGTCGATCACTTCCTTCTTGTCGAGATGATCGTCGGCGTGCGCTGACAGTGATCGGACGGCCGTCGAGCGGAATCCATTGAGGACCATGGTTCGGGACACTGGCACCCGAACATGACGGAGAATACTGGATCTCAACGCCGACGCCATTTCCAGCTCCGATTAGTATAAAAAAATGAAGAATGCAGAAACCGATTCTCGTCTCCGTCGATCGCTCCTTCTCTGCGGCGTTCCTCCGCTGGCTGTGCTGTGTGCAGACGGGAGGATTTATCAATAGGACCTCAGTGGAATTACACTGGGGTTGAAGGGCGTTTTCGAGATTTCATAGCAGGGGTTTTCTTTGCTAATTCCAGAATTTTTTAGATTTTCATTTAGACCCTTGAGAAAATGAGAATTACAAGGTTGGCCACTGAATCTGACCGCTTCGCTTTCGAGGTCGAATCTCCGATCATTTTCCGGCGAGATTATCTTCGCTCCTTCGGAAAACAAAAACCGAATCCGATTCCAAAGGTTGATCCATATTTCGGATTCGAATTTAGGGATGGCTCCCGATTCAGCTCTCGCGAAGTACAGAGTAGTGTTTTTGGGAGATCAATCCGTTGGAAAGACGAGCATAATCGAGCGATTCATGTATGAAAAATTCAACAAGGCTTATAAGGTTCGTGGTCATTTCAGATGATTATATATATATAATCGATTTATTTGTTTCTTTTTAACGTCGTTCATGTTCATTTTCATAATTGATCCACGAATCCATCCTTTACAATTGAAATTTCCAAAAAGTTTGATGATTAGTGTTTTTTTTGGTTATAGGATGCTTGCAGGTGTTTCATGTTATTATGCCATGATAGGCGTCAATGTGAGGAAGTTCTTGTCGATTAGACTATCTTAGGGCTTATGATAATTGACCACAACTTAGCTGAAAAGTGAGAGCAAAATGGATTTATAAATCTAAAGTTATTCTTAATATATTTCTGAAGTTGGAATTGTCGGGACTCCCGTCTGCTAGATAAATAATTAATGGATACGTTTTCATAACAGTTCGAACTTTCGAGACAGTCATTATGCATTCGAGAGTAATGAAATTTGTGTTCAGGCCACAATTGGTACGGATTTCCTGGCAACGAATATGTATCTTGAAGATCGAACAGTACAGTTGCAACTCTGGTAAGATGCAATTCTCAACCAGATGACACCAAGGCATATGAACTCCATACTTGGGATTTGTTTCCTCATTCGTTACTGTTGTTAAATTATAATAGTTAGTGAATATGAAACTAAGTGATGATGGATTGTCGTCACCGTTACAGCTTTCCGTGTTTAGGATTTTTAGCTAGTTGCCATTACATTTCCTTGACAATGCCAAGTTCTACTCATTTATTACTTTTCCTACTATTCATTTTCTTATTGTTTATCCACAGGGACGAATAATTTGTTCATTACTTGGGTTTAGGGATACTTCTGGATAGGAAATATTTAAGGTTATCATCGCAGGTTGTATGTACAAACACACTTTCTGTTTTCTTGATTATTCACCTTAAATTGTCATCTAACAATGCTCGAAGTTGTGGTATTGATCTTGGGGTTGTTTCACTGTCTATATCAGGCAGACAATCCTTTCTTAACGCCTCGAAATGGGTTGGGATGGTGCACACTGAGATAGGAACTGATGCTAATGTTGTTCTAGCCGGAAACAAAACTGACCAGGTGGATAAGAGGTAAAAAAGTTTGCTCTTTTATATATGGTCTTTCTTTGTGAGCAATCAACCTGCTGAAATTAATGTTACTTACTACAAGAGCATTTTATTTGAGTTAGTATCTGGAAAAGTTGAAAGCATTAGTACATTAGAGGCTATATTTGGCATAGAATTCGGAACCCTATTACAGATTAAAGGAAGAATAGTCACCAAGTTCTCAATTAAACTCTCTTTCTTTGTGTCGATGAAAACAAATCAGTAGTTTACCTCCTGCTGATTAATGCCATTTTACCGAATTTTGTTGATCAAACTTAGCTATATTGTAATGTAAGACATATTACAGAATCTGTATACATATTGTTGCCGAAGCATTTTTGCCGTATAAACATGGCTGATTGCAGGCCGTCTCAACTCAATGTTCATTGGTAAGAATGTGTTTTTCAATAAAACACATTCACAAGAGCGAGAGAAAATATGAATATATGATAGTAGCTTTCCGTCCCCACTGACAATGGGCGATTTCTCTGACCGACAGCTTGAATAGCTCGTTCTTGCTTATCTTCCTCTCCCGTTTAGTGGATGCTCTTGTGGTATGTTATTAGTTTGTTCTTGTTGGAGAGATTTTAAAGTAGATTTAGGGCTACTTATAGGAGAGATTTGGACGATAGATTTCTCATAAAACTCTGTAAACAAACTAATAATTCGAAGTGCAGTAGTTTAGTTATGAATTAAGGTCATTCCAGAATCTGAGTTTGTATCAACATCACAGTTTTCTATTTAAGAATATCTTTTTCTGGATTAAAAGAGTTTCTATACAGATTTGGTATATTTGATTTATTATGTTGGAAACCAGTACTAAGTTCATTTTTTCTTATTTTGCCTTGATGACGATTACATTTCCGGCATTCAAGTGGCACTAATATGTAGATGCGGGAATGAAGGTGTTCTAAAAGTATCAAGAAGTAAAAACAATTCTACGAGAGGTTATACTACAAGTGTGACCATTGTAGAGTCTGGTTACGTTGGATGGAAATGAGAAGGTCTATCATGGTTTCAACATGAACAAGGAAAGATCTTTTTACAGTGGCAAGTCGACTATTACATCGAGCGAGGTATCCATGCAGGAGCAATGATGTTCGATGTTTATTTCTATCTTAAACCTTATTTGTTTGTTTTTCTTAAAGCAATTCTGAGTTTCTTACTCAATATTTTGATGTGAATTATTGATAATATCAAAAGTTGAATGTCTATATTTAAAATTTTGAAAGTTTGGACAATTTTAGCTATAAAAACAGACGCAAATAATTCTCCCAAATAATTGCATCAAAAAGACAATAATCAAATTATAAATAATGTTAGTCCCCACACAATATTTTATCTTCTGGAAGTTGGCAATTCCAATTCCGTCAAAAAAGTGTCAGCGTTCGTCAGCTGCGTGCAGTCCTCTCCACCGATGTTTTCCGCCCACAAAAATCTTCGTCGATCCGATCGATCGAAGGGCTCCTTTTCCAGTTGCGATTCTTCTCAGGTTCGCCGATAATTCTCTCCCCTGCATCAATTTCAGCAATCAAGCTTTTCATGTCGGTATGTTAAGCTGATTTGAACTTTTTAGAGTTTTGTCTTTTCCGTCTCTCTCAACTTTCTGCTTTGTCCTTGGGATTCGATGTTCTATTTGACAGATTATCCGGTGACATCTGGTGCTGAGTTTTTTATTCGTTTATCTCCTCAAAAAATCTATTGAGATTTGTCTCCGATTATAAGAAAATTTCGCGAATATCATTATTGGAGTGGAGAATTGGAGATTCGTCTTCTCATCTGCCATAGTTGAGATTTGAGAGCAGCAGGAATGAAGCACTACTGCCGTGTTGAATCTAACCTAATTAGTGCTGTGGAAATAGAAGATTTTAGTGAACTGGTTCTCTCTTAAAGTTAAAGCCCCTGATTAGAATCGAATTTTGTAGGATGTTATCTCCATTTAGATAGAAGATTCGAAAGCTTTGGATCTTTCCAAGATTTTGAGAACAGTAAAAAATTGACGTTTAAAGTTACTAAATGTGATCATCTTTTTAAAAAAGTTACTTGAATAGTGTAAGAAAGTTTCAAAAATATGTATGTAATTTTAGGAACTTGCTATTTGCTATTTTGGTTTTGATCAATTGAAGATTGCTTATGAATCGACTATTGATACAGATTCTGTAGGCATTACCCAAGCTGCCCTGTTTTTCGATCATGGAGGATTATCGGCTCCATCTCCGGGAGCCGATTTTGTCTAAAGACAGGGCTCGTGATTACCGTCATCCTCTCCACAAGCTTACTGGCTTGCAATGGTGGATCTCGGTTGTTGTCAACATACTTCTCCTCGTAGTCGGCCAATCTGCGGGTGTCCTATTGGGAAGGTATTATTACGACGAAGGTGGGAATAGTAAATGGATGGCGTCGCTAGTCCAAACGGCTGCCTTCCCGATTCTTTTCATTCCTTACATTTTTCTCCGTCCCTTCGACGAGCCTCCTAACTCTGGTTCTAGTTCGTCGTCGTCGTCGGTGCCGTCAGTTCTTATACTCGGCACGATTTACTTCATCATCGGTGCGCTCATTGCCGGCGATAACATGATGTACTCCTTTGCCCTGTCGAATCTTTCTGCTTCGACGTATTCGCTGATTTGCGCCACGCAGTTGGCGTTTACTGCGATTTTCTCCTTGTTCATAAATCGACAGAAATTCACCGCTCTTATCTTGAATTCAGTAGTGGTTCTCTCATTTGCTGCGGCGTTGCTCTCTGTGAACGATGATGACGATTCGTCTGGTAATGTTTTGAGTGTTTCCGAGAGGAAGTATACCGTAGGGGTTGTTCTTGCCCTCGGAGCTTCTGCTCTGTATGCGTTGCTGCTGTCGTTAATGCAGCTGACGTTTGAGAAGGTGGTGAAGAAGGAAACATTTACGGTTGTTCTTGAGATGCAGATTTACACGGCGATTGTAGCGACGGTCGTTACAACTGCGGGGCTTTTCGTGAGCGGGGAATGGAAGTCGATTGCGGGTGAAATGGAAGGTTTCGGTGCGGGGAAAGTTTCTTATGTGATGACTCTGGTGTGGATTGCTGTTGCTTGGCAATTGTGTTCCGTCGCCGTCGTCGGTTTGATATACGTAGTGTCGTCGCTGTTCTCGAATGTTATAAGTACATTGTCGCTGGCTATCACTCCTATTGCGTCTTTGGTTGTGTTTCATGACAGGATGAACGGGGTGAAGATTGTCGCTATGCTGCTGGCGTTTTGGGGGTTCGCTTCGTATGTTTACCAGAACTATCTCGACGATCGGGAAGCGAGGAAAAACGATAGAGACGGGAGCTGACGATGTGGGTTTTTATCGAATTTGCCACGCCGGAGCCAGGTTCGATTTTTTCGACTTTTCGATGTCAAGAAATACTTTTTATGATTATTTAGATGATTTGAGTCACCTGGGCTGGGAAATTCTTTGATGATGGTGAGTGATTTGTATGTTTTAACTGCAGTTATGTTCATGAATTATGTGTCTATTTAGGACAATTTGTATTGTTGAATTTGGTAGGGTTAGTTGTTGATTTAAACACACTTTAAGTGCACAATGGAGAGTAACTTGAAAGGGATATTTATGGTATAAATTTGTGCATAATTTGATCATATGATGTGTATTATACTTGAAATGAAATCTTTGATCATATTATTAATACATGGGTTTGATGAAATTGTTGGGTCCCTCTGGAACTAATTTGAATTAGGACAAAATGTGAATTGAATTGTTGAAGTGAACTTGAAGTTATTATTATATAAATCATCGAAACAGGGCCTAAGGTCCTAAAGGCGTAGTTAGTTATGAAGATAAGGACTTGTTTGGGCCATCCCAAAAATAATGGAAATTGACATTACCAAAGTGGGAGGTCTCAATCACTGCACCAAACATACACTAAAAGGATTGATTAACAATCATTTCAATTCTTCAAAACACATAGTTGAACAACCCTTCTTCATCAAAACAACTAATATATATATATGTGTGTGTATAATCTATGTTGCTCAAAAACTTCAGTTGCAGACTTGTGTCACCAACACAAATACACTGAGAAAAGAATGATGGGCAACACCCAAATGCCCATTACAAATAAAGGGACTTTTTTTTTTTGAAAAAGAGAAAAAGATTCACTTTTCATCCAATCAAAATATATAGTCAACCCTTGTCTCTCTCTCTACATTTGAAAGAATCCTTCAGTAATCCCACCAAGGGACTGAAGATCAACAATCATAGTGGTGTAACCCTAATGGGGAGCAAATGCACCATCCCCACCTTCTTTGATCATATCCACACATCCAATTTATTCACACAAAAAAAATAATAATAATAACAATAAATGCTGGAATATTAGTATATTTTTTATTATTTTTTGAAAAAACTCTTGTTTGTCAGTTTTAATCTTTTTTTTAGAAAAAATAAATAAATAAAGCGCAAAACGGTACCGTATTGAGGGAGGTCAAAGTCAACGATCGTCGGCGGATCAATGGTACCGACCGAAATCGGCGAGCTTACGGGATCTATTCTTGCAAAACGACGTTGCTGTGGAGAGGTGTGGCTTCGCCGGAGCTCTGGATTCTCCGACCATTGGGATCTCCGGCGGTAGGCCGATCTGATTCCAGTGGTGGGTAGGGCTGGCACGAACCAGAGGACTCAAGCAAAATACCAATCCTGATACGCTTCTACTGTGGCTTGCCGCCCTTACGCCGCCGCGCCGGGCCGTCGACGGCGTCATCCGCGGAGTTTGCTTCCAGGCGGGGGAGGACTCCGACGTGTAACCGCTCAATCCACCGTTGCAATGATCGTCGCCATCATCGTCGTCGTCGTCGTCGGAGCATCTAGCCGGAGACATTCCTCGGTCTCGATTCCGGGAGATTTTACGCCGGCCGATCGCGCCGCCGCCGTCGTCGAGCGAAAGCGTCCGAATCTGCTTCCTTCTCCGGCGAGGGATTACAGTTGAAAACCACGACGGAGACGCCGTGCACGAGTGCCCGCTCGAGGCTCCGGTATCCGAACCCGGGACCGAACCCGGACCCGAATTGTCCGATTTGGATCTGAAAAGCCCTAGAAACATCTTCGAAAATTTCCCCACATTACTACTCTTCTTCTTCTTCTTCGTCTTCTGCTCCTCCGCCTTAACCTCAACCGTCACGGCGGCGCTAGTACCGGCGCCGCCGTGGAGCTGCGACATCGCCGAACTGGTAGACCTCCGCCACGAAACGTAAGGGGAGACGGAGCGGGGGAACGACAGCGGCAGCGGGCGCTGCGCATCCAATTTCCGGCGATCCAATTGAGCCTGGTGGTGCTGCGCCTCCTTCTGCGCCTGAGCCGCCATTACCGCACAGAGACGCTCCCGGAGGCAGGAGGCGCATACGCCGCCGCCGCCGCTGCTGAGGTCCTCCGGGTGCCTTTTGCACCTCATTTATCCAATCCGACCTAAAATCGAATCCTCCACAGGCCGATACGCACCTGAAACTGCGATTATTTTGGATGCTGTTTTAGAGAAATCGAGGAGCTGACCTGCGACTCAGTCCTGGCATTTTCTGGATGTATACGTAATCGAACGATTTGACGAGAATAACAAAGAGCGAGTAAGGACTTTTTCTACCTCTTCTTCCTCCTCAATTTGATTTTGATCAGATCAGAGGATTACTTCTTCTTCTGCTTTATCAATGGCGGAAAAGGAGACGAAGAAGACAGTAAGACTGACGCAGTGGTGAAATGAACTTCAGGCCTGATAAATTTCTTCCTATTTATTTTATTTTATTTTATTTATTATTATTATTATTTTCTTGAAGTTAGAGTTGAGAGAATAACATCATCCACGAATATTATTAAAGCATTAAAGAATAAAAAAAAATAGGAATAATATAGTGCGGGTGGTCTACGTGGTCGGAACTAATAGAACGGAATGGATGGACGGCTGAGATTCGCTGCTGAGAAGCTTCTGCAGTGAAAAGAACAATCAAATCAATTAATTTCTATATATATAAGGAGTATTTATCAAATAGATATATTTAATTGTGATTAATTTGTAACACAAATAATTAATCAATTAATTAATTAGTGGGAAGTGGTGAGTAAGATAAGTGGCGTAAAATTAATTGAGTTGAGTAGAGGAGAGTGTTAATGTAGATATAAATCGTGTTTTGAGTACACACGACTACAGCTATATGTGTATTAGTATTATGTCATGTCATAATCATACCCTGCAATAATTAATATTTTTTTCGTTCTTTAAATCTATGCTCATTTTTATTTTTATATTATCATTGAAAAATATTCTTATTTTTTTTAATAAAAAATTATTTTTTATTTATATATTTTTTAACTATAAAAAAAAATTAATAATTAATAATTATTTTTATTAAAATTTATGTCCAATCAAATAAGTATACATACATGTCATAAATTAATAAATAAATAAATCTGAATATAATTAATTGTGGTCAAAGTTATTAATGAAGGCACGAAACTTCTGTCGCATTTATAACCTACTTTTATGTTCCGTCTTAGATTTACATCTGTGGATGTTTGAATAAACACTTTATTATTATTATTTGTATTTATTACATATTTTGACTTTATTTAAATAAAAATAAAAAAATGAAACTAGAATTTTAAAATTCTAATATATATTAGCATATTAGGTATTTGATGCATTGTTTTATAAGATGAAATATATATTTAATATGATATTTTTTAATAAATAAATATTAATGTGATGAGGTTTTTGTTAAGCAAAATAACCAATTTGTTTTGATGTATTTTCAACCTAACGGTTACTGCATTCATTAATTATAAGTCGTTGAATTAGACTTTAATTTAAAGATTAATATATGTTCCAAATTAGACTATAATTTTACCATAAATAATATATATAATAAATATTTAATTAACAATATATATCCTCATAGCATACAATTAAAATTCTTTCAATATTTTTAGTAAAATACTTTCAAATAATTGCACAAATTTATACATATAGATGCAGATAGTATTACTTTGGCTCAATTTAACTAGAGGTTTTTGAAATTTTTATTTATTTAAATAATAAACAGAAAATATTCAATGTGACATTTTATAGGAATAAATATATATTTTGATATGTATACTCCTTCCATTCCATAAAAATAAAAGATGTGTAAGTTGAGATTTGACACGAGAATTAAATAATAATAGTATTTAATTAAAAATAGATATAAAGTAGAATATAAAAGACTAAATTACCGTTGTATTTCAAAGGGTTTTAAAAAATGGGTTAGTGTAATAGTTAGAGGTAGTTTTGGAAAATATTGAATAATTTTGTTGTAAAGAGCACAGTTACTAAATAAAAAAAATATGACAGTTATTTTGGGACGAACTTGTTTTGGACGGAATGAATATTTTTTGAAAAAGAAAAACTATGTTGATAAATTATAAAAAAGTATTCATGTAAACAAAACATTCATGTTTCACAAAATAATACTTCATCCGTGTCATTTGAAGGTATAAATTTACTTTAGATGCGATTTAAAAAATAATAATATTTTAATTATAGTGAATAATTAAAAGTAGTGTAAAATAATTTTACTCTTATTTTTTTTTTTTTATGTAAAAGTAGCGATGGAATTGTAAAATAGAAGTATTTGTAGAAAAATAAAAAAAATGTTTGAAATAATTACTCGTTCCGTCACACTTAATTTGTTCACTCTTTCTATTTTCGTTCGTCCTATATAATTTGTCCTTTTATGTTTTGAAAATATAATTACATACTTTATTCACATTTTAAAATTCATAATTTATATATTTTTTTAAGTAAATTATTTAGTCATTTTAATTTTAATATATAATTATTTTTATTAAATTATAATTATTTTTGCAAATGCATTTCTTAATTACTTACTACTTATCCAATACCTAAAACTCCGTACCTAAACAAAAATGAATAATTTAAATGAGACGGAATAAGTACTTGTAATTGAATAATTCAGAATAAAAATATATAAATTTGTGAGTGAATTAATGAAATATAACCTTATATCTATTGTTAATTTCGTAAGACATCATATATATATTTAACATTCATGACGTTACTTGAAAATGTCTAATCTTCCTTAATATTTTAGTTTATCAGTCAAGTTATCTCATGCTTAAATATATATATATATATATATATATATGTTGAACAAATGTTTTTGTTTTTTCAAAATTTAATAAATGATATATAAAAAACATATCATTTTCTCATAAAATATCACCTACAATAATTATTTAATTTTAAAAAAATTACAAAATTAAACCATCTAAAAAGTGTTATTATTATTATTATTATTTTCTTGTTTTTTTAACACAATATTTATTTATTTTATTATTTTGATCACCTTGGGGTTTTACCTCAGGGAATTCTTTTCTTCCACTTTATCTTCATATTTGTTGATATTGGGAAAAGTCCAATATAGTTGAAATTTACTCAATTTAATTTTTGTTTGTTTACTTACTTGTTAGAAACATTCAATATGATGCAAAACTTTATGACGACAGTTGTATTTTAATTTATTTTTTATTTTTTGTATATCAATTAATTAGTTCGAAATGTTATTTAAAATTTTTTATTTGTATGGGGGAAAATTCTTGAATTCTTAAATTTTAATACGTAACGTGTCAATAATAATGATATGAGGTTTGGCAGCCAAATATAATTGGAAATTGCTAATTAAAATTTGATGCGTGTCCAATTTATGTTTATCAATTTGCAAAATATTTTTATTTTATTTTATTTATTTCAAATATGAAATAAAACAGTATAATGATTGATATAAGGCGTAAGGGTGTGCTTTATTGTTTTTTTTTAATATATAAATAAAATTAAAACTAATTATTCGGAAAAAAAAAATCATTTTAAATTTAACAGTTTTGTTCTCTTTGAGTTTATTTTAATTTATTTACTATATAATATAACAGTTTTGTATGTAAATATACCATTTTTTCATATGAAATATTATATTTAATATTTATTTCACTTAAAAAAGAATATACAAACATAATTTTTTTGAAAGAAAATTATCAATTGAGATAATGAAAAATGTCTAGATAAATATATATATGTCTATGAACCTCTTATTTAAAATTGACTGGGCTATTTATTGGACTAAGCCCATCAGACCAACAAAATCTCAAGCCCATTAGCCCAACAAAATCTCAAGCCCACCGTAGTTTTCTTTTTGCTGGGACTTATTTTATTTGTTCGGAATTATTATTATTATTATTATTATTATTATTATTATTATTAAGGGGAAATTTATTATTTTACTAAATGTATAGGAAGACTCTCTTTTACATGTTTTTAATTTTAATTTTGTTTTTAAAACCAATAAAAATTTAATATTTGATGTAGTTTTACCTTGCTATGGGTGAAAATCTAAAATAAATGAAATATAAAATTGAAGAAGCTTTATAGATAGGTAAAAGAAGTATTTTATTTACGATTGTTTAGTTTCCAACAAGGTATTATTATGAGATACTTAAAAAATAATTATTGACAAATAATATCAAATTTTAATATATCTAAAAATTAAATTACTTAGCATAGAATTATTAAATAATTTATTTTGAGAGAGTGTATATTTAACTATAAAATCATAATTCTATGCACAAATATATTTATTAAAACAAATTATATCATATAATAAATTAATATAATGTGTTTATATATAATTAGGGTAATATATATGTGTAAGCTATATATATATATATATATATTTAAATTAATTAAGTACGAAACAGTATCAGTTGCTATATGTATATAATATTTAAATTGATTGATTATGTATAAAAAGAAGTTTCTTGGGGATGGGTCTCTAACTTTGACTAGTCTATGCTTCCAGAAATGTGAAATAACTCTACTTGCACTTGTATGATTAGACTTTGATTTTATACATTTAGATTAAAATAGTAAAAATTGAATTTTACATTTATGGATCTCAAGAGTAATGCAATATAAGTAAAATCTAACAAAGCAAATGAACTTATTTATGTTTGAATTTTATTTATTTATTTTTATATAAATATTGATTTAAATAATATAACAAAAACTTGAAAAATAGTTACCACCAGCCGCCATTAAAATTCTAAAATGCATAGGGAGTACGACGTCGTTTTTCTTCTAGTGAAGCGCTACGTACGGACGGTCCAGATTGGCGTAGCTGACATTTCTAGGAAGGTTCTGTAACACAGAGCGGCGCGCGTTAGCAGTTGGCGCAATATAGCCCCCACCCGTGGCATGGCACCACACGCGTTGGCTTCACCAATCTTTTGAAAATTCGCGGTCCAACAACGAAGGCAGTTTTTCTCCGTTTCGCTTTCCAGCTTCGCGTGGATTTCTTCTCCAGATTATTCCTCTGTTTTTGTTGCTTCTGCTCCAAGTTTGATTCCTTAATCCGGTTATATTATCTTGCGAACTTGAAGTTCTTGGCGGTTCCGGCGGCGGACGGTGATCGTAGGGTCAAAATTTTGGTACAGTGGTCCTGTTTTTGTTGGTTGCGGTGGGGAAAGTTGAGTTAGTGATGGCGACGATGGAGAGTTTGATTGGACTGGTAAACAGGATACAGCAGGCCTGCACCGCCCTCGGAGACTACGGTGGCGACGACGACAAGGCTTTTTCTTCTTTATGGGATGCTTTACCCTCCGTCGCCGTTGTTGGTGGCCAGGTCAGTAAATGAATATCATCCAGGGTGATTGTTATGCTAAGCAGTAATAAAGTTTCTCAAGGAAGAAAATAATTTATCATACGTTTGTATGAGGCGGCGGAATTTGTTATTAGCAGTATTTTTTTTAGATTTTAGCAATGGAAGGGTCTGTGGATGCATATAGGAGATTTCATTTGTTAGGGAGTCGAGGTGAGGTTGATTTCGGTTTTGTGATTTGAGCTGAATGCAGAGTTCAGGAAAGTCTTCAGTGTTGGAGAGCATTGTAGGACGTGATTTTCTGCCTCGAGGATCTGGTGAGTCCTGTGATCTTTTTCAAGAGGATTGTGAAATTAATCTTGCAATTTGCATACGATCACTTTTGATTTGACTCTTTCTTATACGGATGTTGGATTCAGGGATTGTTACAAGGCGGCCATTGGTGTTGCAACTGCAGCAAACTGAGGAAGGGCAAAAGGAATATGCAGAGTTTGGGCACTTGTCTGGAAGGCATTTCACTGATTTCTGTAGGTGCAAAGTTTGATTATTCATATCGAAGGAATTGTTGTGTTGTCTTACCTCTAAATGATGCATTGTTAATTCTCTTGTTTAATATAAGAACCGAAATCATTCATTTACTGAGCGAAATAGCATAATCTTCAAATCTTAGGTATTTGGAGGACCTAACATAAGCAAGGGTTGCGCCAATATTATGCTTTGATGTTAGTGATAAAATCTTGATGTATAAAATTTCCATTGCGTAACTATTAGGTATATTGTGTTATCATGCCTAACTATTATCATCTTTGGGTAGAGAATTTGATATGCCTACCTTCATTGTTGTTAAACTATATTTAGAAGAAGTAACTAAACATCTCATGGCGGGCTATTGTGATGCGTGTATACTGTTGGATACAGTATTTTAGCACTGATAACTTTAGAAGTTATGCTTCTTTGAGTTTATTGAAACAATGTGTATCTTCTTATCATTTCGGACAGCTTTGGTTCGCAAGGAGATTGAGGATGAAACCGATAGAATAACAGGGAAGTCGAGACAAATTTCTCCAGTTCCTATTCATTTAAGCATCTATTCACCCCATGGTAATTTTTTCTTTTTTTTTTTGTCATTGAGCTAATTTTTGTGAAATTCCTTTTGGCAGAAAGACATAATATTCTAAGTATTAAAATTCCAAATTACTATACCAAGATATCAGTTTGTCCACTGCTGATTCTTTTGAATTGCTTCTTGCAGTTGTCAACCTAACTCTGATTGATCTTCCTGGTTTGACAAAAGTTGCTGTTGGTAAAGTGCATACTTGTTACTCTTCTTGGAACTTATATATACATACACACACACACATATCTCCAATTCATTGATTTTACTAATGCAAAGACATCTGATTTGCAGAGGGGCAACAAGAAAGTATAGTCCAAGACATTGAAAATATGGTTCGCGCTTTCGTTGAAAAGGTAAGGATTAGAATTTTTCTACATGTGTTTCCAAATATGTGAAACTGTCCCTTCATTATATGACTGGTTCAAATATTATACATGAGCATGAATGCCCCTCTTATTGGTACTTCAACTGTATTGAATCAGATATATGCAATGCATCTACTCTGGTTTGCATAAATAGAATAAACCATTAATAGCCATAGGATGAATTAATGGAATGAAAACATAATAATATATGGCTAAGGAACATAAATATTTTTTTTTCATTTCACTTTCATGGTTGGTAAATAATATGTGCAACATTTTTTTTGGTAATGTTTCTATGACTAGCAAAATTCCCATCTAATAAATTTCGTATTATTATATTTTACATATTTTGACATAATTCAAAATTCTACACCAAATTCAAATGTTAATCATCAGCCTAAATTCTTCCTAGAAAATTACATATATTAAAATTATAGCATATTTTCATATCCAATAAATATATATGGTCATAAAGCATCTTATCTACTTTGTTGCTTATAATTAGTGAAAAACTAATACAAAATACAAAGCATAACTTTAGGCAATATGTCCCATTAAAATAATATTTAGAAAAGTATATTTATATCTATATATTATATTTTATCAAGCTATATACATAATAAATTAGTAAGTAGTAAATTATACATGGATAAATTCAATAGATATAATGGTCTATCATTAATTTATAGAATGTACATATACATATTATGTTTATGAACGCATCGATTATAATTAACTTTTGTTATCTTATTTTTACTCTTTGAATGTTATATATACGTATGTTAGATATGATTATATATGCTTTTGTATATTTAACAAGAAAGTAAAAATTGAAAAGTCTTTTCAGTGTGTGCACGTGTTTCTTCATGGAATAGTGCAAAATTTATCTAGATGTAGTCTAGAATTATATATGCATATAATTTATACACTATCATACTATATAAAAATAAGACGGTAACATAATGAAATCTAATGTGTGCTATAATTACCAATCTATTGGGAATTCATAAATACCTTTGTGAGTATAAAGATTCCCTCATGAATAGAATTTCCTTTCCTAGAATTCTGTAAGCATTGAAAATTCTTCGTCATTTCCTTCTTCCTACATACGAACTCATCGGTCCAAGTGCAATCACTGCACTTATCTTCTTGCATTACTCCATGACTGGTGGGTTTGGATCCATATTGTTGATGTATAAGTTATATATGCAATTACATTTTATGCTATTCTTTAGTTTCTTTCTGTTCATACATTTTCTGCATGCAGCCCAATTGTATCATTTTGGCAATATCTCCAGCCAACCAAGATATTGCCACATCAGATGCTATTAAGCTTGCAAGGGAAGTAGATCCATCAGGTAATATTCAATATCATTTGATATGTAAAAATTGTAAAGGTCAACTAGATATCACTATCTTAGCATTACCACAGTTAAAATTTCATGCAATCAACACAGGTGAGCGAACATTTGGAGTGCTGACAAAACTGGATCTGATGGATAAAGGAACTAATGCGCTTGATGTGAGTGTGCTGTCACTTATCTCCCATACAGATACACATGTTAGCATGAGAAAGTCCTAATGACAGAAAATGAAGAAGGAACTTATATTGCCATAATGCTGCATAAATTGAAGATTATACTTTTTGTGCAGCTGCAGCCACTAGTGTACACCTTTTCAAGATAACCATATATTTGAAGTATAAACCCTGAGAAAATCTTTGTTTGTTGGTGAAAATTCACTGTGATCGGAGAGTAATGTTTCATTAGTTTGAAACTGCAAATAATGTGTTCTTTGCCATTTTGAGCATGCTTCTCTCTCTGCCTCTCTTCCAAGTTTGGGTTATATTGCATTTAACACATTCTTCTTTATTGTTTCATCCAAAAAGTTTTTTGGCCACTTCACTTCATCACCTCTTACTCCTGTTTTTCCACTTCTCCATTTTTACGATCCGAAGTGGTTCAACTAATTTTCAGCTGTATGATATTCTTTTATAGGTTTTGGAAGGAAGATCTTATCGATTACAACATCCTTGGGTGGGTGTTGTCAATCGTTCACAGGCAGATATTAACAGGAGTGTTGATATGATTGCTGCCAGGCGAAATGAGCGCGAGTACTTTGCTACAAGTCCTGACTATGGGCACTTGGCAAGTAAAATGGGATCTGAATATCTTGCAAAACTTCTCTCAAAGGTACAGTTTTCTTCTTACTTTTTGAATGAACATCCTGATACAGCAGAGCTCTTATTGTTGAATATTTTATAAACCAGCAATTGGAAGCTGTAATTAAGGCAAGGATTCCAAGTATCACCTCATTGATTAACAAAACCATTGATGAATTTGAATCTGAGCTGGATCACCTTGGAAGACCTATTGCAGTTGATTCAGGGGTGGGCTTTCTTTCTCTTTTTGTTATGATCTTGATTCAAATGTTTCAAACACATCAACAGCTGAATATATGTTTCAGGCCCGGCTGTACTCCATCTTGGATCTTTGCCGTGCCTTTTTCCGGATATTCAAAGAACACTTAGATGGAGGGTATGTTTCTCCTGGCACTTGTTCCTCTCTTAAGAAAAGCCATTCTCGATAAGCGTTATCAATACCATAACGTCTCATTGTCTGTAATTTCCCTCTTTCGAAATGCTTAATCATAGTTCCACCCCTTCCTGTCCTTCCTACACCTTTTTTCATCAAGTTCCATTCTTCTATTAGTCATATCAATCTTTGATTGGCTTTACTAACAACTCTGCTTCCTGATGAAGGAAATTTTGATTTTATAATATACTATGCATATTTCTTAACTTAAATTTTATCTAACTTTTCTGAACTTGCATGTATTATATGTGTATGATTCTGTCAATTATAATAAGCTGTAACATTGATCATTTCAGCCGATCAGGAGGTGATCGAATATATGGAGTATTTGACAATCAGCTACCAGCGGCTTTGAGAAAGCTTCCATTTGATCGATATCTATCACTGCAGAATGTTAGAAAGATAGTTTCAGAAGCTGATGGTTATCAACCACATTTGATTGCTCCAGAGCAAGGTTATAGACGACTTATTGAGGGATCGTTGAGTTATTTGAGAGGACCTGCTGAAGCTTCTGTGGATGCTGTAAGTAATTTTGAAGTTATAATCGATACGCATGCATTGCATCTATACTTAACCCGTAAAATTATACAGGTACATCTTGTCCTGAGGGATCTTGTGAGCAAGTCAATTGGAGAGTGCCAAGTATGCATAATTTCTTTATCTTCAATGATTGATAATTTGCACATACATAGCTTGTTTCTAAAATTCTGTAATGGAGCAGGAATTGAAACGGTTTCCAAGTCTGCAATCAGCTATAGCAGCAGCAGCAAATGAAGCTTTGGAAAAGTACCGCGAGGAAAGCAAGAAAACAGTCATTAGATTGGTTGACATGGAAGCTTCGTATGTAACTGTTGAGTTCTTCAGGAAACTCCCCCAGGAGATCGAAAGATCAGGAAACCCCGCAGCAAGCCAGCCAGCTGGGAAAGTTGATCGAGCAGGAAGACCCGCGGTGAACCACCCGGGAAGGGATTCCCAAGAAAACGCAAACGCACCACCCGCCTTAAATATTGATCGTCATTCAGACGCACACTTCAGGAGGATAGCGTCCAACGTATCATCCTATGTGCATATGGTATCTGATACACTGAGGAACACAATTCCGAAGGCCGTGGTTTACTGTCAAGTTAAGGAAGCCAAACAGAGCTTACTGAATAACTTCTACCTGCAGATTGGGAAGAAAGAGGTGCTGTTTTATTCCCATATATATACACTTTATCCATACAAAAGTGCATAGACTATTTAGCATTTACATACCCGTCATTCGATGTTGTTGCAGGGTGAACAGCTTGGTGAGTTTCTGGATGAAGATCCGGCTTTGATGGAGAAGAGACAGCAGTATGCAAAGAGGCTGGAACTGTACAAAAAGGCTAGAGAAGAAATAGACTCAGTATCATGGACTCAATCGAATTGACGTATCCAGGTAAGAGATATTTTGTTGGTTAATATTGTCCAAACTTGATCAAGCACAGCAGTAGTAGTATTTGTTAATTGAACAACAAGTGGCTTCAAATTCATGCTATGCATATTTTGGCCCGATACAAGGTTTTGTCACACGTATTCAGTGTATTTCTTGTGTAAATCTGAGCCTCAATATATTTCCGGAACATTGTTGTCCGAGTATAGAATATGCATACAAAACATAGCTTAGAATAGCGTTTGTGCACTCCCTATGCTAATTTTGAATGAGACGAATCGTCATATGCCTAATGTACGACAATATAACAACATCGACCTGTCTCTACCTGTCGAATGGTCAGTTTAGATTCTTGAACATGATGTTGTTAATTTGGTCGATGGCAATGTCGGATATAGGCTCAATGGGCAGCTCTTCACTGTCTGCTGATGGGGTTCGACTTTCTGGCTCCCTACTGAACTCATCTGCATTGATCATAACTTACATTACAGCCCTAAATATGATGGCGTTACAATACAATTCCTGTAACAAACTTGGACTCACCAAACATCGAGTTGAAAGAGGTAGGCGGAGGAGTGGCCATAAAATTCATGCCGAGATAAAGTAGAATGGCCAGCGCTATAGTTACCATTCCATAAGTCGGCACAACCAACGCCCAATACCTGAAAACGTAGAACCGTGGAGACTTCACGTGTAATTATATGCAAGAAGTTTTGTGTAGGAAGTTGGCAAATACTAGAAACAGTCATCAGTTAGAAGATCATTAACAAGGTTTATAATTGGCATAGGCATATATGCAAGAACGAGAATATCATACTGAACTGAAACTGTAATAAGTAACACAAGCATATATTCCATCTAACCTGCTAGGGAAGTAACAGATCCCAACAGAATGCAGCCATCGATCGGGAACATATGCCCACATAATAAAAACAACTGTCGAAGATGGAAGAACATGTCTTAGATGTCACTATAACTATCTTCACTTTGTTAAGACAACCAAGATATACATCGATAGAGAAAATGCAACTAGACAGCTTAGTATGAATTCTATGTTAGATGCTATTGCTCAATGAATGCCAATAGAGCTCAATTGAGTTGCCGGAACCCTAAAGAATTGCATTTTCACGATTGATACCTAACAGTTTCTCGAATTTTGCAAACACAAATTCAAAAAGGAAATGAATTTGAAATGTAGGACTAAGTGGGAATCAATACATTTGATCAATGGATCGAACCTGTTGAAACAACTGTGGTGATGGATCCGACGAATCCATAAACCTCAGAAAGCTTGGGTCCGTGCTCCCCGGAAACTCCGAATCCCGTGGAAGATCGACGTGGGGTATCATTCGCTTTCCGCATCCTGGAGAAGCTTAGGATCCGCCGTGGACTGTTGACGGAATAACGCTCCTCCATTTTTGATTATCAGCCTCGGTTCCGCTGGAATTGAAATTCTATCGTCCTTCGTCTACCTCCGACTGACTGTTCTGCGTCGAGTTGCAGTCGCAAATAACTGAGATGAAACAGCCGACTTCAATAATTGGGCTTCAATTTAACATAAGGGCTGCAGTACTATACCTGAAGCCCATGAAATGTTACGTAGGCCATTCATATTGGCCCAATTTTTCGGACGGAGCAAACCTTTGGGTGGAACGAGCGAGAGAGTAGCGCGGGGGAGAAGATGAGCAGCGCTACATGGAGTCGACTCCAGCTATGGCCAATGCCGCCATCTTCTCTGTTCTTTACACGCTGCAAGCTTCCCATAGGTATTTGTTAGTTTTTCGAATGTATTCATCGTGATGCATTTCTATCGTTCTATTACAGTTTTCCAGCCTGATTTTGCAGCTGGGAGTTTGGTGCCTCCAACAATTATGCAGCAGCCGACGTTGTGTTTCTGTCGCCAAATTCAGACGACTACCTATGAAGTTGTTAATGGAAGCTACGTTCCCAACCGTGATACCCAACCAAGCAAGGTAAAGAAATTTAGTGGCAAGTTTTATTTGTAATACACTTTGCTGTATCTTTACTGGTTATCAATTCTCGTTTAGTTGGAAAAGAATATGTGCTTCTGTGCTCTCTCGGAAGCAATTTAATGGTGTAATGCTCTTCTGTCGCAATCTTCTACGAAGAAAATGTTGATTTTGTTTTGAATTTTTTAGCTTGTTTATGAAATGGAGCAATCCAATTCACCTTATTTGCTTTTCAGGATGGAAAAATAACGCCTCTGGAAGCTGTTGGTGCATTTCAGAAGCTTCCAATGGTGATGCCTTCAGTTGATATTCTATATTCAGCATTGAGGAAGGCAAAGAGGATCTCACCAACAAAGGGTAATTGAATTCCATTTCTTCAAGCAGTATTGAGGTGGAAACTTAAATTTGGCTTTGGAAATTATGTTTGCTAGGTATTGCTAATGCTGCAAAGCGTGAAAGAAATAAGGGTGCAAAACAACTTGATGCATTAATGAAGGTAAATTTCTAGATGTGTTCTTAATTATTAAGGTACTGTTACTCTTCATGTATGGAAGAATCTGTTTATATTAACTTTAGGAGCTTGCTCTGCCGTTGAGAACTTACAAGGAGAACTTCCCCAACAAAAAATATTTGCATCCGTATGAACGGTCTCTTGTTGAGTTGACTCTTGGAGACGGAAACTATGAGGAGGTAGATGCCAAGGCTTTCTTTTGTTACTCTTAAAAAAGGCTGTCTCGAGATGTTACTAATTTTTCTTTTTGTAATTCACTTGTACACTGTGGTTTTAGTAGAATGAAATCATATTTGATCAATCTTCAAACTTGATTGTGCCTGCCTGCCTTCATCTTGTACTTTTTCTAAGTTTCTAATATATGTTATGTTAGCTGTTTCTCTCTTCTTTATTTATTTTTATTTATTTGTTTCTGTATTTTTTGTCTTGGAAAACTCTTAGCATGCGTAGAGCAGTGTATTGTGTATGATTGCCTACATAAATGAGATTTGAATCTTCCTAGTTCCCAAAATTTTGTTATTGCTAGTAAGGTCTACATTTCAAATTATAGAACATTTGTCCTATTATTCGCTTAGGATATTGAAGCTCCTTGTGATTGGCAGGTATTGGGAAAGATTGATACATTGCGGAAGAAATTGGTATCGGTAGGGAAAGAGCATGCCTCCATATGTGCCAAGGTTGTAGTTGGCTGCCTCCTGATTAGTTTTGTTATGTGAACTTGGTGATAAAACTAATTCAATTTTTGGATTTTTTAAAATCTTATTCAATTATCTAATAAAAGTAAACGTTTTATATGGTTGGTTGGAAGGAGGAAATGCTTGATTTGGATTTCCAACACTTCTTATCTTTGCTTCCAATATATCAACCTGAAAAAATACGTTGAAAAAATTACAACTATGCAAATTTCCTGTAAATTTCCAAGAGGAATTGTGCTGGAAAGAACTTGTTTAAGTGTGTTACATCAGCACTTATTTGATTTATAAAGCCTTATATACACCAAGTGACAGTAAGTTACTACATTAGTAGAATATCAGCCATGGCTGCCCATGTCTTTAAATATAAATATATTGGTGCTTAAATCTCAGAGTATACTTTTATAGTAGAGAAACAAACACCAAGTTGATAGGATAAAGGAATGATTGATACGGCTGGTGACGCTGGTTGATTATAGATTTAGCTAGCAAGTGATTTTGAGTTGGTTGAGTAATTTTACATAGCTCTGTTATGTTTTTGCTCCCTCTGTTTTAACTTGCTCAGACACTCAACAATAACTTTGATTTCACGAATTAATAAATTGACATGCTTGATGAATATTTTAGTAACTATTGGCAGTCACTATCTAAGCGCGAAGCTGAGGAGCGGCTGAGTGAGGTTAGTTTAATATATATATATATATATATATATAGACTGTATCTTGCATCTAGGGCCTTTTAATTATCTCAGCAAAGATCTATAGACGCATCATTTATTTTATATTTTCTCTTGCTGGCAGGGAATGAAAAGAATTGAAGAAATCTTTAATTCTGAAGGAAAAGCTATAGATGACCTTTTGAATATTGCGAAGGTAATCTATGTAAATAAATAAGAATCAAGTAACATGCCTGTAAAATGAGTCTTGAACATTTCTCTGTAGCATGGTGTAAAAACTACAGTCACATGGTAGTATTTTTATGTCACTTTTCAACAGCAAAAAGTTTGGCACAAAACAAATTAGCCTCTCAGGATATTAAACGAAAGTTTAATGGATCTTGTGGTTGGGTGGTTTTGTTGTTTTCTGGAATATATATATATATATATTATGTATATTGCATTGGGGCGAAGATAGTTGGGTGTATGTAGTTATTGCATTCTGTAGTGCATCCCTTTTATTTTTCAAATATTCTAGTAATATTTTTGCCTGATTTGCGCTGTACAATTGAGTTACCCGTAAATAATTTGCTCAAATGATACTGACAAGGCATAGGATTAAAGATTTATGTAAATTTCAGCATTGACACTATTGCATGGCAGACGTTGCGGGCAATGCCAGTAGTTGATCTAGATACACCTACTCTTTGTCTTGTTGGTGCTCCTAATGTCGGAAAGTCATCTCTGGTGCGATTGTTATCCACGGGAAAGCCTGAGGTAGGCCTGCATATAACAATTCAATCTGACGTTGTTACATCTCAATGATTGATCTTGTGTATTCTGAGAAGCTCATTATAAAGTTGGCATCAACAAACCCTTTCATTCTAGAAAGGAAAATGTCTACTTTCTGTGAGTCATATTTTGTATGTGTTGATCTGATCTCTACATCCTTGAATAATTCTCTTGGTCAGACATTTTTACTTTAATACACAAGCTGCATGGTTAATGGTACATTCAATAAGTTCTTGCCTTCGTTGATTGCCACCGCCAAAAGGTCAATTTATTTTCATCTATTGTAATAATTTATATCTCTAGTAACCAGCGGAGACCAGGTCAAATTTAGGGATATAGGCTTTGTTCACATTGCTAGTGAATTGCTTATTTGAGTTAATGAACATTGAGAAAAGAAATTGGACTCACTATTCTCACAATTATGACAGTGAGAGAAAGTTAACTTCAAGATAAAAAAAGTTGTGTTGAACTTTAAGAAAACTGAGTTTTATGAAAAGCCACATACAACTTTGAAAACAGTAAGTGACAAAGATAAACAAGTATGCAGTCTCAATAGCCTGTGAATTTTGGATTGATCGATCATAGGGAGTTGAGAAAGTTTGCATATTGTGGCGAAATGTACTAGTGAACTAGCAAAGAAGAACTAAAAAGGGAATTGTGATTATGATAATCACGAAAGGTGGGACTAAGTGAAATGAAAAAAACAAATGGGTAAGAACTCAAATGGTTTTTTCTGGAACTTAGTGGAGGAAACACCAAGGCTAATATAACTCTTAGTGATCAGCTCTATAATTTTGGCATATGCGAAGAGTATTGCACTTAATTCTTGCACGCTTTTGTGCAGGATTGCACTAGCTTTCACGTCATACAAGTCTAGTATGGCTATATCTATTGCTTGCTATGATGCATGTGCTTTCAAACCAAATTTGGCTCTATGCCTTTTCTTTTCTTTCAATTTGATAGTATGATTTAGACAATCTACAAGGGATTTATCGTTTAATTATTTTGATGCACTAATGTTTTAGCATGTTTTTGTATTGATTACGTTGGTCTAACATTACTCAGGTGTGTAATTATCCATTCACAACAAGAGGTATTCTCATGGGCCATATCACCTTAAGCTTCCAGAATTTTCAGGTTTGCCTTTTTGGAAAGTGTTAGCATCACTAAAAGTCTCACTCTCCGAGTCTTAAAAAATAATTTTCCTTCAGGTCACAGATACACCTGGTTTATTAAGAAGACGTGATGGTGAGAAAATTTCTGTTTATTCCATCCTCTGGGAATTGGATAACTATAAATCTTTTGAAGGAGAACTTCATCTTCTTGTTTCTGCTCTATGCCTCCACAAACTTCTCGTACTGAGTACATGATTTATTGTTTGGGACTGCAGATGACCGGAATAATTTAGAAAAGTTGACACTTGCTGTCCTCTCTCATTTACCAACTGCCGTGCTCTATGTTCATGATCTCTCTGGAGAATGTGGTACCTCACCTTTAGATCAGGTTACTCAATACGCTTTCGTGGGTTAAAATTGTGAGGCACTTATATTTGGATCTTAATTTTTTGTGCCAAGATGCTTGAGGTTACAGAAGATAAATATATAGAAAAGCTATATTCAGTTTGCTTCAACTTTCATTTAAATCATGATCTCTTTCTACTGTTCCTAGAATGATGAGTTTTCATTTCCTTAATGTATAATTTTGGCCAACCAGTTCTTGTCTAGTTGATGTTCTAGGTGCAATGTTTTGTACAAGAAATTACAATACTTCCCGTCCATGAAGTATGAATATCATTTTTGCAGCAGATTGAATATTTAATTTGTCCAGCTTCTTGTTGATGATTGAAGCCCCCGAAGAAAATTAAATATGTGAATATGTAATATTTCCATCTTGAAGATTTTTAAGAGCCCAAGATACTTCAATTTGTTATGAGCTGTTACCCTTTTGTGCTGATGAGCAAATTTTGTTTGATTCAACAGTATATCATTTACAAGGAAATAAAGGAGAGATTCAGCGACCATCTCTGGCTCGACGTCGTGTCTAAATGTGATCTGTTAAGTGATGCTCCTGCAGTCATCACTGCAGAAGATGGCGATGCTGATAACTTCGAGCTGGCAAAGTATCGCAGAATGGGACCTGATGGAGCGATCCGTGTATCAATCAAGACTGAATTGGGTGTTGATGAGGTGCACTTCTCAGCAACTCACATCTCTTTACTTACGATCCTCCCTCTCATTGTAGCATATGTCTGAATAGATCATTTCTACCATGACTCTACTTGATTTGGGTTTCTTATAGATTTCTAGTCTTAGCGGTGCAATATATAGTCTATATTCATGATCTTTTTAAATGGTACCGTCTGTGAAACACAACAGGTCATATGATTATGTTTCTGCACACTATATATATATATATATATGATCAAGAGTCGATTTTTAAATGTGCAGTTGAAGGATAGAGTGCACGAACTACTAGTTGCTCAGTCTACAAGGATCAAAGACACTACAAATGATGAAGAAAATCGAGAAGCCTTATGAGAAGAGCTTATTCTCGAATAGAGTTTTGAGTAGACTTGATGGTATTCAAGATGACCCCACTTTCATTAAGCAATTTCTTTTAGCTTGATTTTCGGAATCATAATAATGCGAATGTTGATGTCGACAGAAGTTGGTACTATGCAGATGTTCATATATGTCAAGGGAGCCAAGAAAACTCCGTCCCGGAAACTGGCTAGATGTTTGGAGGAGGATGCAATGTGGTGTGTATCCATATGCAGGTTGCCGAAGGCTTAGTAAATATTGCATCGTTGCTGTCGTCGTCGTCTCCTCCATTGACTGTAAGTCCCATATGGCCTGTGTTGCCCTGCAATACCACATTTTGGACATGCTAGTAATCTAACAGCCGTTGTTAACCAAATGATGACCTATTTTTAGTAAAAACACATGTTGAGTGAGATTGCTATCTTAGAAACTCCTGGGACCTCGACTCCTAGTTGAGTGGGATAATGAGATTCCCATTATGACCAAAGAAAAAAACTGTAACGGGTATGGGTAGATCTAGATCCAATATCCAAACCCAATTTATTTAGTTGTTTCGAATTTGGTATCAAGTCGGGTTTTATTTTTTCCTCCCCGCGTCCTCGGTCTATGTTTGGTTGGCTTGTTAACACTATGCTTTTATTTATTTTTATATATTATATTATATAGAATTCATTTAATTTTTTTTCTTTTTTTATGTCTTCTTTTAATTAATAAATATATTTTCATTCATTCAAGAATTTTTATTTATTTGTAAATTAATTTATGCTAATTATAAATAAAAATTTATATTTTTTAATTTATTTATATCATAGTAAGTAAAATTTTATTATGAACAAAATGATATTATCTCAATTAAAAAGTACTCTTTCTAAAGTAATCATACTATTATTTTATTTTATAATAACCAACTTTTAACTTAACAATTCAATCGGTAACTAAACGATCTTTTTTTCTTTCTAAGTTTTTCCCCAATTCGCCGGTTCGGATCGGAGAATTCGGGTCTTACAAAATTTGGATCAGTAATGTCGGGTCAGACCCGATCATTGCCATGGATTTGTGGAAGAATTTAGAAGGAAGTGATGCGTGGGATCGAATCCCCATATTCCCCTCCCCACTACGGAGATGGAATTCGTTTTTGTGATTCCTATGGAATTCGTTTTAGTGATTCCTATTCTGTTCCACGCCACGATTTTGTCACAGTGAAAGCGAAGGCAGGCAGGCAGGCACTGTGGAGGTAAGGTTCACGCGTCGTCTTCAAAAGCACGCAAAGTCACCTTAATTACGCTGCTCCGCAATTCATTCGGGCTCGCCAGCCAACGTGTGGAGACGAGTTTGAGGAATTAATTTTTATTATTATTTTTTTTGATCGGAAGGAATTAATTTTAATATATATAAAGTGGGAGAATATTATTGGTGCTGCAATTGCAATCAATTTCAGCTAATTACCGTTTTGGCGCTGCTGTCCTGTCCTGCCTCTCTATCTATAAATAACCAATTTCGTTGCATACCGACGCCATTCTCAGATCTCGTAGCAATTTCCTAACGTGAGTCCAGATCTTGATTTCCATTGTTTTTTATGCGTTATTAATTGCACGGTTGGTTGGGTGTTTGGGGATTGGGAGCGGTTTGTGCATGTTTCTCAACTAGTTTTTTGAATTGTAATTCGATCGAGCATGGGAGAATTGATAAAATCCTTGGTGTTGCTGTGATCTGATGATAGGTTGTGAGGATTTCTGAAATTTTCGATTGCAGAGAAATTATAGTTCTATACATTGCGTTTGTGTATGTTTGTAGTTGATTGGTTGAATTTCCCTTCGATCTTCTGCGCTAATTGATGTCTCCAATGGCTTTGAAACTTGCCTTTGCAATTGATGCTGATTTCATTTTATTTTATTTTAGGGACTAGTATTTTGTTTGATTACATGTTGGCTAGATCTTGGATTATATATATATATATGGCTTTTCCCATTCCATGGATCTAACATTCAGTATGGATTAGATGAATTTTTGTACATGGAGAATGCTGTGATCTGAATGTATATTCTGCTCGGCGCTTTGATCTGCAGAAGATATACATCTAACCTGAGTGTTGTTTATTTACAGATAATTCAGAGAAATTTCAAAACTAGTTGTCGATATGGGGACCGTTGTGACTACTGCAAACAAGGTTTTTTTATTTTAAAATTATGCCTCTCTTGTTTTCTTATGGTTTTGGTACACTTTATTGGATTCAAAGGCCTGTTTTAGTTGATGGATTTCAAGAAAATGAAGTGTGCTATTTTTGTGACTGTTATTGACGAATAAACTTGGTTGTTTATGGATTGTTAGAATCTCTATTTATGAATCTTTAGGTTAATTAGCTAACTTTGCTCGTCGATCATCCTCAGATCTATGGATTTGTTTAATCAAGATTAGCAACGGAGAAGTTATATATAGGTTTGCAACTTTGCATCCTCATGCGCTGAATATACAGTTCTTTATTTGGTTCAGGAAGCCAATGGAAGTGCAGAAACCAACAAGAAGTTCACCGTAGTTTTTGTTCTGGGTGAGTCTTTTTGATTCATTACACTAGAGTTGCAGAGTTTTGTATGCTTTCACGCTGCCCACATTCTTTAATTGATAAAAACAAGAATAGCGATGCAGAAACTGGGATTATTATTTTTCCATGAACTATAGTATGATGTCCAGCATCTCTTACTTATTCTGGATGCAAATTGTGATGTTTTCCGTCATGATCTCTTCAATTTGAACAGGTGGACCGGGCAGTGGTAAGGGCACTCAGTGTTCGAATATCGTCAAACATTTTGGTTACACTCATCTTAGTGCTGGCGATCTCCTTCGAGCGGAGATAAAGTCTGGTTCTGAAAATGGGTACATCTTTGTTCTGGAATTCTTTTTATTTCAATTTCGAATAAGCTCGTTGGACTTGATTTGTGAACTCACTATATAAGCATAGATGAGCCCGACTTTTGGTTTCTTGTGAGGTCTGTCTCTTTGAAGAAATGAATGATAACTATTAACTACAAATTCAATATTATGATTTATTGATTTCTCAAAATTTTGGTTTCTTAAATTTGGTTTGCAGGACAATGATTCAGAACATGATTAAGGAGGGTAAAATTGTACCTTCGGAGGTAACAATTAAGCTTCTCCAGCGAGCAATGAACGAAAGTGGAAATGACAAATTTCTTATTGATGGTTTCCCTCGTAACGAGGAGAATCGAGCTAATTTTGAATCTGTTGTAAGTTCATGTTTCTCCAATGCATCCATGCCAATGTATAAACATTTTCAAGAAAAAAAAATACAAACCCGAAAAATATTTACCCTCCTTTTTTTATAGACCGGCATCGTGCCCGAATTCGTGCTTTTCTTTGATTGCCCCGAGGAGGAAATGGAAAAACGTCTGTTGAGCAGGAATCAGGTCAAAATGTTCGATTATTTCCCAAAATAAAACCGCCTATCCATTCATCTCGATCTTTATCAATACTTCTTTTCCTGCTTGCAGGGCCGAGAAGATGATAACATCGAAACAATAAGGAAGAGGTTTAAGGTTTACATGGAATCCAGTCTTCCCGTAATTGAATATTACAATGCTAAAGGGAAAGTCCGGAAGGTAATTACTTTATAATTTCATTACCAATTCTACGAATATTTTGTCTGAGGTTAGATTAGGTCGGGAATCGGGATATTGTAGCTGATACATCTTTAATTCAGATTGATGCTGCAAAGCCAGTTGATGAGGTTTTTGAGACAGTCAAAGGAGTTTTCGCCCCGGCAAGCAACAAGGTAAAGCCATATTTCGAGCATGTGTCCATCGAGACATGTAGGGTGTGTTCGTTTGGACAATTCTTCCAAATTTCTACTACTATTTATTAAATTTTTTTTTCCACAAAAAACATCTAACCCAAATATTTAATTTTTATTTTTTATATTATATTAAAAATTAATTTTACATTCAAAACATCGCATCAACTCCTATTTATATCACACCATACAACTATTTAAATTAAAAAAATTTTATTATTCAAATTTTAACTCAAAATTCAAACCCTGGCAAACACACCGGTAATGGATTTTTATTTCCGGGCTTCTTGCAGGTTGCTGCATGAAGATGAGGCTACTTCTCTCCCCCGGTAGCTCCGCCTATATCAGTGTAAGAAACGGTTTTTGTAAGGGACGATGAAAGTGTCTATAGATGTTACTTTGGTGTACGCAGTCCCGTTGATCAGGTATCGGCCGGCCGAAGAAACTGAGTTCTCTACAGTTTTGTTCTGCAGGTGTCTTTGTTACTTTCTGTGTGCCCTTTGTGGAGCTGATAGTCATTGTCATCAGTCGCCTGGAGTTATTACATACATACATTCACATATATACATATATATATATATAATATATTTGCATATATGGTTTTTTTTTTTTTTTTAATTGTTTTCAGAAGCAGAGACATAGTATGTTGATGAGGGGTTGTGGCCCTGTACTGTTGTTATACTATATTCACTAGTTTTATTTGAGGTTATTACAACCTCCATATGCTACCAAGATACATACATACATACATGTCTGTTTCAAGATTCTTAGAAGCATTAGTGTTTGGTTTTGATTCGAAATAGAGATATTAATTTGAAATTTGATTTAAACTATACATGTCTGAGTCTGGGTTTGTTTCTTTAATCTCAAATCCTCCAATTTTGGATTTTGCTTTTTTTTGAAAAAAAATAAAATATTTCCTGCCCCTTAACTTAATTATCTACCAACACTACCTTTCTATCATACCATACTTAATAATAATACTTTAGTTTTTTTTATCTTTATTAGCGGGGCAAAATATCTTATACATTATTTTAATATTAAATTTAAACAAAAAGTATGTAAACCAAATAAAAAGAATGGATAAAAAAATAAAAACGAAAAAATAATAATAACATCAATTTTGGAGTATAAGTTTTGTCCGATTTAGAGTCCCATGTTGTGTCATCAAGAATCACACAAATATTATATCATTCTCCTGTATGGTGTCGAGAATGATCCCGAGTCGACCCTCTATGCGCTCGTTCCTCTTGACCTCGTACGATATTGCATACACATCCGCTTCCTTGGATCGCTCGGCGATCAACTTTCCTATGACTCGACAGGCGTTGTTGTCCGTGAGCGATGGCAATGTGTTCCTCAGATCCCTGGAGTTCGTGGTGGCTACTGATATCACTTTGCTCGTGCCTCGGTGCATCACTTTGGCGTGAATGAAGCGTTTTGAGAAGAACACGTTTAGCAGGAATGGTCTCATGTACATGTCTGTCCGTTGCTTCCATGACTTCCGGTTTGGCCTCTTCGCAGCTTCTCCTCGCGATCTTCGTGTCCAAGCAGATTCTATGATCAGGCCCTGTCGATCAATGTTTCATGGTACAGGATCTTAGGTTGAACAGCAATGTGATATATATGTGTATTATGTTTATGAACTAAATTCATCAACCAAACAAAATTTTAAAAATGTTTATGCTACATGATCTCCAGCTGACGGATGTGTGTTAAATATGTTTTTGACTAAATTAATCAACCAACGAGATCTGAAAATGTTCGGACTACGAGATCTCAAGCTGAATCAAAATGCAGCAGCGTGACATATGTAATGTGTTTTACAAAATTCATCAACCAACAAGTCCTAACAACACTCATTTCTGATTTTTATTTTTTTTTCAAAAAGCTGATATCAGAATAGCTGCCACAATGAAAACAGGAGTTGAGAGTGGAAGATGATTTTTGGTTGAAGAAAAATGAAATGCAATTCGATGTATAAACATTGATTCTTACGAGTAAAAATCATATTTGATAGCCACAGTTGAGTCGCACAATTGCAAGTAAATTTACAAATTAATAAGCTCTTCAACAACGGTATTCGATTTTACACAGCGTTCCCCAAACGGCCAAACCATCAGCACTTCAACTGTTTTAACATAATTAGGGTTTCATGTTCAGCAACGAAGCTACCATATCCATCAGTAATCTCTATCCTTTTTTTTAAAAAAAAGTGTGTCTATCAGGAATACAACGGATATCGAAATTCACAAAAAATCTCAACAGATCGGCGGAAAATTTACCTGGTGCAGAGCCGGAACTGAAGTGGATAAGATCGAATTACTGACACGAAGCTTGATGCTCGGAAAAGACGACGACCACGATAGATGACCTGTACCTTCTCCTTTACTTGAAAATAGCTCCGACGAGAGAGGCGGTGCCGCCGACACTGACAATGACACAGAAACCGCCGCCATGCCTTCTTCTACAGACGTCGAGAAACCATTCCCGCGGAAGTTCCTCAGAGATATTTTACACACCTGAGCTGAGTTGAGTTCGAGTTAAAACAATCGGACCAACCCTACACTTGGGGGCCCAATTTAAAAAACAATTATCTAAGGCCCATTAGGCCCAATACAAAAACACTATCGCCGTGTGATCGCAGTAGTTGGTTTGACCATACCCGTACAGTGTTTTTTTTTATTGAACAGAAAAATGAGACAATATATAAATTCATTTCAATTCCAGATTTACGATCAAATATAATAATTAATCACAACCCCCTCAGTGACCAGTTACAACTTCTTGACTTGTAATTCAGCAATTCCTTCATTTAATTTAATAATTTACTAATCATTCAATCCCAATTATAAATACTATTGACCCACATGAAAAATCTAAACTTAACCACCACTACCACCACCACAGCCACAACCATCAATTCACCTATAATGGCCTCAAATTCCCTAACCTCATTTCTCAGAAAATTCTCCGGCGAAGGCCGCCTGCCGGCGGCGGCGATATTCGACGGCAGCGGCGAAAGCTCGCCGTGCTGCGCCGTATGCCTGGACGACATCCACGGCGGCGAGAGTTACCGGAGGCTGCCGGAGTGCGGCCACTTGTACCATTCCAAGTGCATCGACGCATGGTTCGAATCGCACGCCACGTGTCCTCTCTGCAGAGCTCAAGTCCCTCAGATCATTTCGTTGAACCAAAATGACCAATCCCAATTTTGGAACAACTTACTGTCCATTATCTGTCTTTTGGCTAATGACTTTCTGCACAAACTTGTTGATCCTCATCTCAACGATGAGCTCACATCCATGTTGTGTGGGAATTGAACACAATTTAATTTTTTGTACTTTGAACTTTTCATTATTCCTTGGATCATTCAATCTATATATATTACTATATAATATATATGTATATGTAAATAGATTGACAAATATATTGCTTACATATTGGATGCAGATAGAAATGACATAGAAATAAGGATGCAATGCAGGCTCATTCATATAACTTATTCATTAACGTTAGAAATGATGGATGGTCGGAATCCATGTTTAAGTGCAGCTTCCCAGATCTTGTGAACGTCGAAAATGGCGTCGCCACATTCGTGGACGTTCCATCCTTCTAAGGCGTGCACGATTCCAGCCACGCGCCATGCGCTCATCACTCTTCTCGGCAGCCAGTTCTGTTTCGGACAAACGGATGCTCAAACTAATCTTAACTAGTCTTAAAAATGTAGCAGAAGAAATAACATATAAAGAAATAAATACCTCACAAGAATGCAGATTTTTTAGGTGAGTAGGAGCCAAAAGAGATGGAGTGTAGTAATAGAACCCATCCTTTCTTACTTTCTTTGGAGGAAACTGAGAGAAGGGGATGAACAGAGTTCCTTTGGGAGCCTTGAGCTGCTCGTCTCTCGTCACTCCATCGCCGATGATCCATACCTGCAAAATTTCACCATACACGTGCATATTTTGACTCTACCAAGATCAGATGTGTTTTTATATACCTAGTAACACCAATTTTACCTTCTGGGTGAAGGTTGTGGAGAGGACAACCTTGCTCTGTGGCAATGCCGACAGTTTAACCTTCACGTTCTCGTACAATGTTGCTACCTAAGACAGATCAAACTTGTTAGAATGTGTTATAAGGTAAAAATGGGATATTTGATCCAATTCGAAGCATTTTTTGGCTGGAGACCTGAATGCCCCTGTGGGACAAAGCAGAAACAATTGCGAAAGCAAGTTTTGATAGGCTGCCGGAGAATAAGACTTCGGATGTGCCTCTGGGAATGCTGTTGAGGACAACAGCAACTGCCAAGCTACTTCCATCGACCACTTTGATGTTTAGCTTAGGATGCCTTTCGATGTAAAGTGCGCCGCTTTTGTTAAGTTCATCGCCCTGCGAGATCACAGTTGCATCTATTTAGGCAGAGATTTTTACTCTTGTAGCAGCTGAATTGGAAGTTATGTATGTGTAATGAAACTTGCCTGGTTCAGCAGGCCTAGGCTTAAAACCTTGGCACCTCTGGCGTCGGCTTCTAGTATGGCTTCTTCAATAAGGTCATTAATGGCTGCTCCTTGCCACTTTAGGAAATACTACAGATAATGAATTGAGTGTTAGTTGTAGAAAGAGGGATGGTGGTTTGCTGCAAGATTGAATTTGAGAAGCTTTGAGTTACCTGAATGCTGTATCTTGGGATCACCCAAGACTGCAACTTGAGTTTCTCAAATAAGTTCCTCTCGACGATGAATGTGTGGCCGTATATGAAATTTAGCACCATAGACCAACAAGTTAGAGGCCACATTAACCATATATACCATTTGGAGTTCTGGGGCCTCGAGGCGAAAGAGGCGAATCCCACTTGGAGATGAAATATGGATTCTGGAGTGGTTAAATGTGTCAAATGTACAACATCAGGATACTCTTCATGTCTCTTGAGCGAAGATTCGTATAATGCATCAGATGAAGTGTCCATCGTTCCATGAATGTAATCATAGAACGGCATGAAAAGAGAATAATTTGTCCGGAACTGGGTGTGATGCAGAGAATGGAACCTGCTCATAAATAAAATGAACATATCATATGTGCCTAAAATGCAATCATGTCATTAAATGATATTAGCTAAGCTTGTCCAAAGTTTTGTAAACTTACGAGGGCGTATACATCAAGTATTTGAGAGGAGGAAACAGAGAAAAGGCCTGTTTAGGGATGAACTCGAAGTTGCAATGCCCCATATTGTTCATGAGATCAATGTAAGTGATGTATCCAAAAATCGATCCCAAGGAAGCAGTTCCAGTGAGCACTGTTCCAAGGAGTGGTATTGCAAACAGCAAAAAGTATGCAACATGCTCTGCAAATGGATGAATAACAGCTGCCACAGCAAACAAGCCATTAAACATTGTATAATGATAATATTAGTTTTAGATGTACAGAAGAACAAAAACATATGTAAACTTACATGTAATTGGCTCGGTGACAATGGAGGAATGATGGTGAGAATGGTATCTGGAATATAGATAGTGATGGTGCAAGGCTCTATGTAGCCAGTAGTAAAGGTACTCAACAGGTCCTGCGTGAAGCACCATGGTGATGATTACACCGTCGGTCCTCCAAGCGGGCAAGAAAGAAGCGCTTTCTAATGTGGCGTTGAAAAAGTAGAACAGAATTCCATTCAACAGAATTTGATCATCCCTGCAAACGTAGATGCGATTACCGATAAACTTAATCGTTGTCAAGGAGCTAATAAACATTGGAAGGAACAGAGAGAGAACAAACCAGTTGCTTTCCCTGTCGACCTGATCGAATTCAATTGTCTTGTCGACAATCCTATTGTTGCCCTTGGCAGTTCTGTGGCGAGAAAAGGAGATCCAGATTTGGTTGTGAAGAGCTCTCGACAGTAGAAACGGTATTACCAACAAATTGATATAGTCTCTCTCGTTTTTATCCCTTGTTGCAAATGAGTACAGGCTTTGCATTCCCCATGGAGCCAGGATTATGTACTTCAAAATTGCATAAAAATTTCGAAAAATATTAGCTAAGAAATACCATTATCAGTTACACTCTGAGCTGAAAAATGAAAAAACATTAGCAAAATCAAGATATGAAACCAAGTTGCTCCCGTTTATTTGCTATCATCTTCCTCTCATCAGATGTGTGCGTGTTTTTCCAGATCCTAAATCTCTGTCACTAATTTCGTCTCCAGATTTATGTGCATGAAATCACATTTCGCGAATGGATTTTTCCACACAACACATTAAGCCGATGAGAACGATTTGCATGTTGCGATTCATTCCTTCCTCCCAAAATCCCATACGATTTAAATTTCATCGCGATTCAACGAAAAATTCAGCGAGATCGCACGCAGACGTGGAGAGTAACAAACAAGCTAAAATTAAAGCCAGCAGAAACTTGAAATTACGATCAGTACCTTGAAACTGCCGAGATTCTTCCATGGCCAGTCCGTCAGAACGCCTGGTGTTGTAGCCATTTCTCTCTCTTCTTTTTGACACGGACAATGAACCCTTTCATGGCGTATATATACACATGCAGATGCTACATATATATAGAGGATTACAACAGCGCACCAAATTGTCAAAAATAAAAAAATTAAAAAAATAACAATACTAATAATGTAATTTATTAGTAAGAACCATATTATTTTGCATAATTTATAAGTTATGTGTTAATTTTGACTACTAAATATCATAATGGTATACTTTTTTACCATTTTTATCTCATTAATCATATACTAATACCAAAATATCATTTTAATTTTTATTTAAATTAAAAACATACAATTACACAGTATAATTATTTTATAAAAACAAAAATATCAAAAATTCTTACACACTTTCTCTAACTAATAAAATATTATTATTTTTTAATTTATTATAAAACTCCGATGCCTTTTCGGAGAGAAGATAATATCTAGCATAGTTTGCCCCTAGATAATACTCTCTCCGTCCCAAGCACCCTGCAACATTTCTTTTTTTTTTTTTTTTATATCCCAAGCACCCTGCAACATTTCCAAAATAAGAAATAATTAATTATACTTAAACTCTACCCACACTTAATCCCCTCACATCGTACAAATAAAAAAATAAAATATATATTTATCTCACCATCGCACCACTTAAATTCTAAATTATTTTACTTAATACTACCCACTTAAAAATCATTGCCAAAAATAAATATTGCACCTTGTTTGGGACGGAGAGAGTTTACAAATAGACAACAAACAACTCACATAACACAAAAAAATATGGCACACTGTATATAAAGATAGACAATATTCATAAATTATACTCATTAATATAATACAAAATATAAAAACAAGCTATACATAAATTAATATAATACAGAAAATTCATATGATATAGTCTCAAAAACATATGATTTTTATGTGAATACATGTATCTTTTTATTTAATATAATACAATTTTTTAGTGTTTTATATGTATGGATCGGGTAAATCAACTTAAGAAAATAAACACCATATGCGTTCTGGTTAACCTCATGTGAACGAAATTAATATTTATTTCGTCGCGATTAAAAATACTATTTTATTATTATTGATTAGGAAAATATTATTGATTAGGAAAAATAAATTTTCTTTTATTAGCACCATATGCATGATGCCTACTGTACATTGAACAGACAAATCGGCAAATTGAAACTGGGAAACTATATCATATAATCAGCGGTTAATAAGCCACTGACAAACGGTTTAACTATATTTGGTTAATTATATGATTTTCACAATAATATGAATATACCATATTTAGTTAGTTAAAATGCTGAGGTGTAAGTTAAATCACATTCTTTACTTTTTATTTTTTTAATATCTTACTCTTTATCTTTTAAAATAATAATAATATTCAATATTTATTATTATTTCGAAGAACAAAATCAATAGCTTATGTATTATTTTTTTTAAAAAAAATATATATATATATATTTATTATCTTTTAGGTGTGATTTATATAATTTAACAAATATATATAATTGAATAAAAAATATATAAATGTTAAAATCAAATATGGAAACTTCAAATAGCCAAAATAGCAGGCACTGTTATGCTTCCAAAGTTAAACAACGTCACATATTGCTACTTTTATATATATATGCGGTAGACGATGACATGATGTGCTTGCTGTGCAGCTGTGTATCTAAAAATAACACTAATAAAATCATCATTAATAATTCAACTAACAAATGTGAACCATATTATTCAATATCGCTTTGCTTTCGTGTGTTCATTTGGTTAAATAATTATCATGTTGATTTGACACACTTAATATATATATATATATATAGAGAGGGTGGTTATTCAATATTGTACCGACGACGTCCATAGGGTATTATTACAAAGAACACATCGTATATATTAATACAATACGGAACTAACGATGTATGCTATAGTTTCATACATCACATATAACTGCTAATTTTAATATATCATATACGGTTATATAACACACTTGTAATTATGAACAAATAACACATATTTTTATTATACCGAATATATATTGTGTATAATAAGATTGTATATTTGTATATATTACGGATACTGATTTAGATTCTGATTTTTTCGAATCAGTACCGTAGTCGTTCCCATATGTATATACGTGTGTGTGTGTGTGTGTATATATATATATACAAATCAAACAATACATAAATCATAGCATATGATAATGCAAATATCTCGCACGTTATAATGTATAACACTTTATCTGTGCCAAAACAAAAGTTTCATTTTGCTATTTTCGTCAATTTCAAATTAATAATTTCATTTTTATTTTTGCTAACAAGCTCTCCATTTTTTTACAAAACTATCCCTACTTTTTTACAATAATTATATAAAGTAAAGATATTTTGGTTTTTAAAAATATTTTTACACTTACTGTCAATGTAATACTACTATTCCTTATTTTTTGTGTCAATCCCAAATCTCTCTATATTTTGAAGGACGGAGGGAAATTGGAATAATATAATGTACAATGCCAATATATTATTGTTTTAGTTCAATAAACACATATGTATATCAAAGTATAGTACTTCCTCCTTCCTTCATGTAACAAAGTATACATTTTTCCATTTTAGTCTGTCCCATAACAAAGTATCCATTTTATTTTTTTTAGTAATTGTACTATCTACTTAACATTACAAATACTCTTACAATTTACAATATATTACACAAATGTCATTACTTTTATATCACACATACTAATAAAGTTATTTTAGTCATTTCTATTTTATTTCTACTATATTCCAATATAATACTAATATTTCTAAAACTACGTGCAAAAAACAAATAGATATTTAATTTCGAGACGGAGGGAGTATATGAATTGTAAAACACATATTTTTATATAATACAACAGTTATTACATTGTGCTATATGGAACATGTGATGCCTAATTTATTCAATATGACTAAATAATACAATTCAAAATTTAGTATACTATGGTCCGTAAGGGATGACCTGGTGGTGTAGGGATGACCTGGTGGTGTAAGGGTCACACGTCCAACCCCCAACGCCTCAGCTCACTTGAGCTATTACAGATTCCTATTTCATAAAAAAAAATAAAAAATAAATAAAATTAGTACAGTACATTATCATAATTTAATAGATGTTTTGTTCTCAAATATTTATACCGTAATTTAATATTTTTTTATTTTATACTTCAAATAATACATTCGTATACTTTATTCAATTAACACTTAACACTAGTGGGTATTTTTGATATAATAAAAATAAATTGTTTTATTTTATAAGGTACTAAATCAAAATATTAATTAAACAAAGCTCAAATCCAAATAAAAGCCAACTCAACCCAATCATTCTCCATACGTGTCATCATGTACTCACAAAATGTATATATATGCAAAAAATAAAAATAAAAAATAAAAAAATGTATATATGCAAACAAATTTTTGATATAACTACGTGTATATTTTAGGTCATATTTTTAAAAATTGAGATTAAAAAATCAAATACATAAATTTTGTTATCTTTTTTATTTTTTATTTTTTTTTAAAATATTCAACTATTGCATTCTTCTTATATTTGTCAAAATTATATTATTATTATTTTATTTTATTTTTTAAAATTTTGCACAATTCATTTATATATTAAATAATCTTTGTGAAAGTGAATAATGTTATATATATATATATATATAAAAGAAAACATATTCAAAGAAAATACATTACAATAGTCTCGAGGGTGTGTTTCTTTAGAGTGATTTAGGAAAAATTGAATTTGAATTTCTTTTTTATTTGAATTTAAGATAGATTTGATATTATGTATTTTTTCTTGTTTGATTTTAAAAAATTTGATATATATTAATTTGACGGATAATTAATATAATAATATAAATATGTATTAAATTTAAAATTTTAAATTAATAATAATATAATTTGATTATAAATTTATATTTTATCAATCTATATATATTTATAAAATATTATTTATTTGTAATATAAAATTTTTTATATATTGTATATATTTATTAAATTATAATATAAATAAATATCAAATAATAAAAAGCTCATTTATTTATTTATTGAATTTAAATGTTTTCAACCGTCGATTGAAAAATGAAAGCCATCAGACATCAGTCCATCCTCCCTAATTAATTTGGTCATCATTGACAATGCATCGGCCCATTCCTTAGCCGTTTCAGCTATCTGCAGACGCAAGATGGCTACTGTAGAAAAAGTGAAGGTTCCGGACTTCATTAATAAGAGCAGCAAAACTTCCTTAATCGACCAAGCATCGCCACTCGCACCAGATTGAGGTTTAAGATGAGTGTGTCAATTTGGCAGAGGGTGGGTGGTCCAAAGCTGAAGGCCGAAATTAGCCAAGCATTTGCATATTCACGTGGTGCATTAATGCTTTGCAGCTCGTTTTGGTATAGGCTTCCTCGATTTATGTGTGTGAATTGTTTTGAATCGTTATGAGCTATTTGTCGTATTATAATTTCTGAAGGCTAATAGTAATATGTAATCAAGGAACACAGTGAAATCGTGATTTCGTGTTCGTCGTTGACAGGCGATCGGGTGAAGTTGAAAGGAAAACTTCATTTTCGAGGATCGTTTATGGATTTCCCGCCAAATCTTCTGTAAGATCCTTTTTCTTATTTGAAAATGATCTACTCGAGTTAATAGCTGTTTTGAATTGCTCCGCATTCATTTCTACCACGTATGATGTTTAGGCTCTGTTTTCTTCTACTTTCCAGTTCGTTGGCACATTATGAAATGTCCATAAACATGAACAGAAATGTGATCATATTGTTGGTCGCCATGGTAGATAAATATACATAGACTTGATTTATGTAGGCTACATATCTCTGGAAACGGTGTTAGATTTTTCAAATATGCACGTGAATTGAATTCTTAGTTTACAGTAATATTGGTGTAAAGATATAGAGTTACTGATTCTATCGTAAGCATTAGATAATCTAAAGTTTAGTAAATCAAATAGTTGAAGAACAGAAGCTTTTATTTGTGCTGGTGATGTATTTGATCAGTTAATGTTAGGATCTCTAATATCTCACAACATGTAGTATGATGACAGAATGCCAGCACTTTTAATTTATTATACCTTATATTATATAGAATATCAGTGAACACCATAGGTTGTTCTAGAAAGTATAGTTATGATGACAGACTAGTCTTAACTCATCCCGAACATGATCTGCACCAAAATATAGATCTAATCATCTACCAATTCCGGAATCATCTCAAATTTTGTCATCACATAGTGGTTAAGTTCTGTTTTGACTCCGCAGATACAGCCAAAGGACGAAATCCATGCTCAATACTGGCTTTCCATATTTTTTCAATATCGAACATCATATTACCACACTCATGTTCGTTCCATTCTTCCATAGCATGCAGTATCCCTGCAATGCGCCATGCGCTCATCACTCTTCTTGGTAACCAGTTCTGTTAAACATTGACAACATGTAACACTTATAGTTAGAAATTTGTAGGAAGAAGACAGACATTTTATATAAAAATGTATATATAATAACTTCAATACTATGGTAACTATATGACGCTGTTAGTTTCTAACCTCACAAGAATCTACATTCTCAAGATGCTTTGGAGCCATCATTGCTGGTGTGCTGTTGTATGAGCAGTCTTTGCGTACTTTCTTTGGAGGGAATTGAGAGAATGGAATGAATACCGTTCCTTTTGATGCCTTTAGTTGTTCATCTTCTCTTACTCCTTCTCCCACTAACCATATCTGCACAAGGAACTATTTGTGTCAGCATGTTTCGACTATGACAATAGGGAAAGAAAGCCCTTTCATTTGTCAATGATCATTTCATCATTCATGGTCATAGTCAGATGATATTGAAATATTATCTACATACTTATTATATAAGATGAGTTTTATTATTGAGAAGTTCAAAAGATTAGACTTTGAGTGCTTACCTTGGGAAGGTTGTATTTAGAGAGGACCAAATTATTTCCAGCCTCAATGCTGAGCTTTGCCTTGAGCTTCTTATGCTCAACCTCATGCATGGTGAATACCTACATGCAATTTCAATATTTTCACATGAAAGTCAGTAGAATAAAGAAAATGTTATCAGTTATACAGAACTTTGTTACCACATTGCTAGTGCCTTCTATTCCTCAGCTTCCATTTTGCTTATTATCCACATTGCTATACTTTTAAAGTTCAGTCCGTTGTGTTACTTTTATCTTTTATCAGGTCTTAGACCTTCTTAGCATTTATTTATTAATTTTCAGTGTTCCTGGTTTAGGCTAGTTGTTAAATTTATCGAACAATGACATTAGAGAAACAAAAGCATTTTATTGATATATATATAGATGCTTAATTGAAGGTATAGATCAAACCTGGATTCCACCTTGGCACAAGGCAAATGCAATCGAATAAGCAACCTTTGTTAGTTTGCCTCGAATGCACACTTGAGATGTTCCTTTTGGAATGCTATTCAACACAATAGCAACTGCCAAACTACTGCCATCTACCAATCTCACTTTCAGCATAGGGTGCTTCCTTATGAAGAGTTCACCATTTCTATTTAGCCTCTCATCCTGAATAACATTTGTTTATTAAGTGTCTGCTTTTTCCATACAAAACACAAAATCATCATTCATGTGGAAAGTAGGAAGTAGAGTATAGAACCATCATTTACCTGATTCATTAGTCCAAGGCTCAAAACCTTTATGCCCTTGTCCTCAGCTTCCAGTATGGCATCCTCAATCATACCATTGATGGACTCTCTCTGCCATTGCATGTAATACTGCTAGGACGTGAAACAAGCATTAGATCGATGGTTATTATCATTTATTTATATACTATTATTATTATGACTGATGACTGATATAGTCCACTTAAAACTTTACTTGGATGGTGTATTTGGGAACAGCCCATGTTTGCAGTTTCAGGTGTTTGAACACATTTCTCTCAACGACGAATGTGCGCCCATATATCCAAGTGACCATCATCGACCACACTGTGACAGGCCACATTAACCACAAGTACCATGTGGATTTGTGGGGCTCAGAAGCAAGGTATGCAAATCCTAAACGGAGATGATATATAGATTCTGGGGTTGTTAGATGAGTCAGATGCACCACATCGGGTGCTTCTGCCTTTCTAACAAGTGAATTTTCGTACAATGCATCAGAAGATTGGTCCATGGTGCCATATACGAAGTCATAGAACGGCATGAAAAGTGAGTAATTGGTCCGAAATTGGGTGTGATGCAGTGAATGATACCTGCATTACCAATCATACTATCAGTAGACAATTCAATATGGTGAAGATCCTGATAAATCAAGAAATTATTCAACTGCAAAATTATACTAGACAAAGGAAGGAAATCTGCTGTTATTTGTTAATTGATTCATTTATCAATTCTGTTGGCTTTGTTGTCTGATTAATTAATCAAGAATTTTCTTATTCTGTCATTCTACTATAGTTAATAGGATGGGTTGTTCTCTCTCATTGGGTATGTCTGACATAAATATAGTTAGATCAGCAGCCGCATCATTGTGTCATTCATGAAGCTCACTTTCAAGAGTTAAAGAAGTTGTGCACAATTATGTTGACATTTACTATAAGCTTCTCTCTTCTATGTCAGTGACCGTCCCTTGTTAAACTGTTACCATTGGAAGTAGATAGCTTCTTAATCTGTATATTTACTACCTTCAGTTGACTGTGTAATTTGATGCTACCCTGTAAGAAGATTATAGAGAAGAAGAAATCTAGAATCCAAAATTATATATAGAAACCTCCAACACTAGAGGTGGGAACCATAGCCGCTACTCTTCGCGAGGATTTGGTAAACCCTCGGCCGGGCTATTGTGCCTATGTAAGTAGTGTACAGTTCATAGTGAATATTAAATCGACTCTTAGGCTAGGCCGGGGATAAATGCATAACAGGTATTTGCTAGTAGAGGAGATCCATTAAATTCTGTGAAGTGTTGAGTTGATTGGTTAGAAATATGGCTGCTTTCTAATATAACGAAGGATGTTTCTCCAACCTAACAAAAAAAAAAAAATCAATAGGCATGTTGTGGGCGGGGTGGCCTTGATTGACTTGACAACACAAGATATCTGAGTAGTTGGGTAACAGAGGGTACGAACTTAAAGAGAGGGGGGCCAGATAAGACTTTCTATTAGTTCAGCTGAAAGTAGTTCTGTTACTATTGGGATGTCCAAAACTTTTGCAACTTATCTTTATTTCAAACGCATTTGCTTTTTTACCTTTCTACATACTAATTTATAAAACATTCCAAACAAAAACATGCGATAGGATACCACCTATAAAGCATGTCAAAAATAAGTAGCAGCATAAAAGTTATAGGATGGATGTTGCATAAAATGAACTGCAATCAAAACTGCATTAGAGCAAAACTGACAGGTTAAGATACTTACGAGGGTGTGTACATGAGGTACTTGAGGGGAGGGAATATGGAAAATAGCCACTTAGGAATGTGCTCAAAGTTGCAGTGACCCATGTTGTTCATGAAATCAATATAAGTGATGTAACCAGCAAATGAGATCATTGAAGCTGTCCCTGTCCAGAGCGTTGTAAGCAGTGGTATAGCGAAGAGTATGAAATATGCTATATGCTCCCCGAATGGATGAATTACAGCTGCCACAATGGGAAAATTTTGTTAGTCATGTGACTGATGATACCTCTCAATACCTTTAATAGCTTTAGTGGTGCTAAAGAATTCAATACTTGTGGTTTGTCAAAAACAATATGAAAGACATATGGAAAGATACATAAAAATCTTTTCTTATGAGTTGAGTTTGAACGTGAACTTGTTTACTTAATCAAGCAGCTAGAGCTCAATCAACGCTCGAGTTGAGTTGAAAAAATGAAATACTTGACTCTGTTCGAATAACAATTCTAGATGCAAGACATCAACTATGACTTTCCATGCCCTTGTTGGGGCACATCACATGCCTTACAACCAGAGTACCCTGATATGACACAAGCCATGCTTGTTATGATAGGACAGCCACATCAACTTGTTGATATTTGTTGACTATGCTTCCTATATCTATCACTCTCCTACTGTCAATCTTCTCTACAATCTTCTTTCACTAAGTCATTTCACAATCAAATTTGAGCTCATATGCTTAAGTTAAACAATCCATTGCGTATGTTTTAAACCAACAATCGGATCACACTTCATGCTTCCGAATATATTGTTGTGTTATTTGCTTCAATTGATTCAACTTAGTGTTCTTGTCTTGTGTAAGCCTAAATTTTGAAATCAAGAACTTCAGTTTGTTTATGCATGTAGTTTTCCAAGTATGTTAGTTCTTCACATATCTTTTTGCTTTACATTATTACCTAAGTAAAACTTCTACATGTAGTTTGATGACCTCCCACTGTATTTTAGGGCGTGTACTTTCGGCTCCATAATTGAAAGATTTGACTTTTACAAATGTTGGACCACTACGAGACTTTTAATGAAGAGGTACTTACAACATAAATACACACCATAATGTAGAACTTTTTATTTAATAAATCACCGCTAGCAAAACAGGGTAGAGAAATAGCTTCTTACATGTGATAGGTTCTGTGACAATAGAGGAGTGGTGGTGGGAATGGTAACGAGAATAGAGGAAGTGGTGGTGCAATGCCCTGTGCAGCCAGTAGTAGAGGAACTCTACTGGACCTGCATGAAGCAAAATTGTTAAGACTACCCCGCTTGTCCTCCACCATGGTAGATTATGACCCTCCTTAATATATGCTTGTCCGATATAGAACAGAATTCCATTAAATATGATTTGGTCATCCCTGCATATCATTTTTCATACATTGTTAGTTTCTGATCACATAGGAAATTCCTCAGTATTGGGGAAGGTTAGCTTACCAGTTTCTCTCTCGGTCAACTTGTTCGAATTCGATGTTCTTATCTACTATCCGGTTATCCCCTTTAGCTGTTCGGTAACGGGAGAGAGAAATCCATATTTGGTTGTGCACCATTCTTGATAGTAAGAAAGGAAATATGAGAAACTGTGATAAATCTCTTTCACTTTTATCCTTCACCAGGTATGAGTAGGTTGAATGTATTACCCAGGGAGCCAATACCACATACTACAACAAAACAACATGAGATAAAACACTTTTATTCAAATTGTAAAATATATATATTCAGCCAAGAATAGGAGAACACTGACAAAATATGTTATTTTAGGACAGAGTTTCTTCAACTCCACTAACAGATAAGACATAATTATCATTGCTCGAAAGAATGCGAAAGGTCGCTATACTAAAGAGATATTGCATGGAATGATTCTAATCGAAGCTAGTGTAAAACGTGTCGATTTTCTTGTTTCTTCTATGAAAAAGATTAGAACCAACATGATCTCTAACATCGTTGCTTCTAAGCATGCAGATACAAAATCACAAGAAACCGAGAAAGACTCGAGGAAGAGATGACAACACCTTGTACTTCCCAAGCCATGTCCATGGCCATTCAGTTAGAACACCAGGTTTGGAAGCCATTCTTTTTCAGTCACTGCCCGGTTTACTTTCTTCCCTAAAACTGAATAGCAGCGAGTTATATATAAAGATAGAACCACAACTCTCAATATCTTAAATAGAAGTGCATCTCTGCTATCTCTCTCGCGTAAAGACACGTGTCTGCTGGCTCTCACTCTGTTTTAACTTGCTATAAACAATAAATGTAACCAACCAACATAACGTATTTCTGTAGTGCCACGAATATATAGAGATTTTCACATACTCTGGAAATGTCATGCCATTGCCCTTTTGTTCATGAGAGTCAGATGTAGCCACCTTCCCTACTTCGGTGGAGACTTTTAATTGGTGCATTTATTAGTCTCAGCCACTAGTTTGATTGGCTCTCTAATAATTCTTCAATATAATGAGTCTTATCAAAATGTTACACATTCCCATTTGTTTTATGTAATTACTGTGTTAAGACTGATTATATGCATGCAATATTACCTGACATAGATTCTTTTTAGGTAATCTTGAGGTCCCAACTCAGCCTTTTTTCATTGACTTGAGTTTCTTGTGATCTTTAAATTTTGGTTGGATTAATGTATAGCAGCCTTTAGTGATTGGTTTAAACCAATGATTCATCCCTTCCCAGCTAATCGATCAGTTTTGATTATAACCCTCCCAACTGTATCTAGTAGCATTATGTCTTAATCAACACCTAGTACCAGCACAATAAACATTGTTGATGGTCCCATCTCTGTTTCCAAGTCTGCACATGTAATCTTTGCTGATTTAATGTGGCTATTTCAATTATGGATCAACTTTTTTTCTGCCTCTCTATTTTTGTTTTACTTACTACTCTCTTGGTTTTTAATGTTAAATAAGCCACGCATGTGATTGGTTGCGTACATGGTACTCTTGTTTTAAGTGACTTAACTACATTGTATCAACCACCTTCTAGATTTCGACACACACACACACACACACTCTGTAAAGATAGACTAAATTTGGACATGATTGTTATGTTCATAAAGCTGGATTATGTTATTACTATTATGATGTTCATGAAGCTTGAAAAAAATATCCATATATAAAAAAGAAAAAAATATATATATGTTCTTGCTAATGTCGAATTCTTTGATCGATTATTGTTGGTGCTGGTTCGTTGTCATGCCTATAAACACACTCAGCACGCATTTACAGTTGTATATTTACTTGAATCCGTGCTTTCGAATATTATACATACACAGCTGTGATACAAGGTGACAGTTAGCTTTTAATGTACATTTACATTGCATTAATACACTGGTGCAGGCAATTAAAATCGCCATGTTCAAGTGGTGCTGATGATTCACAAGTCACAACGCCCCGCGGGATTATACTCTGGTATGGTATCTTACTTTTTCATCTACTTTTTTTTCCATGGCTTCGTGGCTTCATGCATACATATATTGATTAGAAAATTTAGAAAAAATATATTTAGTAAGTAATTAAGAAATATATTAGTAAAAATAATTATAAATTAATATTAGGATAAGTAAATAATATAATAGAAAACAAAAATAATATATATATATAAATTATGAATTTAAGATGTGATTAAATGTATAATCATCTATTTCTACTTAATAAATTAAAATATGATTCCAAGTAATAGTTGTTTTGTAGCTTCTCTTTTTTTCATCTACTTTTTTTTCCATGGCTTCGTGGCTATATTGATTAGAAAATTTAAGAAAAATATAATTAGTAAATAATTAAGAAATATATTAGTAAAAATAATTATAAATTAATATTCGAATGAGTAAATAATATAATTAAAAACAAAAATATATATATAAATTATGAATTTAAAATGTGATTAAAGTGTATAATAAACTATTTCTACTTAATAAAATATGATTCCAAGTAATAGTTGTGTTGTAGCTTCTCTTTTTTTCATCATCAAAGTAAACTTTTAATACATGGCTCATCACTTCTCTTTCAATTTATCTTCCATTTCATATTTTATCTTTGAAACAGAATTATTAGTAATATATATTTAAAAAGGGTGAGATTAATGTTTGATCAAGCAAGATTTATCTCGAGTCTTCTTATATTCATTTCATAATTATATTTAAAATCGAAATATTAATAATATATAGTGTATAGATATATATATTTTTTAAAAAGATGGAATTTAATGATTGATCAAACAAGAGAGCTCTATTGTCTTAATTATATATATATATATATATATTTTTAGAGATCCCGCTATCATTATGTAAATATTTTAGAAATAAAAAGGCATGCAATACCCTAATTTGTGGCGGGCAAGACAGGAAAGCGTCGGAATTTGAATTCATGATCTCATGATCACGAGTTTATCTCTACACCACTATATCATCCCTTACGGACAATAATATAGTATTTTATTTACCCTACACACTCACACCTTACAATATTGAAGTCTCGATATCAAGCATGATAAGGAGAATTCAAAGAAAAAGAGAAAATTGTCTTGTACTTCTATTTAATACCTTAGGATTGGGGAGGGGATCCTTGCCATCACACATCTCCCTGCCCCACATACACCGATGTATCTATAAAGTGCCTTAGGATTGGATTAAGATTTCCTCTGTCCTAATTCCATTTAATTATGGTAAATAACCCTACATGGCTTGGAGATTAATTAGCCTTTGTATTATAAATATACTTGTATGGTTGAACATAAAAATTTAAGAACATGCATACTATCTTAATGTAAAAGTAAAAATTATATTATGAAATTCTAGCAAAATTTACTAAGAAATATATTTAGTTGATAGTGCAAGTGTGATTTAATAGAAATGATAAATTTGTTATAATGTATTAGAAGTATGGATAATATATAAATGAATGGGAAAAAGAATCATTACTAATTATAATAATAAAAAAAAATGAATAAGGTTTTTATAAAGATTTGAATAAAAAGTTAAATATAAATTTGATGGGAAAAAAAAAAAAAAAAGTATATATACTCCATAATAATTTTTAATGTATTAAAAAGTGTTTCACATGGCGAGATTTTATTCTACTTTATTTTGGCTGAAATTAGAAGCTATGGTTTAGCTAATTGATTAATTAACCATAGGTGTGCCAAACCAAACACACATAAAATTTATGACAGAAGGTTGACAAGGAAAGCAGACAGCATATATTAATGAGGATGTGCTGTCGACGGCTGAGCTCCAACAGAAATTAATGTTAGTGGTACGCGTAACTACTCATATTCCAAATATAGAAATCCCATTAAATAAGATGAATGCACCACAGCCTATATTCCACTATTGGTTTATTATTTACATTGTCTACATTTTGCCACAAAAAACTTGGAAAGCATTTCATTTTTATTTTTTTTTTTTTTTTTTTTGAGTAAAAAAGTAAAGCATACAGTTATATGACTAATTTTTATTTTATTTATTTATTTTTAAGGACAATTGTAGATGAATGGACAAAAAATTAAAAATACTAGTAATTGAACTAAGGATTTGTTTCTTTTGAAAAGTTTGGGAAAATTTTAATTTGAATTTAATATTAAAATAATGTATGATGGAATGTTTTGTGAGATGAAAAAATATATATTTTTCGAAAAATACATAATTTAACTAGTAGAAACTTGAAGTTTTCATGTAAAGAAAGACACCCTAAATTATGTAACAAATGAGTCATGTCATCTTTTGTCAATCGAAGTAACTCTTGTAGTTAGGCATTCCCTGCCTGGGGTTTTGACTCGGATTTGATTCTGAGTGTGTTTAGTTTGATGAGTTTGGAAAAAATTTGGTTTGAATTTGATATGAAAATAATGTTTGATGGAATGTTTTGTGAAAAGAAAAAATATATTTTTTTCGAAAAACACAGAGTCTTAATAGTAAAATTTGATAAATTTATGCTAAAGAAACACACCCAAAAACATAAAGATTGCAATGGAACAAAATTTAGAGAAATAGAAGTTAAGAATGTAAAATATGAGTTTATATATACATACATAACTAATAATGAAAAAAAAAATTAAAAAAAAAAAAAACTTTTATATGTGTATATTAATCTGTGATTTGTGAATGGAAGGGATACATACACGCATATGTATATTAATGCTTTGCCCAATTATTTGAAGTTGGCCACATTTTTCAATTAATTAATTGGGTATTCGAAATTACGAAGTATTTTTACAGCTTCACTCTGCATAGAGGTTAGTACAATTATTATTGTATTCTTAGGTTAGTTATTGAAAAAGAATAGCAGGCCTAATAAATTGAGATTTTGTACGCATTTATTTTGTGCGGTAGATACTTTTATTTATGTATTTTGTACTGATTATTATTATTATTATTATTATTATTATTATTATTATTATTACTCCCTCCGTCCACAAACAATGTTCTATTTTTCTATTTGGGATGTTCAATAACTATAGTCCTATTTTTTTTTTAAAGACAAATTTTACATTTTTATCCTTCGTTTATTTATTACTTATAATCTCTACCATACAATTAAGGGTAAATTTGTCAATTTATAACAAAAAGACAATCACCTAAAAAATCATGCAAATATACTTTAGGACAATAGAAATTGGACGGAGAGAGTATTATTTATACATGAATCCGTAATTATTACTTTTTAAATATGTTTTAGATAAATCGATTTGCTTTGAATATTTATGATCGGGAGGTGTCGGATTTTGAATCCATAACTTCACACGATCACGAGTCTATTCCTACACCACCACACTTTGTTTGACAATAGTTTTTAATATTTACTTATAGAGTTTAGCATTAATTTGCTAGTTAAGAATATATATATATATATATATTATAAATAATTATATTTAAAATAAATAATAATAATAATATTATAAATTAAATTACTCCCTCCGTTTCCAAAAAATGGTTTCATTTTTCATTTTTGTTCGTCCCAAAATAAGGATACTATTTAATTGTACTATCTATCTAACGTAATAAACTTTTACAATTTACAATATATTACACAAATGTCACCATCTTTATATTACACAATACTAATAAATGTATTTTCGTCTTTTTTACTACAACCCAGTATTAAAAATTCTACGTAAAAAAACAAAAGTTACGTATAGAGACGGAGGGAGTAATTCTTTTTAACATTTGTTTCAGTATAACAGCCTTATTTATTATTTTCTTTTTATCAAAAAATAATAATCTTATTTTCATAAATAATCATATTACTATAAAAATACAAGTCTATTTTTTCATTATTATTACATAATTATTACTATTTTTTATATTAATTTCCTCGCAAACACAAAAAAATCTAACACAACTAAAGACTGTGTGTTTGTTTGTGGGTTTGAATTTTTAAATAGTAAAAAGTTAAATTTGAACACTAACTTGATGGGATATAAATAGATGAGGATGTGATGTTTTAAATGTAAAATAAATTTATAGTATAATATAAAAAAATATTATTTAATTTAATATTTTTTAAAATAAAAAAATAATAAAAAAGTTGAATAGTAAAGACGAAAAATTCATAAAAGAAAACCACCTATATTCTGAACAAAGAGACTAATAAATTATATTTATAAAATTTAATATAAATATACATACATTAACACACAAACCCTACACCCACAACATAATCCACGCCGCCGCCCTTCCCACCCCCCCTACCCCAACTCCCTTCTTCCCCTACCTTTTCCTACTTCGTTTCTGTTTGTTTGATTTTTATTGGAAAGCGTAGTTTAAATAAAAGGAAGGAAAGCGTGTTTAATATAGAAGGTTGAGAAAAGCGTGTTTTAAATTATGAGCAACGATTCTGGCTCTTTTTCCCTCCAAAAATCTGGGTATTAAAAAGCGTGGCGATTTCCCGCCATAACAAGCCCTAGAGGAAGCAAAGACGAACGATCAGTTTTACGCAGAGCCGTGGGGATAAAATTGCTGTAAGTTTTGTTCCGATTTCATTAAGATACTGAATTCTGGTCACTTAGTTATATTAGATTCTAGTTCCGAATTGTTTTTATTATTTGTGAGATGTACCGATGTGTTTGATTTCAGCTTGTGATATTGATTTTGGATTTCGATTGCAAAGAGAAAATCTCAGTTCGTTGCTTGATATTGTCTATTAACTCGTAAAAATGTGAGTTATGGGAAGGATCTGAAGATTAACTTGTTTATTTAAATTAGACAGTCAATTAGTCATGACGGATTAGCATTACTGATCTACTTTATATTACTTCTAGTTTCTAGCAATCACATAGAGCTCTGTGATATGCTTTGTTGTGCTCATTCCATGAACATTTGATCTGATCAACTTCACACCTCAACAGAATGAATAATGAAAACCGAAAAAAAAGGCTGAAGCATCAATTTTGGGATTTAACGTACTATATCTAATGTAGAAGTAGAAAGCAATTCAATATTCAAAATGGGTGAAAGGGTAAAACTGTACTTAAAATAGCTCATCCATATTGTTGTACTTAAGATTTAGCTTACTGGTAACACCTGATTTCAAGATTTATTATCATGTATATAAGCACCATTTAATTTCTAAGTGACTTTAGCTAGCCAGGTCACCTTGATTATCATGAGAGTACTATACTTTGTGTAATCTACTTTTTAATTTCACCTCTCATTCATGCTTGAATATAACGATGAATTGTATATCAAGGATTAAATAGTTAAGAAAATGAGTGATTAGCTGATGTTGTATTGTTTTGTGATTATAAAGATCACTTTAGAGACATGCAATGTCAAATTTAGGTTCTTGCCTACAACTTTACTTGGTTTATTAGTTAAGTGTTATGACATATAGAGGGCAAGAAGTAATGTGGTTCTTAATCAAATGCTAGAGGTTCATATGGCTACCTTTAGTATGCATCTTTATTCAACGTTCTGTTTTCAATCAGCTGTAGTTGTAAATTTCAGGTCAAAGCTGTAGCAGTCGAGTGTTTATATCTGTACTAAGCCCTGAAAAATTTACTTTCGTCGATTTCTGAATTACCTCGATTCATTCCTGGTGGTGGTTGGTGTTAAGAGGGCATAGATTAGACAAGGAAAAAAGGCTTCTTGCAATTGTGTCATCAAATCTTAGTTTAAGAAAACAGGGTTGGGTATGAATACAATGGCCCTACAAAATAGATCCTCTGTGGGCGCCGAAGCAGTTCTTGGACTTCAACCCAACTCATCAGTCTCTATTGCTTATCACCCTCAGTTTGGACCTCACAACGACCTTATGCTTCTTGAAGTCGACGAGAAGCTTCTGCAAGAAATCCTTCATCAAAGGTATGTCTAGATTCACAATCCTATCGCACCTTATTGTACTTATCATGTTTTTGTCGACAATTGTTCTATTTTGTGTACTCTCAATCTTACTATGAACAGAGTAACCTTAAGAGGCCAGCCCGATGAAGATGCAGTTCTTTGTACACCATCAAAGACCTATGCTGTTAAATTTGTGGGTTCATCCAATTCCGTATTTCTCATTCCTCCGTCGGAGTTATATTACAGCAATGATGATGATAGCTTGGCAGTTGCACCTGTCCTCAAAGTTGCATCAGGTTGCATGGAGTTAGTTGAGGCAGCACCTAAATTAGATAAACTTAAGTTTCTTCTCAATCAAAATCCTTACAGTTACGCCGAAGCCTCGGAGATGGAAATCCCGGAAGAGGGGGAGAAAACAAACAAGGGTCTATACAGATGGGAGGATCTTCTTGACAGATTACAGGCAAGTGATGAGGAACTAAGATCAGCTCTACAATCCATACCATCAGTCGAAATTAACGGTTACTGGCGCATCGTAGATGAGCAGTACATGAATGGTGTTCTAAACATGCTCTTGCACAACATCGTATTGAATGACTGGTCCATGGATGCACTTGATGAAGATGAAGTCGTGCGCGCGCTGGAAGCAGATGGATTTCCTAGGAGCATTGCCGAGCATTGCTTGCGAGTATATTCTAACAAATTAGACTCCGGCGATGGCGAAAGAAGCTGCACGTGGAAGCTGGACGAGAAGCGCGTGTGTGTGAAGTTAGCTCGAGAGATTCTTCGAGAAAGGAAGATAAAAATCGAGATGTTCATGGAGAAATGGAGGAAGAAAGCCCCTGAGGGAATGAATCCCAGTTTCGACATGCTGGAAGGCGAAGTTTTAGTCGAAAAGATCGGGATGGATAGCCAGGTGTATTTGTTCCGAGTATCAGATCTCCCGTCGACCCCGGCCGAACGATTTTCGATACTTTTCAAGGAGAGGGCTAAGTGGGAGTGGAAGGATTTAGAGCCATATGTCAGGTCAGATATACATTACATACATATATAGAAGAAATACAGTTAGCAATTTGGCTGTTGTAACACACTTTTTTTTATGTTTGTTTTTTAGGGATCTAAAAGTACCTGGGCTTTCATCAGAAGGTTTGCTCCTGAAATACAGTAGAAGAACTCAGCCAACAGCTGAGGCAGAACCTATTTTCAGTTCAAGATAAAATCATCATTATTTTTAATTTCATATATATATATAGTGTCTTTTCTAATTTAAATTAAGGTAGTTTTACTTCCCTCAAGAGCTTTGCAGCTTCTTCTGGGAAAACAGGGTTTATGTAGCAACCTGTTCCTAACTCGAATCCGCCGAGGACAGTTAGTTGGGGAACTATCTGTATGAACCAGTGATTGAATGGTGTTTGGGATGGGTCGATGTGGAGCAGAGCGCTGTGAATGACGAAGTTGTATGGTGGGTTGTTCAGCTGCGCCGACATCTTGGCAAGAGTAAGTTTCAGCAGACCACCAAGATCAGATGCCTGTAAGTAAGTAAAATATGAGCAAAACAAGCCATCACATGTTCCTTATAAGTTTACAATCAGTTTTGAATGGCAGGTTTTCTGTTAGAACAGTAAACAAGAACATACTGAAATCGTAATTGATTTGATTTTATAAAATTGTGGCTGTTTGTTTGGCTCGGATATATTTTGACAGCTCTAAAGTAAACACACTATATATCTGCATGTATATTGACGAAATTTTTACAAAAATGATCAAAATTAAGAAGCAAGAAATTACCTTATCATTGTCAATGTCATGGAAGTGCCACGAGTGCTTGCGTGGAATTATCCATATCTCGAAAGGGAATGCTGCCGCAAATGGTGTAATCGATGAAAAATGACCAGATTCATCAATTAACAGATGGTTGTTGTTGCGCGTAGCTTCACAGAGAGCACACTCTCCAGTTTCGTTATAATGCTCCTTCATACTCTGAATCCTTGCAGAAGCTGTTGGTGGAACAACAGGAAGCCCCATAATCTGACTATGTGAATGACTCATTGATGCCCCTGCTGAGGCACCATGGTTTTTGAAAACCTACATTCATTGATTGATGGTTGAAATGAATGAATAATAAGCTGATAATAAACAGATCTGCAGCTGAAGATAAATTCACCTAAATTATAGGAGTATTAGCTTTTGAGATTTTACAGTATTTTGTTGGTATTGCTAGGGTTTAACAAAAAGCTCTGCATCCAATTTTGGTGAGTGGAGGAATTACAGTTCTGAAGTGCTTCAAACACAGGTAAAAATTAAGGATATAACCTATATCTATCTTATTTGAATATTATTTCTACACTATAGCAGCAGGAATGCTAAATTTTTGTAAGCAGGAAAAAGGATGAAGAAACTTACCTGGACATATTTGATGGAATCGAGTAGGCGAAGCTGATCGATCCTTTTCTTATAAGCGAGCAAAACGCCGGCGACTTGCGCCGGGGAAAGATCGGTGAGAACAATCGGGTGAGACGGCGACTCAATCACCACGTCGTGAAATCCGAATCCAGAAACCGTGACCAATCCCCCGGCGCAATCTTCACTCGATGGATCCAAATCTCGACTGAGAGCAGGATAGAGGTTCTGAATAACTCGAATCTGCCAATCGGAGGTAGATTCCGGAGGAAACCTAAAAATCTCCGGCGCGCACTCATTCTCGTGGCCGGCGCAGAAAGCGCATTCGACCTGGTTCCTCGAGTTCTGGCTCGGATCGTTCTTCGACTTGAAATCCGACGGCCGGCGAGCTCTCGCCGGAGAGAAGATCACCCACCGGTTGTGAACCGCGTCCTTGCGGATTTCGGGGCTCCGACTTGCCGCCATGTGGAGGCCAACTGTAACTTCACCAGTTAAAAAGGAAATGCACATATGGGCCTGGCCCATTCCATATAATAGCCCAATATAAAAATTAAACCAATAAATATTTAACAAATCTGACCTTCGGCCTAAATAGGCCCAAAGGGGCAGGACTCGAAATATTAGGGGGAAAAAGGTCTCTTCGAACATATTTCAAACAGGTACATTGGAATTTCTTCTATTTTTTTATTTATTTTTATTTTTTTATCAACATAGACTAACCATTACCATTATAGATTTCGTTTAGACATAAGTTTTTTTAGAAATTTTTGAAATTTTGAAAAAAAAAAAAAAAAAAATTAGTACTCCCATCATCTAGTTCAAAGTATTATTTTTTTATTATTTTTGTTTGTCTCACTTTAAATATTCATTTTCTATTTTACACTAATACAAAATTACTGTTTTTCTTTTGCTTGAGTTTGAAAAATTTTGGTTTGAGTTTGATATTAAAATAATGCTCGATGAGATATTTTACGAGAGAAAAAATGTATTTTCTTTGGGAAAGATAGAGTCCAAATGGTAAAATTTGAAAAAAAATTGTCAAAAGAAATATACATTTGCTTCATAAAACAAAAATATCAAAAAACTCTTACACATTTTTACTAACTAATACTAAAATACTATTATTTTTTAATTTACTACGAAATCCTAAAAAATTCCTTCAATTTGAATATAAGAGAATATTTAATTTGATGTTTTAAAAAATAAAAAAATAAATAGTAACAAATGAATTAAAGATGATTGTGTAAACAAAATCTTATTATTATTTTTTTAATAAATATATTTTTTAAATATGAAGAGGATGACAAAAACAAAATTGAACACAAATTCTCAATCTCATTTTCCTTTCCGATTCCTTCAAGTTCGGACCGCTCAACATAGAGAAGTGAACAAACTACAGCACTTCCTCAGTATCCCCGCAGCCTCGAATTTTTACAACATTAATTACCTTATTATTCCACACAAATAAATAAATAATAATAATAATATTATTATATATCTATACTCTGAAATCAGTGCTGTTCTTCCCGGCCACACTTCTTTCCTCGAACCTCGTATATTTGTACCACTTGGCGCAGACCACATATACGACAAAATCCGCCGCCGTCAGGACAGCCAGCAGGTAATAGAACATGTCGAGACGACCTCTGTTGAGATTCCTCGGAATCCATCCCGGCAGGTCGTCGGCGGTCGACACTTTCATCACTATCGTCACTATCAGGCTGCTGACGTAATTTCCCAGCGATATTGACGTCATGCTGAGCGCGCTGCCAAAGCTCTTCAGCCCGTCGGGGGCTTGGCTGTTGAAGAACTCCAGCTGCCCGACGTACATAAAAACCTCCGACGCGCCGATCAGGACATACTGAGGGATCTGCCAGAAGATGCTCAGGCTGCTCGAATCCGGGCACTCCGGGCAGCCGGCGTCGGCGTGCTTCAGGCGGAAGTGCTCGACGGCCCCGGCGGAGAGCATGGCGGCGACGGCGATGATCAGACCGATCCCCATGCGGTGGAGCTCCGTTAGACCGCCGGTTTTTCTGAGCCGGGAGACGAGCGGTTCGATGAGGCGGCGGTTGAGGAAGATGAATGTGGCGACGCTGAGGATGTCGAAACTGGACATGCTCGCCGGCGGGATGTGGAAGCCGGCGACGGTGGTTTCCATGGCGGCGCCTTGCTCGACGAAGAGGGACTGCATTTGGGTGAAGACGACGGAGTAAAGAATGGTGCAGAGCCAAATTGGGAGCAGTCTCAGAATGCATTTCACTTCTTCCACTTGCGTCACCGAGCAAAGCCGCCATAGGTTTCGCCCGCCGCCATCCGCCGCCGCCGCCGTCTGACTCTCACCATCCTCATCTGTTATTACAGCCGCTCTGTCCAAAAACCTGCATCAACACCACAATCAACTCCAAATTCAGTCTCTATCCATTTAACACTACAAGAAAAATTCATTTTTGTAACAAAACGTTTTTGTCTCTAAATCTATTTTTTCCGTTACTAATGATATCAGAGACGAAAATAGAAATGGAATTACGTTAGCTACGTGAACTTTAGGGACGGAATTCTGTTACAAATATATTATTTTTTTTGTAGTGTAATACTCATTTATTAAATAACAAGACTCTATTTATACAGTCAATTTTAAAAATTTTACTATTAGTCCGTTACTATTTTTTTTAAAAAAAATACTATTATATCAAATATTTTTCTTCTTAATTAAAAGACTTTTTGGTCTGTATTAGTTATGTTAATATTCACAATTTTGATTGTCAATTAAATTATACATAAAAATTTTGAATTTGTTTCTTTTTTAACTCTAAACCTAGCTCTGCATTTTTTTATGAAAAAATATATATATTCTTTCTCTAAGAAAACATCTCAGCCTCTATTATTTTAATAGCAAATACAATTTTTTTTTTTTTCAAACTCATAAAAAAAACAAATACTAAATATTCACCTATTACTATTTTTTATTATTTTATCTTACTATTATAATTTTTTAATAATATTTTGTAATATTTCATTACTTTTTATTTACCTATTTTATAGTATTAAAATATAATTAATTTTTTAATTCTCATATCTAAATAAAATAGGATAATTATTTCATACCGAAAAACAGAAAATTTCGAAACTATAGCCTAATGGATTGAATCATACTACTAAATTTAATTAATTACCCACCTGAAGCCTTGGGTGTGAAGAATCTTCCTGGCGCCAATCTCCTTACCGTCGCTCCCCTGAACTTCGAACAGCTCATCATCATTCGACGGCACGTCGGCCTTCCACTTCCGACAGGCAGCAATAAACACCTGGCAGAATCTGGACAGGGGATTCCCCTGCGGCGTGAAATGCCGGTAAATAGGCGTCCCAACCAGGAACAAAACCAGCGCCGTCGCCGCCGACCCAGCCGACGCCCAAAACCCAATCGCCCAGACACCCTTATCCTCAAAGTACCCCAAAATCGTATTCGAAAACAGACACCCAAGATTCAACGCCAGATAGAAGTAGCTAAAGAAAGCAACCTTCGAATGGCTCTCCGTCTCATGGTCCTCGTCGAACTGATCCGCCCCAAAAGTCGCAATCGTCGGCTGATACCCGCCGTTGCCGAGGGCGACGAGGTAAATCGACGTGTAGAAAAGCGACACGTGTAATCTGGAGTGCGGTCCGCACGGCGCTTCCTCGCCGCCGCACCCGTTGGGCTTTACCAGAAACAGGTACGACGTGAGAGATAGCGACACTAATCCCTGTCGGAAAATTGAATCAATTATTGATTAATCGATAATTAATTAATGAAGGAATTGACGGAGGATGTAATAATGGACTTACGACGACGAAGATGGCTTGGAAAACGGCGCAGGTCTTGTAGCGTCCCCAGTAAGAGTCGCTGAGGAAAGCTCCGAGGAGGGAGAAGATGTACACAGTGCCCATCCATTTACTGATGTTGTTTGCTGCGCTGGCGTTGTCTTGACCCATCACTCGTGTAAGAAACAGCACGAGGTTTACTCCTACCCCAAAAAACGCCAGCGTCGCTAGCCCTTGGTTCACTGCACCAATTTTAAAAACAATCGATTATCTTCATAATCTCAACTTTCTACAAAAATATGAATCGAGTATGTAGAATTAATTCAACGGATTTTGATATATAATAATAATAATAATAATAATAATAATAATATGGTTGTTATTACCTAGTAGTAAGCCACCGGCAGCCCATGTTCCCGTTTTCGATCGAATGGCCGGCCGGCCGCGGCGATCGACGGATCCATCGAGAGTGTATTCTTCTTGGTGTTTAACAATTTTCTCTGCCATGTCTTGATCCTACAGGAAGAATTTTATTTTATGAGATATTGTTTGTAAAAGTTTGAATTGTGTGTATTATGTTTTGTGCAATTATTACATCATATATGCAAGAAGGAAACATGATAAAAGATATCAAAGCAAGGCGTCCAATATATTAGATCTATTACATAAGCATCTAATAATATCCCGTTTATTGATTTATTTATTTATCTATTTTTACATCACGGATATCATGTGAAGGAAGGAAGAACGACTGCTATTGCATGCTAGGAATAATATAAGTTAGTTACGTATATATATACACACATGCATACGTATACGAGTGTGTATGTATATATATAGAGAAATAACTTTTTTCCTCATGTCACGGAAAACATCGAATTAGAGGAATCAAATAGCAAATTGCGTTTGACAACGTTATAATTATATATATGTGCAAAAATTACACGTCATGTGGAAGATACAAGAAGAAATGAACTAATTAATACTTCTTGCAGAGTATGTAGCCTGGAAGCAACTATCCACTTCTTTTTGTAGTAGTATTACAAGAATTGGTTTGGACATATATCTATGTACTAATTTACACAAGTAATTTTTTTAGTTTTGTGATATTATTATTACACAAAACTCGATTTCACTTTCATGCTTCACCAAAATGGACAATCAGTTTTAAGACAAATGAAAAGCCACCCGTACCGGTCTCAACTTCTGGCCTTCTTACAACACACTAGATTCATTCCTTATCAGCATAACAACTCAAACTCCTTTCGCTATATATACATATATGTGTCCATATATATATCTATATCAAGTTAAAACAAATTAGGCTTTCATCTACCTGCATTTCTCCGATCAATTTACGGATAAGATGGAGAAACATCCTAAATTATGCTAACAATCGAATTTCTTACCAGTAAAATACTGTGTGTATGTATCTCTCGGTGCGTGTGTTAATAATTTAGATACTAACCAGTAAATTGCAGTAATAAAGTTGGATCAGCAACAGATAACGATGAAGATGACGATGAGGAATCTATTCTGGAATTATCGGAGCTGCTGCAGTGATTGATAACTGATCTGCAAAGGAATTTAGGACAGAGCTAGTGTGTGTCTGAAAATTTGGGAAACTTGAATTTGTTTCTCTGCTCTGACTCGCTTTGGCGATGAGAAAAGAAGGCCGAAACGGTGCCGTATTTATAGAGCGCGAAATTGCGTGTCGGGATTGACTATCGTCCATTTTTCAGGAATGGTTAATTATGATTTTTTATTTTTTTTTAAAAATTAAAAACAATATATATGTGTAGTATAAGTATATTAATATTACCACTTTTTTTTATCTGTTATAGATATTTGTGATGCTCTAAAATTTCCGTTCCTTTTTCTTTATTTACAAGCAAATTTATTTTAATTTTTAATAATTTACAAACATTCTAAATAACACACAGTATTTTAGGAGGGATGTAATGAGTAGATAATTAAAAATATATTAGTAAAAATAATTATCTTATAATATAAATAATTATGAATTAAGATTAAGATAACTAATTAGTTTAATTAAAATTAAAAAAAAATTAAAAAAATTAAAATGAAATTAAAGTGTATAATTTTGCAATAAAGGAAAGTGACATGGTAGGTGGGACAGACAGAAATAACAACATGACATGATATTTAGAACGGAGGGAGTACTAATATATAATTGTAAAATTGATAATATAAATATATTTGTATGTGTGTGACGACTATGAGGTGACGAAGCAAGCAATAGGGAGAGAGAAAGACAGTGATATGGGAGCTTTGTGAAAGAAGCGTGATTTGGTTGAACACATGATTAGCTATAAATGTGCATATCCAAACTGTAGTTTATATTATTATTATTATTATTTTATTATTGTTATTATAGCTGTTGTACTATGTATGTATGTATGCATTGTTGCCAACCTGTCCTGATTGCGACATTCTCGAAACATGCATGCGCTTTTGGTGCGATCTCTTTTTTCAAACACGCTTTCTTCTTTTTCAGGTTCCGCTTTTTCGGTTTTCTTCAATATAAAACGTGACTTTCTCTGCTCTGCAGTCGCGGTTCTTTCCTGCCTTTGTTACCAATTTTTGTTTTGTTCATCCGTATTACATATATATATATATATATATTTATATATTAAGTATATTAATTATTTCATTATTATCTTTTAATTTTTAAAAATTCAAAAAAAATTATCTATACAAAGCATTAGTTTTGTATCATATACTTTTTTTCATTTCAATTCAAAATATATTTTTTATTATTTTTTTATTTAAAAAAATAATTATACATTAATATCAAAATACAGTTAATTGTTACTTAAATTACACACATACTATTACATATTCAATTATTTTACATAGAAAGTAAGTGACAAAATATCAAAACCAATAAAATACTACTCCATTTGTTCTAATTCAAAATACCATTTTTATTATTTTTATAGGTCTGATTCCAAAGTATATATTTCCCATTTTAGAAAAAGTAATACATTAATACCAAAACACCTTTAATTTTTACTTATATTACAAATATATCATTACATATACAATTACTTTATACATAAAGTCAAATAACAAAAATATCGAAAACTCTTACATAATTCCACTAACTAGCAAAATACTATTATTTTTTAATAGAAATAAAATATTATTTCTTAATATAATACAAAACTCCAAAAAAAACTCCTTTAAATTGGGACCGAAGGAGAAAATATAATATTTTTAAAATTTTACGCCAAAAATTATTGTAAATATTTTAAGGTGTATGGAGAAAATACTGCATACTAGTAATTCCATAAGCCAACAACATCGTCACTGTTGAGATATTTTAGATATTCAGTTTTAGATTTAGTAGATTTATATCTGGATTTGATCTTATTCATATATTAAATTACTTAGATTTGAGCCTGTCGAGTCTGTTTTGTATTGTAGACTCCTTATTTTGATGATCAATAAGACAATTTCATTATTTTTCCCCCAAAATTTCTGATCGTCACTGAATAAGTATGTGTGCAGTTTGATTATATTTTTTTGTTATAATTTTTATTTAAGTATAGTTTAGATACAATATTTTATAAGTAAAAATATAATATGTTTTTTAATTAAAAATATAATATGTTTTTTAATATATATATATAATTAATGTACACTTAGAAAATGAACATTAATTTCTAAAATAACACATATTAAATGTGCAGTAGAACTTTAAAATAACATGCATTAAATGTTTTTTATGCAGTACTATTATTAATTATATTTTTATAAAATAATTTATTTTAGTATGTATTATGTAGCATTTGTACATCTTTTTATTAAATAGAAAATTAAATATAACTATATAAGCTTAGAATTAAAATTAATTAGTTTTTTAGGACCTTGAAAAATAAAATTGTTGTGGTACGTATATAATTATGCTAATTAATTGATAATTTATGGTGCGGTTATAATGACGTTGAAATGGAATGACCTAACTAATGATGTGACAGCATTTGAAAAGATAATACGTAGACAATTAAAGCTAATGTGGAAAATCAATAGCTGCTTTTTTCTGTATATATTGGTATTTAATACTTTTTCAATCTCATTTTAATTGATAATTATTTTTTTATGTTTAATAGAGATATTTTATAATTTTTTATTTTAAATAAAAATTACTAAATTAAAATAAATTTAACAAAGATAAATTAATTTAATTAACTATATAACATCATATATTTAAGTAGGATCTATCCAAAACTCATTTATTTATATATTTTTTCAAAATAAATATTTTTATTTATATTTAAAATTTCATTGTATAAAATTATTTTATACTTAATTGGAAATAAATAAACATATTTTTTTATTTTATTTTATTATAAAAAATTTTATTCCCTGCAAAATGATACTTATATTCCATATACTCCCTCTGTGAGTTAGACTTTTTGGTATTTTTTGGTATTTAGTCAAGAGTTAAAATAAAAATTGGAAAGTTTAGTTGTGGATGGAGGGAATATTTTTTATTGTTATATAATTTTTAAAAAATAAATTTATTTTCTAATTTTTTAATAATATATTATATTTATATTAAAATTACAAATATTATTAATTACGTAAAAAAAATAATATCATAATTCAGTACTTTTAACTAATTAAATATTATTATCTTAAATATTGTGTCACTGATTAAAATATTTGTGCTAGACGAAAGGAAGTATAATACTCTTACTCATTATGCCATGTGGCAATGACCTATTTAGTTAGAGACACAAATAGTCATTTTTTATGACACAGCTAAAAAAATAAAAAATTATTTGTAACGGGACAATAAAAATACACGTTACGTTATCTATGATTTTAAATATATTTTAAAAGTTATAGTTATTTATATATTTTAATTTTGATCTATTAATGTACATTGTAATTTTTTTTTATCTAAAAAGGTATATTTAATTATTAATTTTTTATTTAAAGTGTAAATAACTCTTTGTACATGCTCTAGTAATCTTTTTATAGACCTATTTGAAGATTTTTAAAATTAAAGCTTAGGTATAAGAATTGTAAAGGTTTATTTTGGAAAAAAAAATATTAGTTTATTTATCATAATTCATAATTCTTTTCTTTGGGTTTATTTTGATTTTAAACTATTCAATCTTTACATTATTCAATAAAAATATATTTTTCTCATAAAATAATTAAATCATTGTTTAAATAAAAATCCAAAATCCAAACTAAAATAAAATCCAAAAGTAACAAAGCTTCAAATTCTAATTGAATAAATTATTATTATTATTATTATTATTATTATTATTCATTAAGCACTTTAACTTGTTCCTTTTTATGTTTTGTCATTTGTAACATTGTATAGTTTCATTATTTCAAATAAAATATATCAAATTCGCAAAAATTATTTTTATTATAATGATTAAACTTTGAGGAAAAAAAATTGAAATGCTGACACTTTTATTTGGTTTGTTAGCCAAACAGATAATAATAAAGAATTGTGTAAAAAATATAAAAATAATAATATATATAATTTATTAATTTTTTTAACAAAATCGTGTGAAAAAAAAATATAAAAAGAACAAAGCCTATATTTTTTGGGAGATGATCAAATGCTGAAAAAATAATTTTCAGCACATAGCTGAATAACTAAAAAATAATTATATTAATTTATATCATTAAATCATTTAATTAATATAATTATACATAATTTGATTTTAGGTATTCAGCATGGTGCTGAAATATCCATGCTGATATTTTTTACTATTTAATGTGTATGATTTTAAGTAAAAATTTAATTATGCTTTCGTTTAGTTTGTTAGTCAAACTTAATTTTTTACTATTTAATATATATTATATTAAGTAAAAATTAATTATTTCCTCTTACGTCCTTCCAGAGACACTAATTATAACAGATATTTTATATATATACATATATATTATAATATAATATACTTAATTTATTATATATACATATTGAATAAAAAAAAATAACTAATTAATTAAGTTAGATCATTCAATAAAAATTATGTAGTGGCTACAAATGAATTATACATGAATGCAAAATAAATTCCAGCATAAGAACGTGCCCTATAATTAAAGTACATAATCTATTACATACTCTAATATAATGTACTATTACATCAGTGGTCTCATCTTTGTGAATCAAGAACTGCTCCCTCCATCCCATGTAATATGAGTGTATTACCGTAAATATGAGAATTTAGGTAAAGTATAATTAGTAAGTAATTAAGAAGTGCATTAGTAAAAATAATTATAAATTAAGATTAAAATAAGTAAATAGTTTAATTAAAATTAAGAAAATTATAAAATTTAAAATGCGATTAAAGTGCATAATTATATTTCCAAAAATAGAAAGAACAAATTACGTGGGACGGACGAAAATAGAAAATAGGGACAAATTACGTGGGACGGAGGGAGTATAAAATACATAATAAATAAATTTTAAAAATAAAGTCGAATAAAGCAATTTTTTCAAGTGTCTCTAAAATATATGGGCGTACAATAAAATATCATAGTGTGTTTTTTTAAAATAAAAATAAAAATAAAAAACTTATTTAATAGTATTTTATAAGTTTTTTTTTTTAAAAAAAAAAACCCATTAAATATATAATATTTATATGAAAATGAGTTATAATATATTTAATAGTTAAAAT